AAATATTAAATGAGTCGAACAAACTCGTTAAATGTCTCAAATTACAGCCTGAAGTATCTAGAAAATCTACATTCAAATCACCCGACACCACTATTTTGGCATTCACTGAAATGTTGGACAAAATTGTTTCCAACTTTCTCAAAAATATTTGGAAATTTGCAATTGGGGATCTATATAGGCCAACAATATACATATTCAACTCTTCACAATACATCATAGAAAGCTCAAAGCATCTTTCCTCCAAGCAAGTAATCAAACCTATCCACATTTACAAAGTTTAAAGTTTTCAAAGTCTGTTCCTTAACCATAATTAGAGTGCCACCATGCACTGAACTTGACCTGCAAAACCTAGCAACAGTGACATAATTATCGAGACAGTACAATTCATCACATTTGAGCCAATGCTCAGCTAAAACTACAATATTGGGAAAGTTAATACTGCTTAAAAACAAAACAAGTTCGTCAGTCTTATTTCTCACTGATTGAATATTGAGAACCACTAAGGTGAGAGAGATATCGGCACGGTTGGGTCTAAAAAATTTGGCTTTACAGTTGATATTTTACTGTCTGCATCTGCATTCGCACCATCGCCGATATATTCTGAAGATGTCGAACATTTTTTCAATTGTGTAATTTCAGATTTTGTTGGGATATAAGTTAATGTACCTTGAGATGAATGAGAAGGCAGAGGTGTGCTGATGTAATTGTATATAATTAGACTTAAAGTATGCTCGTTATGCCGATATCTAAATTCCATCCAATAGTTATCAATAACCCTGATGGAGATTTTATTTCTTATTCTAAAGTTACTTAACACAGTATTCACATGGGATAAACCATGTTTATACCTATAACACACAATTAAATTCGTGTACCTTCCTATGGCTAAAATTTTTTTTATGGCTGACGCATGCCTCACGGCATTATAATTGACATGCAATAAGACAACCACAAAATCAGAAAATGTATAATCATGAGTCATGCCAAAAATACCTCGCGACACCTCACTCACTGGCGCAAATGGTTCAATATAACCAGATACTCTGAAATGATCCCCCACTAAGAGACGAAGCTTTGCGGTGATGTTTGTGCCACTTTCATCTCCCAGAACCAAGATCCGCTGAGGTTTATTAGGATGCGATTTTTGACCTGGGTTTTGGACCAATGCCTCATCAGTAGCGTCAATCTCCCCAGAATGGGCCTGAGTGAGCTCAGCCTGCAAACTTTCTCCCGTGCCCTTGCTCATGTGATCAAGGAGCATCTGAATTTCTTTTTGGAGCGAACATAATTCCCCTTTAAAATATTCATTATTAGCTGTCAGAATCTCGATAGAGATTAACAAACTCGATCTCAACTCCTCTAGTTCAAATATTTTATGCTGGAGTTCCTGGTTTTTGTCTTTGGCTGAGGCAAGAGTAGAGAAGGAGTCCTCTTGATCATCTGTTTGACAAGACCAATTTAGGCATAAAAAATGTGTTTGTGTTGTGACTGAGACTATATTCTTAACTGCATTTAATTTCTCAAGTTCAATATTTTTCCTTCTAAGTTCTCTGTTGCAGGTTTCCAGCTCGCCAATCTCCCTCAAATACCGCTCTTCGACTAGCTGCGCCTCTTCGGTGAATTCTTGGTTCAGCCTGTTTTTTGATGTACTTCTTTTGTTCATCTGAGCTCTCAAAAACTTTACTGAGTTTTGATTCCAGCTGTTGAATAGTTTCATCCTTGTCCAGCTCAAGCTGATTCAAACACATCTCCAAATCTAAAATCTTAGCTCGAAGGGAGCCTGTGGTCTGTTCTTCATTATTTTTTGTATCCTTGCATTTATTGGAACAAAAAATTTGATGACCTTTAAACTCCGAAAATCCCCTAATTCGCTCCCTACAGCTAGGGTGAAAAACATTTAAGTAAGATACACACACTAAGCTATTTAAAGGCTTTTTGCAGCATTTAAAAAGGCGTTTGTCATCCATTTCCAAAAAGATTGCTGATGTAAATGCCGACAAAAATGTTTTGATGTAAATCCAGTCACAATTATTAATATTATCGTCCGGACACCCGGAAGCTTCTTAATATATTTTGTTTTTTTTTTATTGATGACAATAAATTGAAACTTTTTTTGGGGCTTAAGGAATTTAAATGCAAATTTACGCATAAATAATGGCTATTGTTCGAAAGATTTTTACAAACTATTCCTATGTAGATGTACTCACACAATCATAAATTAGATTTTTCAACGGGCACAAAAATAACCTTTGTTTTGAACCAAATTTCAACTTTTAATTCTGCGATAAAACCACTAAAACTTCACAAAAACTAATTGATCATTCAATACACTGCTGCTGTATGGATACACTGATTGAACATTGAAATTTTAGTCCCAACAAATCCACCATTGTGGGCATTGTGGCATTTACCCGAAGGCATTAAATACAAGACCTGGGACCTCTTACACTGGTATTCATAGTCAATCGCCAGCGAGTCGCCGTATTTGGAGCAGCACACGGCGACTCTCTGGCGATTGACTATGAATACCAGTGTTAGATTATGGGGTGAACATTTAAAGATTTCGACCAAGGTCAGGTACTTAGGGGTAACACTGGACTCAAAACTTACCTGGAATCAACATCTGGAAAACACCACCAAAAAAGCGGTAATATCACTCATGATTGCCCAGACGCTTGCGACGGAAATTATGGGGCTTAAGACCGGACATGCTGTATTGGACATACAACATTTATTTATTTGAAGATAAAATTACAAACACCCTCAAGGGTAATTACATGTAAAGTGTGTAGTACTTAAACCTAATATAAAATAGTAATACAAAATAGAACAAACAAAAGAATAAAGAAGAATATAACAAAACAAAATAAAACAAAGCAAATGAACCGCCGATATCGCAGGAATTACAATTACACAATACTCAATTCAATATTGCCTTGAGTCTTACACCTTTGTTGAAAATATCAATTTGGTCTCTTGCTATCACAGTGTTGCATTCGAACATCATTTCTCTAAAAGGTGATAAACCACCCTGCCCCGCATAAAATATGTCTATATTTATCAGCCTTAAGTCAATTTTAGGCACCCCAAAATGTATATAGTTGATAAGTTCACAATTTTTGTATTTTAGATTATTTACAATAAAATATATAAATATTACTGCCTGCTTTCTTCTTCGATTCACCAATGACTCAAACTCAAAACTATCCATCATTGACCTATATCATACCATATATGGATACGTATTATTTTTTCTGACATAAATGTATCTTAAAATTCGTTTTTGGACTTTCTCAATTTGATCAGTATGTGTGGCAGCAACTGGTATCCAGAATGAAAAAGCATATTCCAAATATGGCCTCACAAGTTTTACAATGCGTGTTGATATTAAATGATTTACTGTTTCGCATAACAAAGCCGAGGGTTTTAAATGCCTTATTGGTAATATTAACATAATGGTCTGTAAATTTCATATTTCATAGACTGAAAATGCACTCCCAAGTCCTTCACTTCACTTGTTCTGCTATGTTTTCTATTATCGATACAATAATCGTGTTGAATGTACACACATTTACGAGTATATGTCATAACTGAAAATTTTTTGATATTTAGATACATTTTATTTTTTTGAAACCATGTTACAACATTATCCAAGTCTGCTTGCAACTGTATACAGTTATCCATTGTTGAGACTCTCTTGAACATTTTAAAATCATCTGCAAAGAACAATGATGATGATGGTCAATCCCTGTCAACCCTAACTTGGCATACGCCTCCGTGGTGTTGTGGCCCAAGACACTGCAGCGAAGTGCCATACGCCAATTTAGCAAAGTGCAAAGACTGGCCTTCCCAGGAATAACGGGGTCAATACGATCCACATCAACAGCAGCCATAGAGACCCTCCTAGACCTCCCACCTCTACACATAGTGATGCAGGCGGAGGCAAGGATGGGAGCGTACAGACTGCAGCCGACAACCGCCTCCAATAAAAGGACGGGAGACATGGCAATAGCTAAACTCGTGGGGGGAGAAATTTTCTACATAAGAACCGGCTACATGCCAAGACGATACTGCCTGAATGGGAACATGGCATACCGGAGACCAAAAAACAAGACCAGACCTGGTACACAAACGGGTCGAAGACCGCCTCGGAGCAGGGGTATACTCCGCCAACTATAGCAAAGACTGTTCACTGGGAAGACATGCCTCTGTTTTTCCAGCCAGATAGTATGCGAATACCAAGAAGAACTCAGGGCCCTGGCAAACCAGAATAAGGTGAAACTTATCTGGGTGCCAGGACACAGAGGAATCGAAGGCAATGAAAAAGCTAATGAACTCGCAAAGAGAGAGTCAGTGACAAAACTTATCAGGCCAGAACCGGCTCTAGGAATACCAAAAAGTATGACCAGAAGCCATATCAAAGACTGGATTCGTAAAGAACATTGACGACACTGGACAACTTCCAGGCAGAATCATGGTAGGGAATTCATCGACCAACCATGCAGCAAAAGGGCCGCAGAACTGCTACAAATAAGCAGGAGCCGACTGAGAACCATAACGGGACTCTCGACTGGTCACACACAGTCACTGGACCGCAGAAGACACAGCATTTTCGGGCCACCAAATGTACAACCGGAAACAAGAATGAAACAGCATCCAGTAAAAGACCTGTACAACCTCGTACAAGGCACAAAAATACTGGAGTGGTTGGAATAAACCACACAGGCTAAGTACAATAAAGCCATCTCAGGCTTCAGTGCTGCATGGGGACAATAAGTCTGACAGGCCTGGAACAAGGGGAAAAAAAGCTATCCCCAAAGATGCTGTACCTTATACATATGTGGATAAATAAATTTGACTTTCACTTCAAACTCTACATAGGTACTTTGAAAAAATTAATATTCCATATTTGAAAAGGTGTGGGGGGTGAATTGTCGCTGTCTCAATTTTTTCGAATTTCTTTTTGCTTTCTGTAGTAATTTTTTTTTCTTCATTTTTAGGGCCGTATCACAGTTAAATGGCGTAGAAGTAGAGGGAAAAGCCTTAAAAGTGGAAATGGCCGTTGATAAACGATCGCGACGAGGGCCTCGGGGTCCGGGCGCTCCTTTCGGGGGCCTCCCCGGACAGAGCCGACAGACAGATTTTCCCTTGAGGATACTCGTACAAAGTGATATGGTAAGTGTAAGTTTGAAAACCTTTTTCGGACCAAATAAATCTGATTAGCGGTAATTAAATCCTTTGAACTCGAACCCCTCTCGACAAAAAAATGGTACATTAGATTTAATTGATGATGGCAAATAGGCAAACCAAACCAATCGTAGATCAAACTTAATTGACAGAAATAATAGAATGTTATTCAGGGACAATTAAGCTAACAAGATATTCATCTGTATACAGTTACACTCAAATTCAAATCTATGTTTTTTTGTTTTTCTAGGTAGGCGCTATAATTGGCAGACAGGGTTCAACGATTAGACAAATAACTCAACAAACGCGAGCCCGAGTAGACGTGCACCGCAAAGACAACGTCGGCTCTTTGGAAAAAGCCATCACTATTTACGGAAACCCTGAAAATTGTACCAATGCCTGCAAGAAAATTCTGGAAGTTATGCAACAAGAAGCCAACAACACAAACAAAGGGTATTATTATTGTCAGAAATCGTATTTTTGAACCTAATTAAATAATTATTTCAGAGAAATTTCATTAAAAATCCTTGCGCACAACAATCTGATTGGTCGGATTATAGGCAAGGGCGGTAACACCATTAAAAGGATAATGCAAGAGACCGAGACCAAGATAACCGTATCCAGTATAAACGATATCAATTCGTTTAATTTGGAACGAATAATCACGGTAAAAGGTTCCATTGATAATATGAGCAAAGCTGAGGCTCAGATTAGTGCAAAATTGCGTCAGAGCTATGAGAACGATTTGCAAGCGATGGCTCCTCAAACTATGATGTTCCCAGGTACGAATCATGATTAAATTATCTTTGGAGCAAAAAAAGCCTGCTTTTAATAGGGGACTAAAGTGATTTAAGCCCATGAGTGCAGGCGAATAAACTTCACTTTCAGGATTAAAGCGGGCCACTTTGGTCCTTTGATATATAATATGCGATTAACTTGTTCGCTAACTGTGTCCGCATTTTTGTGGACAAATCTCAATGTTTACGCCTGTAATTGAGTGATCAGTTAATTAATAATATTGATCAGAGTAAGGAATACTATGCAAGTATAGTTTCGAAACTAACACTTGGAAGTATCAAATCATATCATATATAAACGTGAGTTGATCGCTCTAGGCTTACTTAAAGTGATCATGATTTGTAGTCCACAGTTTTTGAAGGTTTTTTCCGGATATCTCCTGGAGTATTTGAAATATCCTAAATATAAAAAAGGGCATCAAATTACAAAATTTTGTCCTCATTTAACCTATCCTGTATCTCTCACCGTTTCCAAGATCCCAATGAAGATACAGGGTCAAATTTAAACCCTGTATCAGAAATGTCTAATAAAAAAAATTACCTATTGGTCAAAATGTGGTCAATGATCCTGTACCCAACTCGATTATTTATTTCATTAGAAAGTTTTTCCTAGTCCCATCCAAGTTTTGCTCTCATTCAAAAAATCCATACTCAGTGAGCTCGACTAGAAGTCTAATGCATTGATCTTCATTGCTTCTTATCCAATGGTATTTTTGTCAGGCATCATTGAATATGAGTCTGACATGCTCATTACATGTTCTCTTCTACTCAATTTTCACACGATGTTACAAAAAATTACTAGTACAATAGATTTATAGATAAGAACAACAAATAACTTTTTTCATATTATAGTTGAAATGTTTCCTTGTTTTGTTTCAGGTTTGCATCCTATGGCGATGATGGCAACAGCGGGAATCGGATATGGTTCTCGCGGGTTGTACGCAGGCCAGGCGCCCTACCCCGGCATGTACCCTTCGGCAGGACCATCGCAGCAAGCCGGTGACGTTCAAGAATCCACCTTTTTGTACATTCCAAACAACGCTGTCGGTGCCATTATTGGAACCAAAGTAAGTTGTGCCTAGTAATTTTCAATTGGCGTATTCAAATGATTTGATTTTTAAGGGTTCGCACATTCGAAATATTATTCGTTTTTCGGGTGCTTCCGTTAAAATCGCACCATTGGACGAAACAAAGCCACAAGAAACTCCCAGCGAAAGACGCGTGACTATTGTAGGCTCTCCTGAAGCTCAATGGAAGGTAACTAAATTGCACAAATCACTCATTAAAAATATGACAATTGTTGCTGTTTCAGGCTCAGTATTTGATCTTCGAAAAAATGAGAGAAGAAGGCTTTGTCGCCGGCTCGGACGACGTCAGACTGACTGTCGAGATTCTTGTGCCGAGTTCGCAGGTCGGACGTATAATCGGCAAAGGTGGACAGAACGTGCGCGAGCTGCAACGGGTCACTGGCAGCGTGATTAAGCTGCCAGAACAGGGCGCCACTCCTCAAGAAGATGAGACTACAGTACATATCATTGGACCTTTCTTCAGTGTCCAGGTAAGAACTAATTTATGGTTTTGGCAATTGAAGTTAATGTTGTATAATCTGTTGTGACTCTTCAGCTACATACCTTGCGTTCGGTATTTTGCTCAAAGAGCAAAGCGTGCTGAGTGGAACCGTAATCACGTGACCGCTGAGCGAACAGAGCAGTTGAACGCTGTATCAGAGAGCCAGAAATTTCAATAAATTAACGCGAATGAGCCTGCACCGAGTACACTTTTTAAATAAACGAACGATAAATTCGAGCTCGGAGAACTCAGATCAAAATACCGAACGCACCGATAGAAAACTTCCTATTTATTCAACTTCAAAATTTGATAAGTGCCAAACCGCGGGCCAAACCGCGGACGAAGTACTTCGGAGTAACTCTGGAGTGTTTAAACTGTGGCACCAGAAAGCGGCTCAAGATCAAGTGATTCCTTCATATACTTCAGGGTGCCAAAATTATTTTGTTTTCCATGATGCTGATTTATGTTGCGTTTGAAGTTTCTCGGTTGTCACTCTGGTTGTCACCCTGAACTACATGAAGAAATACACGGAAAAATACACCAATGTAATATGGGCTTTAGTTACTAATTTTCAACTTGGGGTTTTATCTTTAATAGAAAACAAACTTTATACACATTCACTACCTAGTCCGGTGCCTACTAATCCCCTATAAATCTTGAATGCTCATTATCAAGGTTCCTAAAATTAATAGGTTGTCAGGTAATGGGAAACAGATGACGTTATCTGGGTTGCCTTATGTTAAGGCACCCCAGATGACGTCATAAAGGTAACATTAAAGTGGGGTTAGATTTTTGATTGTTGGCCGTTTGATGGTTTATATTATTCAAATCAGAATTTTGTATAAACTATAGCCGTGTTCGTTTTTGACATCTTTTTTGTCGATTTGCTCCGAAATTTTGATAGGCACATGATTTGTAAATTAAAACTGTCTGATCTAGTCACGTGCCTGTCAAAATTTCGGAGCAAATTGACGAAAAAGATGACAAAAACGAACGAGGCCTTTGTTTCAATGATTATTTTGAATATTTGCTTATGTTTATTAGAAAGCTTTCTACACCAAACGAACAACTGACAGTTGACATTTATCGAATTGAACCTATTTTTCCAGATCGATTCGCGGCTGGATTCTATTTTACGTGTCAAGTCGAAACTCGTATCGAATTGTCAAAAGAGCAATTCAATTTCAAGGATGATACACATTACTTCTACAGGATGGCCTATCCTCATAAGGCCTGTGTGTAACAAATCCCCCCCCTACCCCTTACTCCAAATTACCAGTTGTGACGTAGGCAGCATGTTTTTTATCGCCTTGACGTAGGCAGTGGCGTAACTAAGGGCCCGCAGTTGCGGGAGGGGCTCGTCATCTTGGGGGCCCAGATACAAAAATAAGTATATGAACGAAAATTGAGAAAAATATCGTAGTGTATTATATCGTTGGATTCGCTTTAAAATACTGTATTTAGTAATGTTATGAAAGTGATATGTTTCTATTCTACTTTTTGAGCTAGGGCAAAAATACTGAAATAATGCAGTTTACAGCCCTCTATCAAAAAAGTTTTACAAAGATAAAATTGAGTTTGTATTTTTCTGAAATTAAGTAAAGTATGTAGAGTCATTTTAGGATGATCATGGCACTCTAGTGAAAAAAATAAAATTTAATTTAAAAATTAAATTTGGACAAAAATCGATTCAAAAGTGGTGCATTAGGATGTAAAACGATCTGTAGAATCCGAAAAACAAAAAATATACAGGGTGTGCCATTTAAAAATCAAGAGTTCCGGTCATTTCCGGTAAAACCGTAAATCAGGAAAAATTGTCATAAATGCATAAAAATGGCGTTTGATTAGAATATCAACTCTACCAAGTTTCGTTGATATCGATAAATAAATAAAAAAATGGCAGCCGGAAAGTTATCTCGTGGGCACCCGGTATATAGTACGACGGTCGAAATTTGATCGTGGCGTAATTTAGTGATTGACTATCTAATCGGCCGACCAAAATTCAGTTCGTGGGAAAACCCAGAATAGGAAAACCTATTATCCACTGATGAGAAAATTTTGGATTGATTTTCTCTGCTTTTCCATCCATAGACGCGTTTCGACCTATCAGGTCTCATCAGCATTATATACAGGGTGGGGACTTTAACTGGAACTAATTCGCCAGAGCCATCGGATAAAATATGTGGACAAAACGAAAAAACACGTCGATTAAGATTTTTTGCTTAAGATTTTTTCACATTAATTTTGGTTCCAAGAACAGTTGTCAACTTCATTTTTTTAAATGGCAGCCCCTATATATTATAAAATTTTTGGATTCTGCGGAAAATTCTAGAAATATTTCATGTATAATGTGATATACCTATCTTCAACTGTTTCGGAAATATTTACAGTTGAAAATTGACTTTTTAGCAACTTTGATTGGCTGACGGAATTTTTAATCATAGATTAAATTCAAAGTTTGTGTCAAATGATAGCTTATGGGAAACTAAGATCAACATGTATGATCGGTTTTACTGTAAAATCAACCATTTAGGTTTTAGAGTTTGTCAAAGATGCAAAAAAGTCAATTTTCAACTGTCAATATTTCCGAAACAGTTGAAGATAAGTATAGGACATTGTACATAAAATATGTCTAGAATTTTCCGCAGAATCTAAGAATGTCATAATATACAGGGGTTACTATTTGAAAAAATAAAGTTGATAACCGTACAGCTGTTCTCGGAACACCCTGTATAAAAAAAATTATGTGAAAAACTCCTAGGCAAAAAATCTTAATCGACGTGTTTTTGCGTTTTATCCAAAGGCTCTAGCGAATTAGTTCCAGTTAAAGTCCCCACCCTGTATATATAAAAGATGGGCCCCAGATATATCCTTGCGGGGGGGCCCCGGATTTGAAGTTACGACACTGGACGTAGGCTGTTTAAACAGCTGACGACTTATGATGTCATAAATGGTAACACTCCAATATGGCGACGATCACCAAAAACGAAGCCGATAAGCAATCCTGTAGGTGTGTATTATCCTTGATTCAATTTTTCGATACGTATAAAGTCCGAAGCTGTCGTATTCTATATCGAGTGTCATAACCAAAGTTTAGTCATAACCATAACAGACACTTTGACTCGACTCGAAAATAGAATCCGGCTGCTGAACTGAACTGAACTGAACTTAAATAGGGAATTTTCATATTTCTCAATTTTTTTTTTTTTAGATACTTCTCGTGATCAAATATTTTCTTTTTTTCCATTTTAATTTATACGTTGTACGAAAAAAAAATTATTGAAATTCAAACCAAAACTTTGGCGCGAAAACGCGAAATTTCAATGTGACAGCACTCATGACGTCAAGATTTTATAAACAACAAACGCAGCAAACGAACTCTTGCTGATGCAGTGCTATTTTTGTGTTATTCAAGTGTGTTGAAGTTTGCTTTTTGTGAAAATTGTTGCAATGGATGAAGAATATTGTAAAGGACTGCTTTCGTAAATTTTATTTCACTTGCAAGTTCTCTATTGACAGGTTTGTTTACAGAATCGTGACGTCAAAAAGGTAGCCATCATGGAAGCATTGTTTTGGCGGGAAATTTTTTATTTCAAATTTTATGTGTTTTTTTGTGTAACCAGGAGCGGTATCAGTTAAATAAAAACTGCCTACTGGTCATATAAATATTGTGCAGTATAAAGTATCGATTTAAAACAATTTTGGAAAATTTTAGTTCACTTGCAAGTTCCCTATTATGCATTATGGTATTTTGCCATATTTCAAAAACCAAGTCAACTGGAGGTTTGGCGTGTAGGGGTTTTAGCATAGTTGAGACGCTGAATTAATTACAATAAAAACAAAGAGGGATTTTCATTCAAAAAAATTAAGTAACATACGGCATCTTAGAAAACGGTAACATTGCAAATACTCTCATTGAGTCGGGCATTCTCAATGACATCTTAACACAGATAGACACCGCATCTCATTCATGGGATCATGGTGGGGATGCATCAGAGGTGTTTAGTGTTTACAAGACCCGTTTTCTCGTTCGAACCCGCCATTCACTTGATCAAAATATTGAAGCATGGGTGCAACTAGTTTATCTATCTATCTGCCTCTAACTCATATGATATACATTGACATGCCAATCGATTACAGCTTGTGTTCCACTTGTTCCACAAAACCGGCATTGCCAGTAGTCGGTTTTAGTCTTGCAAGCTTCAGTTTTTCGAAAGCAAAGTCATAACAGAATAATTTTTATTCGTAGGCGTTGGCGACACAACATTTTGTTTACTGTAATGTCTATCTGTGTTAATATGACATTGAGTATTCCCAAAAAACCGGTAGGAAATATTGTACAGTCGTGAGCACAAAAAATGGGACACCCGTTTTTTCCTATTGTAAAACGGGCTCACCACCTATACTTACGGCAATGATAGGGATTGTCATATTTGACAAAAAATCGATTGTAGAGAAAAGCAAAATAGCGAAAAATTACAAGACCTGTCAGTCGGGTGTCCCACTTTTTGTGATCATGACTGTACATTTTTCTCAAGCGCGTTCTGAAATATCAGACCGTTTCCATGCATAGAGACGACCCTGTAAATATTGTTGGTCACCTTGAATTCATACATGCATAAAAACATACAACCCGCACTATCACAACTACTCATCAGAACCTTGTGATATTTTGAAGTTTTCTTAGGATCTTTGTTTAAAGCTAGGTTGACACGGTCCAAGTGTACTTGGATCAAGGATACACTTGGATCGCATAAACTGTGTAATCCAAGTCCAGTTGGATAGGTTCGAGGGGTTTTTCACCTTGTTAATCGGTGTACAAATCACTGGTTAATATATGTCAATACCAGGTAAATACTATGTCAATAGTGTCAATACTATGCAATACCTACTTGTTAATTATGTAGGTAATATGTCAATACTTGTAGATATCTAGGAAATATATGTTAATGTCATTGGTTGATACCCATTAATAACATGTAAATACCTGTGGATATGTCAATACCTAGAATTCTGGCAAGACTGAGGGCAAGACAAATATTTGATTTTAGTCTGTCAATAGCATGGAAATACCTGGTAATATGTGATAATACTAGGGAAATACCTGGCAATACGTGGAAATATTTTGTTAATACATGGAAATAGTTGGCAATAACTTGTTATTAGGTACATAGAAATATCTGTTAATACATGGAAATATCTCAGATAGTACTGTTAATCGGTGTACAAATTTTGTTAGGTGAAAAATTCCTCGGATAGGTTCCAGTATCCAAGTAAGTCAATTGGACTTGGATAACAGTTGATACGATACAAGTGAGGCGCGCGCAGCATTCCAAGGGTACTATTGATCGAAGTACACTTGGATCGTGTCAACTTGATTTCAACACTAGCTGTATCCCTTGTTCCAACTCACCCTCACGATTCTGCGCAAAACCTAAAATGCGTGTAGAATCCGAAATTCATAGAGTGGTTCCGAAACCGTTCTTAGGACGGGTTTTTGGTGGATTGATACAGACCTAATATCTTATCTTCATGTCACATGATTTTGGAGTTGGGATGGTATTTTGAAAATCAAAAAATTATGACTTTTTATTCTTTAATAAAGCTGTTTGTGATCAGACCATTTTCTGACCTAAGTTAGCGTTTTCGATATCCATTTGTTGATCAGCAGTGTGCACTGAGTGCATTCGCATCTTTTTCTAAAGGCATGTAAAATATAAGGATAAAAATAGATTTTTTTTTGCACTGACTCTGCAAATGGAAATTGCTATCAATTATTTTCTTCAAGTTAGAGAAAATGGTTTGATTGTAAGCAGCTTATATACATACCTAAACCTAATCAGATTAAATGAAAATATAAACAGCTGCTACTTACCTTTGTGGCATCTGAAGTGTTTCCCTATGTAAAACTAGAAACAAGGACAATTTAGTAACTATTCTATGACAAATATTCCATTCAAAATATTTTTGTAATTTTATTTTATTTTTTCTGTTTCCAGTCAGCACAAAGACGAATCCGTGCCATGGTTCTGCAATCGGCAGCGCCACCAGCCGGTAGACAACGTCAACCGCGCCCGCCAAAAGAGTCGAGCCAATCGGAAGGTACCTCGGCAGAGCAACAGTAAAAACCCAGCTTAACAACATTCACTGCCTTGGCCCATCGGTTTTTACACATACCTTATTGTACAGGATCACATCTCGAGGCCTTCCACTACTAGGATTCTATAATGTAGCGCAATATTAAGTTTTTTTCGCTTTGGGTTAAAGTTTTTTTCGTTATTCACATTTTACGAGTTAAGTATATGGTAATGTTTAAGTGGAAAGTTTGGAGAAACGGGCGTGGAATATGGTATGCGTCGACACCCGTGCCTACACTACAAATCTACCTCAAGAAATCAAAATATATTAGATTTTTATAGCCATAGAAAATTTCCGTTGTTAATACCGCAACCCACCACAACAACCTCAGCGTTTCATTAAGTTTTCAATCGGTCAGACACCAACAAGATTTCTTTTTTCTACCTGATGAAAAATGACTACCAAAGATACGTTATTTTTTTCTTAAATAAATAACGTCAACCTGTGTCAACATTTTTTTGTTATAAAGGAAACATGCAACCAACAACGATAAAATAACCATTGTTCAATTGATAATAATAATAAATTATTTGGACCAGCAGCATATAGCATCACCAAATCTAAAGACGCCAAAGTTCCTCAATTGTATACAGCTGTCGTGCGGGACTCAGGAAGTCCAAAATTCCCGCTAAGTGTGAATGTGTCCTCTGGACATTTGTGTGGTGTTATTGTGTGGACATGCCTGATAACAATGTTTGTTATTTTGAAGGAAAAAAAGGCGCGAATGCTAAGGACTATATTATACTAATTTTAGTTTTTATTATTAGGTGATTGTTGAACCAGTGGATTTTTTCTGTAAAAAAAAAGGCAAACGCCAGGGCTAATCTTTTTCAATTATTTTTGTTTTGTCAATGTCGGGATTAGCCCTTGCGCGCGCCCAATAATGTTTGTTGCAAAAAATTACACTGGGCGTTTGTTGAAGTGGTTCAATTTGAATTTCTCTTTGAAAGTAAACTTTTTTTAACAGATACTTTATGAAACAACAGAAAATGGGTAAGTGAGTTTAAGTTTCAAAATAGCACAATCAAATTCTGCTTTTCTTACTGTAAAATGTATAGTTTGAGATTTCAAAGAATGCAAACTAAAACAGGTAGGTAGATAAATCAATAATAATAAATATTTTTATGATTCAGCTTAAAGCTCGGTTTACCATTTAAACAAACGCCCAGTATAAATTTATTAACCAGAAGATAGGTCTGTAAGGTAGTACACCTTGCAAAAGCGGGTAGGATGCCTTGTGTCAAGGCCATCCGCGTCCCTAATAGTACAAAAAAAATCAAGAGGGACAGTTTTGCCCCTCGCGGTCCCCCCTTTTTCGAGGTGGAGCATGCGACCCACTCGGGGGGGCCCCCTCCGGCCTATAGGTGGGGCTGGAGTAGTGTAAAATAATATTTTTGATAAAAAATTTTGTTGGGGAGGATTATTTTTTGTTAGAAAAAAAAATGAAAAGAAAACGTTATTAAGTATAGCGGGGTCGCTATTTTAAAAAAAAAAAATTGTGAAAAAAATGGATATATTTATTAGATTTTTATGTATAAAATTTTTTAAATTATTTATAAAAGAAAAAATTTATAAAGTGTGCCAAAGTGCAAGAATGTTATGAAAAAAAAAATTTAAGAGGACCGCATTTATTTGTTTTAGAAAAAAATTGAATATTTGAAGGGTACATGTATTTATTTCCGGAAGAAGAAAAAAAAATGTTCTTTAAAAGCACTTGCCCAGCTACATTCGGGATTTTAATATTGAATCATCACACACACATTCAAAACTCAATCCATTTATTTCACACCAAAAATGTCTAATTGTCACCACAGATTTCTGGCCGCTGCAAAATTTTCAAAAAATAAAAAATTACCTTGTTTTAAGGAAATCCTTAACACGTTACCATTGAAAAAAACAAAGGATTTCTGTAAAACGATTAAGAATTTTTTGTTACCAGACCCCCCAAACATACCCACATTAACATTTTGCTGTTTTACAGAAAGTCTTAATTTCGAGACTCGCTGTATTGAAGCAGCAATCTGTAGGTATGAAAAAGCTTACTACTATCAATAAATGGTAGAATAGGTTTAAAAAAGGAAAAACAAAATAAATCAGTCCGACCCAGTACAAGTTCTGGTTGATCTGCTATGGAAAAAAAAAATGTATGCTCACAAACAATTTGTTAGCTCTAATCTCATACTTACACAGATTGTCAACAAGAACAATTAGTTGTTCCAGTGACATTGTTGTATGGTTAAACATAACCAACAGAATATTGAAATAATAATCGGCTTTTTAGGTTTAGCCGGATTTTTTTTTTATCAATTAAAGATGGGTATAAATAGTGCCTAAAAAAAAATAAAATGAAACCTGTGTACGGGTAATTTTGACGTTAGTAATATATTTGATTAATTTTTAGTTTTCAAATAATAATTAACGCTTTTTTTTACATAGATTATTTTGTAGTTTGTATACCTTTGTTTTTTTTTTGTGCTTGTGACCGAGTAACGAGGTTATTTAGTGATTACGTGTTAGTTTTTTTTTTTTTTTTGAATGAAGAAGAGTCAATTTTACTCGTTAACCAGCTGGAAAGTGTCTCTGCGTGGAGTAAAATTAATATTTCCAGTTTTGTAATAGTCTGTATACGGGGTGCAAGATTTTATTCGTAGGTTTTGGCTAAGGTAATAATTACTGTTTGATTGAAAGTGTTGTTGCACTATCGAATCTGGCTGATAATTAGGGAATCTAAATCACGTGACTTTGCCCACAAGCAGGCATTTTTAAATTTTTATAAGGTTAGAATACGGGTTGTTACATGTCAACGATGTCAGAAAAGTGTCGGATTTTTTAAGTCAGCAAGAAGTCGCCCAGTATATCGATAATCCCGCTAAAAGAAAACATACCTATGTTTTTTGTTTATTGTTTGCCAACCAGGCGCCATTTTTTAACAGATTGCCTAATTAAATTCATTCAATTTCCAAGTAACCTGTACAATTTAAATGCTTGCAGTTACGTGTGTAGCCACCTTTAGATATTAATTTTTGTAAAATCCAATGGCGTACTCTGTTTTTTTTTTCCTAGATATTTCTGATTTTGAAATACTGTTCAAAGTTATGTGCAAATTTTTCAATGTGAACATCATAGGCACAATTCACCAATGAAACATTGGAGAATTGAAAAAAAAAAAAACGACTTTGTACAATATGTCAAAATTGGAAATGTTACATTACAGTCCAAAACCTACAGAAATGATCAAACCCGCCCCGTACTTATCACTTTTCAGAACAAACAAGTTGTTAGCTTATTGGAACTAAAAATATGTAATTATTATCATAGCTGTAGTTGTCACTCGAAAAATCAAATGAAGAAAATGCGCTTTGTTGCTTTCATTTTCATTTTAGTGTTTCGATATTCCAAATATCCAAACGCATTATTCATTAAAATATTGTCATTTAACCCCCACCCCGCCCCCATATAATATAGAAACATTTACCTATTATTAATTCCTCTGTTCGTTTGTAAAACTTGGTTTACGGAATATTTTTAAATTCACCATTATTAATAGTTTATAGTACATGTTAATTCACTGTACGCTGGAAGGAGACTGATTGTGCAACCAGCCCGCCGTAGATTTAGTAAAATACTTGGACTCGGATAGTAACATTTAAACAGAATAATTAAAATAAATCTCTAATTACAGCTTCGTCGTAGAGGATCTTAATTTCATCAACTTTACCACAAAAAGTATTTCACGTCACCCTAAAACTATTCGAGTATCTAAGGAAGTAAACTACCTCAGTAATTATATATTTCTATATAAAACATAATTTTGTTGTTCATGTTTTATTACTTGGGTAATCAATAGGTTTTAAGATTCTCTGGTGAATACTATTTGTAAAAAAAAATAAATGAAAATATTTTTCAGTTTTTACAAAAACTAGCTCGATAACGTATAATAATTTAAATGTAGTGTGCCATTCGTTTCGAAAAAAACTCTGGAACCGTATAAATAATATGACAAACCAAAGCTGCAAAGGTTGTATTTTTATCGAGGCAGTTTTATTAAACAAAAATCATTTTCGATAAAACTGTCCTCCAAGTTCCTATAAATAGTCTATGTTAAATGTGCATGATGATGGATAACGCTGTACCGAAACTTCGAATTACTTTATTATTGGTGCTTTTTTTTTGGTGACTCGAGTCGCCAAAGTCAATTCGACAGTTTGTGGTAAGGCTAAAATAGGATTAAACACACATCAGCATCTACAAATTTGTCTCAGGAAAATACACTCAGGTTTTCATTTAAAATATTTTTTTAAATAAATGAATTTTTTCAAGATTTTTTTGTTAATTATTTGATGATGTAGATGATGATGGATAGCTTAAATAAATGTAATAAGAATATGTTGTATTACTTTTGTTTAAATGCATTATATATTATATTGGTTTTTTTTTTTTTGTATTCAATGGCATACGATAATAATTGATTATTATTCAGGCTACTTTTCCTTTTGTTTATTTCAACCTCCAATCGTTTAAGTTAAAATAAATAGTGTTCCCTTATGTGAGTTTTTTACTTATCCCCAATCAATATACAGGGCGAGTCCATATCTTCTATACTAATGGAGATTTAAGAAAAAAATAAATACAGAACATGTAGATAAACATGAGTACTACATTCTTAAATTATTTTTCATTATACAGGCTGGCCCAATAAGTAGTGGTGACTCAAAGTTAAGTTTTTTTAAATGACTCTCCCTGTATATTATGACTGTTTCGTCTTTATTCTAATTAAATTTTATACAATTTGGCAACGGTACAAAATTCCTATTTGCTCGCATTTTTTGTTTTGCGCAAAAAGTCGTACCTCTAGATTTTGACAGTTAGGCGTATCAGAAGCTAGTAATTTGAAAAGACTTACTAAGAAACCAGATAAGACGATACACGGGCGCGTCGTAGTACGTCTTAACATGGTCACAATATTTCTAATCTAAAAATTCATTGTGAAGTCCTGTCGTATCAACCTTCTACAAATTTCCTTAACCCGTAATTGGGGAACAGCATAATCCGCAGCGTGTGTGTGAAGCAGGTGGGCACTTACGGAATCACTGGGTAAGTCCTTTTTTTTTTCATTATTTAGAGGTTGCGCGGCAAAGTAAATACAGTCCACTACGGCGCTATACATTACGTATTAGCCAATGCAAAACAATGTCATTTCTGGATTCCTCGGAAAAATCTCAGTGGCGGCTCGTAACTATTTCAAGTGAGGAGGGTAAAAAATAATGAATTACGGTAAGGTAACCACTGCGCAGCAGGCAAAATTTGTTTTGGGGTGCCCATGCCCTCAATAATTTATCTCAAATTCATGAATACTCGAGAAAATGTTCCTTTTCTTCATGTAAGTATATATTTTCAGAGATAATTTTGACGAAAAATAAGCCTACAACTTTCAACTAGAAAAGTAACATGGAATTCTCAATGCATAAAGCAGAGATAAAAAAAAGCAAGGATGGCAGTTTTAAACTATGCGTGCGGCTAGCCGCTCTTCGAGATTATGGTCAGTGAACGCCAGTAGTGGTTCGATATGTTTCCAGCATTTCTATTGGACACTCAGATCCGCGGTCCATTTGAATGCTAGATTTCAGTGAAGCATGTGAGAATCTTGTCTCCACTCAACCTCTGATGTTGTCAGAATAATTGCAGGACAGAGATTCTGACAAAGTGGCCTCGTGTCGGGTACCCACAATTTTTTTCTCATTAAAATCGAAATTTCCTTTTTATTTTTTTTTCGGCCTTAAGATGTGCCGTAGCGAGGAGGGGTCAAATTAACTCTTCATCATAATTTTTGCTCCTCTATGCGATGGTATTTTGTTTTTTGGAAATTCGAAAAAAAAAATCAAAATCAAGAAAGATGGGGACGCTAACTTTTTTCCGGTACCTATTGTTTGCCCAGCGGATCTGAGTCTTTGGAAGGAATTCGGACGTAAATGTGTCATGTTGCCACGTTTAATTATAAAAAAGCGAAAATACTAGGCATGAGGTATAGTTAATTTGAAAATCCATTTTTTAATAACAAAATATTGATAACAATAATAAAATGCTGAATATTTTAACCTGGTTGTTAGATCTATTCTTATTTTAATCCTGATTTCTTTAATTTGGTCTATTGTAAAAAATAAACCTTTTCTAAAGATACCATCAGCTTTTGACAATTTGGCAAGCATCCGTCCTGGATGAACCTGATTGGTGGATTTTTTGGCAGGATCGCCGTTGTCATGGGGAACCATACAGTTGTCAATGAGCTAACGTCACCTTAAGTCTCGCTATTGGCCAGGGCTCCCGTCATTTTATCCTCCCATCTTGGAATATCGATTTATATTGAAATATCCAGTGGCGGAGATTTCGTCATTGCTGATTTTCGTGTAAGAGTTGCAATACGATAACACTTCCAAAAAGTTCCGCACGCAGCTGCGTACTTTATGAATGAAATCAGCCATTTTTGTTTACAACTGCATTCCCCTTACCATTGCCCCGTAGACACAGACTCGCTGGGCAGACATTACATCGGAGAGAATTGAAACTCGGAATATCGACTAGAAATCACATTATGAATATTCCCGATTTTTGATTGGCTCCAAATTATCCACTGACCAATAGGATTATAGACTGGGCACCGTGTTTAAAACAACTTTAGCCCTTCGGGCTCGCGTATAACTCCGGCCCTTCGGGCTCGCGTATAACTCTGGCCCTTCGGGCTCGCGTATAACTCCGGCCCTTCGGGCTCGCGTATAACTCCGGCCCTTCGGGCTCGCGTATAACTCCGGCCCTTCGGGCTCGCGTATAACTCCGGCCCTTCGGGCTCGCGTATAACTCCGGCCCTTCGGGCTCGCGTATAACTCCGGCCCTTCGGGCTCGCGTATAACTCCGGCCCTTCGGGCTCGCGTATAACTCCGGCCCTTCGGGCTCGCGTATAACTCCGGCCCTTCGGGCTCGCGTATAACTCCGGCCCTTCGGGCTCGCGTATAACTCCGGCCCTTCGGGCTCGCGTATAACTCCGGCCCTTCGGGCTCGCGTATAACTCCGGCCCTTCGGGCTCGCGTATAACTCCGGCCCTTCGGGCTCGCGTATAACTCCGGCCCTTCGGGCTCGCGTATAACTCCGGCCCTTCGGGCTCGCGTATAACTCCGGCCCTTCGGGCTCGCGTATAACTCCGGCCCTTCGGGCTCGCGTATAACTCCGGCCCTTCGGGCTCGCGTATAACTCCGGCCCTTCGGGCTCGCGTATAACTCCGGCCCTTCGGGCTCGCGTATAACTCCGGCCCTTCGGGCTCGCGTATAACTCCGGCCCTTCGGGCTCGCGTATAACTCCGGCCCTTCGGGCTCGCGTATAACTCCGGCCCTTCGGGCTCGCGTATAACTCCGGCCCTTCGGGCTCGCGTATAACTCCGGCCCTTCGGGCTCGCGTATAACTCCGGCCCTTCGGGCTCGCGTATAACTCCGGCCCTTCGGGCTCGCGTATAACACCGGCCCTTCGGGCTCGCGTATAACTCCGGCCCTTCGGGCCGGAGTTCCCTTTGGGCTCTTATTACTGAGTATCCCAGATTCACAGATTTTTGTCGTGGAGGCGCGGGATTAATTGGAATAATGTTGTCAGGTTTTTCTAAATTACATTGAAATATCGAAATTTGGAAAGTGTAATTTGTGAATTATTATTTTAATTAGGAACTTAGATTAGGAATCAGGAATAAAAAACTGAGATTGAATTTTCAACTTTTTGGGGGAGGCTTAGCCTCCCCTGCCTCCTCTGACGAGCCGCCACTGAAAATTCTAGACATAAAGTTTGTTTTTTTTTAAAGATAATTCCCAAGTCAAAAATTTAGTAACTATGTTGGCAACACAAGCCTTTTCTACATAAAAATTGGAAAGAATGGGTACATTCAGGCGCCGGTCCCAGCGGCTAAGCTCAGCCACTCAGCAGGAACTCTATCCTCGAAACCAAAGAACAGCGTTCTCATAAAAACGATTACCCTGTCATTGTCAGTGTTATGCCGGACGACAAAGACAGAACCTTCATTCCAATGAGAACGCTGCTCTCCTGTTTCGAGAATATAGTTCCTGTTGAGTGGCTGAACTAAGCCGCTGGCACCGCCTGAATGTACCCATTGACAATTTTACATTGTATTGCCAACATAATGTCATTTTGACTTTTATCTTTAAAAAAGAAACATACTTTATTTCATGTACAATGTCATATACCTATCTTCAACTGTTTCGGAAATATTGACAGTTGAAAATAGACTTTTTTGCATCTTTGACAGACGGTTAATTTTACAACAAAACCGACCGTACATTCTTGTCTTAATTTACATAAACTATCATTTGACACCAACTTGGAATTTGATCCATAATTAAAAATTCCGCCTAAATTATTAATCTCCGGTTAAATTCAAAGTTGGTGTCAAATGATAGCTTATGAAAATCTAGGATAAGAATATAAATTCGGTTTTGCTGTAAAATCAACCGTTTAGGTTTTACAGTCATGTCAAAGATGCAAAAAAGTCAACTTTAAACTGTCAATAACAACAGCTGAAGATAGGTATATGACATTGTACATGAAATATGTCTCGAATTTTCCACAGAATCCAGAAATGTCATAATATACAGGGAGAGTCATTTGAAAAAACATAACTTTGTATCACCACTACTTATTGCGCCACCATGTATTCTGGAAAATAATTTAGGAATCTAGTAATCATGTTTATTTACAAAGTTCTGTATTTAGTTTTTTCTCGAATCTCCGTTAGTATAGGAGATATGGACCTTTATTACCCAATGGTTCAAGATGTGCGTTTTTTGGTGTAGGAAGAGCTCAATAAACACCAAAATGAACATGACATGTAATCATCATCATGTATAAAAATTATTTTTCCCATAACTTTTGTCAAATTACTAATAATCAAACAATTCCCTCAAAATTAAGTCATGTCCGTAATTATGCCTCTTGCAACAAACAGTCTTTTCTTATAATATAAACGTAGGTATAATGGGGGCATGTCAATTTTTCAATTAAGCCCCTCTAAATTGGCGCTACCGATGTCACCAAGTAGAAATTAAGTTTATTTCTAACTTTCAATTTGGGCTTATCGGTCAAACTAAAAATGGACGGGGAAGATGACGACGTTAAAAGATACTTCGAAGTGTTCGATTATGTCGTTTTTGCCGTTATGTTGATCGTGTCCGCGTTAATTGGGGTGTATTTCGCTTTTTTCGCCAAAGTCAAGCAGAACACCACTTCGGAGTATCTTATGGGCGGAAAGACTATGGGGATTTTTCCCATTTCGATGTCATTAATTGCCAGGTAAATACCTATATTTGATTAAGGCTAACCAAAATTATTAACATAACAAAAACAACTAACTCAACATTTTCGTTTTTTTGACTTGTGGCTTCTGGAATACCTTGTGGGACTTTTGCTACTGTCTTCCCGTGAATGTTTGTATTTTTTACTTGTCGCTTTTTTACAAGGCAATAATTCTTCTTTTTGGTCATTTGCTGCAAGCAAAAGTTTAAATAATTTATAATGATTTTTTTAAATTAGTGAATTTTCAACTTTTGCACAGTTACCTAGAACCCAGATATAATGTTCTAAAAAAAAAAAAAAATTCCTAGAACTTGCACCTGAGAAGTTTTTAAATTCAGTCAAGAGAGTACAAAAGAAGTATAAGGAAAATATTAGGAAAGTTTGTGAAACTATCTAGGGAAGTTAGGATATCTGAGAAAATCAAAGGAAATAGGCAAAATGTGTCTCAAATGTACAGAAAGTTTTTATGTAAAATAAGAGGTGGTTTTTCCCTGGGAGTTTCTTACCAGAAGTCCAAAACATGCAGAGGATGTGTGAAAATTATCATGAAGGGTGAGGGAAGTATTGATAAAGTCCAACAAAGTTTAAAGAAATCTGATGAATTATGAGAGAAAGTCGAAGAAGTCTAAGTAAATTCTCATCAAGTATGGGAAATATGTTTCAAATTATAGAAAAACTTTGGAAGTTGGTTTTTCCTTTACAATGGGACACGAAAAATGTGTATCAAACTAAAGTTTCGATGCAAAACTTGGAGGGGTGTACAGGGTGCTTCAAATTCGAGCCACATCATTGAGATTTCGGAAACGGTGAGAGATACAGGGTTGGGTTAAGGCAGAATTGCGTAATTTGATGCCTAACAAAATGCTGCTTTTATAGTTAGGATATTCCGAATATCTACTTGAGAAATAAAGAGGACATATAAGGCAAATCGAGGAAAAACTGTTAGACAAAAAGACATAATTTTTCTATTCCAGGCCTGTTAGACAAAAAGACTTAGTTTTTCTATTCCAGGCTCTCATATTTTGTCTATTTTTCCGAATTTTCTTTATTTAAAGAAGCTTAAAAATATTGAAGATTCAAAAGCCAGGAATCAGCAATAATTCAGGAGAAGAAATTGAGAAATGAGGAGGATATTCGAGGCAAATCGAGGAAAAACTGTTAGACAAGAAGACGTAGTTTTTGTATTCCAAGCTCTCATATTTTGTCTATATTTCTGAATTTTCTGTATTCAAAGAAGCTTAGAAGATATTGAAGATTCAAGAGCCAGGAATCGACAAAAATTGAAAAATAAACCGGACATTTAAGGCAAATTGAGGAAAAACTGGAAGACAAAATGACTTAGTTTTTCTATTCCAGACCAATATCTCATAATTTGTCTATCTGAATTTTCTCTATTTAAAGATTCAAGAGCCAGGAATCGATAAGAAATCAGAAGAAGAAAAACTGAGAACGTCATTGGATTCTGCTTAAAAAACTCAAATGCCCTTAAGTTTAGTATTAAAAGTGTTCAAATTGAACCACCCTGTACAAGTCATGGCATAAAAAAATAAAGATCAATCAGAAAAATCAACAAAAGTATGATTGTAAGTAAATATTCAAATTTAAGAACCTCAAAATTGATGAACTTTGGATTTAAGTCGAAAAATAATTAAGAAAATATCAAACCACAAACCTGCTGTTTTATCCATTTCCAAAAAATACAACTTGGAAGAAGACATCGACTGAGACTCGATCTCTTCGGCATCCAAAGAGTTCCACTTGGAAGGTACAAAATATTCTGGTTTAATTTGTGTCGCTTCAATATTAGACGTTATAACGCATTCTTCGTTATTATTTCCTAAAGATCTTTTGCGTAAATTGGCGCCGTCTAACGGTTCATCAGCATCGCTCGAACTGTCTCCAATGTCTAACGGTTTCTGGTTGAAACAATCTTCAAACTGAAACAACTAATTAGTTATAGTTTATAGATAATCGCAAGCAGTTTCACCTTTTTTGTTAATTCCGCACTCAAATGCCCAAAAAGTTGCAACTGACGTACGACTTTTATAACTTTAGAGCTAAACATCAATTTATCCACGTCATTTTTCATATCTTTAAAACACCTAGAGAATTCATCGAAAATCGTTTCGAATTTGATTTGTAGGTTTTTGTTGGAACAATTGTATAAGATGTCGTAGAGCAAATAAAACCTGGCTACTTTACTGGGGGGCTTTGTGGACGAACGACATAATGACTGGAAAATAATCTCGAGTGAATCATTAATAGCTATTTCGTGTTGCAGACAAAACACCATAGCGTCAGCGATCGAGGATGAGCTCAAATTTAAATTTTGTATCAGCTCAACTAAATGTTCACTTTGATTTTCTAAAACAAATTTCATTTTAATTAGATTTACCTATAAAATTTTGATGATTCACCTGATAAAAGTTGACGGTCATATTTGTCTTTATTTATAAGCTCTTCTGGCATACCAGCTTCATAATTTGGTGCGATGGGTGGTAGCCAAATCGAACCACTCTTAAACATCCTTCAAAAAAAATTGTTAAAAACTTGTAGATACAAATCTGAAAAATACCTAAACGGATTCATGTTCCACTGTTTGGTGGAGTCCCCTTGAAGAATACTGAACAATTTCCATCTAAAAAAAAATCAATTACCTATTACAAAATCATCAAACAATAACAAGATCTACTAACCTATAATAAATATGATTCGCTGATTTATTGTCAAACAAAAATTGATAATCTGGATTGTTGATTTCTCGATTCATTATCATTGCCTCAAACAGATGGCCATCTTTTATCACATACTCGGCCATTCTATTGACCAAAATTCGGGTTTTCTTGCATAGAGGCACAGTCACTTTGACAACAGATTCAATTAGAACATCTTCAAAGTCTAACAAAAAAAAAAACATATTAATTTGGTATAATTATCTTCAATACTAACTAATTTGTAATTACTTTTCGCTTCAGCAGTTTCTCCATCAGTCTGAGCATTAAACGGTAAACCACTCTGAGGTGGAGGTAGAAACATCCTCAAAAGATCCTGAGGGATGTAGACTGGATGTTTAGGAAGTTCAACCGATTTGCCCCATCCCACCTTCATATCGGTACGGTGTTTCATATGATTCAGGGCGCGTTCTGCGTCTTTGCGGCTCATGTAAGCCACAAAGCCGCAATTGGTGTTCAGTCGCCGGAATTTTTCGTCTCCTGCAAAATAAATTTAATTTTTTTTTTTTTTGGGTTTGGATTTTTATACCTGATTCACCTCTGGGCCACATTATTTTAACGCTAGCTAACGGTCCGAATTTGCCAAAGTCTTGAACCAAGTGCGCCTCGGTGATTCTTGCATTTAAATTGGAGATGAAGAGGTTTGTGGAATTTAAGTCTTTTTCGTCGAAAGGGCTTAGTGGGGGCCCTGCGTTAGATATTTCTTGTTTCAGTCTTTCTCGTTCGTTTTTTTCCGACTGCCTTTGCTGGATTTCCTCTTTCAGCAACTCCAAGTTGGACTTGACTTTGTTCTTTTTCTTTTTTATTATCAAATTATCGTCGACGTGGTTTAATAGTTTTGCATAATCGATAGCCGCGTTTTTGCTGGCACTTTTTACGATTGGCTTTGGTGCGTACAGTTGAACCTTCGTCGAAGCTAATTGGGTTTTGTCGCCATACAGAATGCCGGATTTAACGAAAGTTTTGCTTGTCGGTGCGGTTTTTTCGAAGGAATTGACGAAATCGACGAAAACGTGAGCGGCTTCTTCTTGCTCCTTGAGCTGTTTCTTCTGTTTCGACATTATTGACTATTTTGGAATTGAGGATACCTAATGTTAGAAGGATTCGTAGCTCTAAAACTTCCGCAAACCTTCTCTAAATTAGAAATTCTAATCCCTTAAACTTTTTACAGAGTGACCCAAATACTTTCAATATCCTCATTCGTACATACATTCAGAATTTTTACAAAATTTCTCAAGAAAACCCACCCAAAATTCCTTTTCAGGCGTCGTCGTCCTGAAAAATCCCCTCGCCAGACAATGGGTTTTCGGAATTCATATTTTTTTGTCGAGAAATCCCCGAAATCTTTCCGAAATCCTACCGGAATCCCCGAAATCCTTCCGAAATCCACGAAATTACTCCGAAATCCGCCGAAATCCCTCAGAAATCTTTCCGCAGACCCAAAAATCCCTCGCAATTGGCCCAAAATTCATAAACCGGTCAATGCGGCCGTTTTTCAATTTATACTAATACACTTTCGAATATACCTATAAGATAAGTAACAGTCTAAAATCAAATTAAAATATTTGCGAAATCACCTGAAATTACTCGAAATCACCCGAAATCTTCCGAAATCCCTCAAAATCGCTCTAAATCTGAAATCTTGCCACAGTGAATAATCCCTCGAAATCTTTCCGAAATTCTACCGAAATCCGCCGAAATCACCCGAAATTCCTCAAAATCGTTCTAAATCCGAAATCTTGTTACATTTTTCCCTTAGTGAATAAGCCCTCTATTTCTGTATAGTCGGTGATGAAAATTACTGGCAGAAACTCATATAATGCCGCACACAATAACGACGAGGCGGCAAATCAATATAAAAGCTTGTTATTGAGGTATACCTATTTATTGATTAAATATGCACGCCACTGGAATCATATCCGCTTGACATCTCATAATAGTATAGAAGGCAGTGACGATTTTCAGCACTTATTTTCCCAGTTCCAGTTAGACAACATGGATAGAATTGTAGGGTTATTAATTCTAAGCAAAATTCATATATTTTTAGGGGGGGTTTTCCGATGGGTTGAGCCGCAAAATGCGTTAGAGCTTACGAATGCACGGTCCTTTTTTTCCAGTGATAAAAAAAATAGGTCTACTAATGAGAAGTATACTGAAGTTACGTAAAAAAATAGTCCGGCTAATCTGTGAGTATGGATAATACGTCTGGCAAGTGAAAAATTGAAGATCGAAAAATTTCAGCCAGACTCACTTTCCACTATCTGAGATAAGCCAAATTGCTATTTTCATATACTTTATGTTCTATTATAGTGAATGTGAAATATTTATGAGTGGGAAAATATGAACCCATCCGAAAATGTTTGCGAAAGTCAAATATTCTTGTTATGTAGGCACGCTAATGAACTTATGGCCGTTTCCACCAACTATTTTAGGAGAGCCTTAACGATAGGTATTCCTTAAAATGACATTTTTACCTGGAGAAATGTCAGTTTAGGGAATACTTATCGTTAAGGCTCCCCTAAAATAGTTGGTGGAAACGGCCATTAGTACCTTATATTGTCTGGCCAACGAATCTGAAGCTACGCGGGGCTTCGGTAAGGGGAATGCAGTGGTAATAAAACATGGCTGATTTCATTCATAAAATATCCAGCTGCGTGCGGAATTTATCGGAAGTCACATTGCAAGTCATACACGAAAATCTTCAATGACACTGCCACTGGATATTTCAATGTAAGTAGATATTTGAAGATAGGAGAATAAAATTACGTGGGCTCTGGCCAAGATTACCAAAGTTGATAGTTTGTCTGGTAAAGGATAACTTTAGGTTCGTCTTAGACCGCATGTTTGCCAAATTGGCAAAAGCTGATGGTACTTTTAGAGAAAGTTTACCTTTTATAATACACAAAATTGAAGAAATCAGTTATTCAAATAAGAATATATCTAACAACACAACCGAAATATTTAGCGGTTTCTTATTACCGATAGTTTAATAAAAAATTGATTTTCAAATGAAATATACTTAATATCTATACCATTTCCAAATCCAAGCGGCAGTAAATGACATTCAAATAACCTAAATTGTACACAAACACCAGCCTTCCTATTGGTTGAAACGCCCTACCTGGACCAACGGAAGACATTTGATAGGTTGTAATAAAAATGATCAGTTTGTCATTTACTGCCGCTTGGAGTTTTTATAATTAAACGTGGCAACATCGCACATTTTCTTCCATAAGAGCCCCACACACTACGTTGTTTCTCGTCGGTTTTCATCGTCGCGATTTAACAACGTCGTGTTTCATGGTCAGCCTGTTTTTACCACACACTACACGATTTTTTGGCAGTTTGGACCCACATACAACGGTTTTGGAACGGAATGTTGAGCCGTCGTGACAAAAATCAAGCTCGGACTGAATTTTAAACCGACCATGAAACACGACGGTCTTCTACCACACACTTCGGTTTTAGATCGTCGTGTTCATCGCCCGACGAGAAAGAACGTAGTGTGTGGGGCCCTTAAGTGTCCATTGGGTGTAAGCTCACAGGGGTGCCAAATTTTTGTTTGCTTCCGAGATATAAGGGCAAAATGCATGGAAAACCTATTTAATTACTAGATTTATTTTTCGCTCAGCTAAAATACGTTCTTTTCTTGATTTTTATCCGAAATTGAGTGTTAAATAGTGACTATTTAATTTAGTTAATAGTTTTAATTAAATAACCAACAAAATGGTACAATTTCCCCACATGATATTGAATTTATGTAATTACATACCTGGTAAAGATTAAATTGTAGTTTTCACTAATCCTAATTAGTATTATTAAATAAACACTATTTATTTTATTTTTGCAAAATTAACAAAGGTCTAATTGTTCAAATTCAAAAAGTAAAATGGCGTCAATGACGTTTGACGTTTCGCTGGGTTGGAAGTTTGCTTATGGCGTTTCCGATTGGTAGGTTCAGTGCGCACTGAGTGTATTTGCATCCTTTTAATCGACTTGTAGGAGAAAAAGAGAGAAATAGAAAAAATTGCACTAGTTCCGCACTAAATCTACCAATCGGAAACGCCATTAGAGAAGTTTGTTATCAAAAGAATATGTTTTCTCTTTTTCTAAGCGCCTCAAGAGAAAGAAGGATAAAAATAAATTGATAAATTGCATTCAGCTGACGTAAATTTTCAAAATATTTAATTTTGACAGGGCGCGAAAATAATGTGAATATTTTCAACTTTTTGCGGTGAAAAATTAGTTAAATTTTGTCCTTTTTGTTTGCTGTTAATTTTTGAAATGTAAACATCTTTGTCGGCGGTATGAGGACGTAAATTTTGGGAAATGGGGATGGAAGTGTGAGAGCGGATATATCACATATACATACATATAGCGAATTCCATTGGAAGCGTTAGTTCGCAGTTCGCACTGAGTGTATTCGTGTCTTTTTCTACCAGCTTGTATAAGAAAGAGATAAAAATAAATTTTTTCTGCACTAGTTTTACCAATGGAATTCACTTATAGTAGATCGCTCTAAATTTGTGAAATTAATCACCATGATTATGAGTACTGAGAAAAATTAGCAGTAGAAATTTTGACGGAGAAAAAAATTCGCAGTATGTACTAGACTTGAAAAAAAAATAAATAAAATTGCAATATTTTAATTAGTCCGCCATATTTTGCACCAATCAAAATCTGCATTGTTGTCAGATTGACACGAAATTGCTGTAGAAATAAATTTCGCGGCAAAGCGTGACATATGAGTTTTCATGAATCAACAACAACGTGGCAAGAATGCAGCCAATAAAAACCGATGGATGGTGACGTCATCATCCCACACCATTTGAATTTCAAGTGGAAATTTATAGGGCCTTTCCCGGCGTTACTTATCAAGAGTCGTAAAATAGTTATTTTCCTAACAAGTACGGACAATATCATTTTTTCGCAAGTCTAATGGCCGTTTCCACAAACTATTTTAGGGGAGCCCTAACGATAAGTATTCCCTATAATGACATTTTTACATGGAGAAATGTCAGTTTAAGGAATACTTATCGTTAAGGCTCCCCTAGAATAGTTGGTGTAAGCGACACCCAGTCTTTGTGGAGAAAGACTGGGTGTTTTTCATTGAAATTTTTAAATGGAAGTTGGAGTAAAGAACAATTATTGTATTAAAGGGTTTGAAGGTTTAAACTTTAATATGGTATTTTGACACCCAAAAACGATTGGGTCTGTTCCACCGAAATCACAAACCATGGTCAGAGGGAATTTCATTAGTTGAAAATAGTCAGAAAACTGGATGGTTGTTGGCGATTTGCACCAATCAAAAACACTCTGGTTTGTGATTGCTGTAAGAACAGACCTCAAATCACAGTATGCTGTGGTAAGTAGTAGGTACAAGGTAGGTACCCCTAGATGCAGGGGTATTTTTTTGCACCTTCAAATTTATAATTTTTTCAAAATAACTCGAAAACAAAGCCAAACTCGAGATTTTTATTACAATACTTTTTTGTAGAAATTTACTAGAAAAAGCAAAGACATTTGCACTGTTCTCATCATAAATTCATGCTTTTGATTTTCAGCAAAATAATAAATTCATTTTAGTACAATTAAACAGCAATTTGAAGGGGATTCAACACTTCTGGACAGTGCCTATTTCAATTTATAGTTTGCAATCTTCTTCAAAAATTATTCACATTAAATCCTTTTATATTCCAGTTACATCTCAGGTATAAGTCTCCTAGGCCTCCCTGCCGAAATGTACACTTACGGCACCCAGTTCTGGATAGCCCTTTTACCAAAAATATTGGTAGCTGTAATAACAGCCTACGCGATCTTGCCAGTATTCTACAAGCTACAAATCACCTCGACGTACGAAGTAAGTACAGCAAATCCAGATTCAAACGATACAGTACAATAAATAAAATAGTTGTTTTAAGTACCTCAATCTGAGATTCAACAATACAGTGCGAATGCTTGGGACGATACTGTTTTTGACCAAGATGCTGCTGTATATTCCTATTGTGATTTATGTGCCGGCGTTGGCTTTTAGTCAAGGCAAGTATGTATAATTAATGATTTATGATGGATTAGTTAATCAATAATTTAGTTATTATTAGTTGATCTGTTTTTATATTATTTTTAGTTACTGGTATAAATCTGCATCTTGTCACTCCGGTCCTTTGCATGGTGTGTATATTTTATACAACATTGGTAAGTATGTTAATAGGAAAAGTGGTAGGTATAAATATTCTAAAATCTCGAGAAAGCAATAGGAACCAAGCTCCTTTAATAAAACCTTATAGCACAAAAGATATTAAAATAAAATAAACGTTTGTTCAGGAACCTTGTTTAAAAAAAAAACGTCTAAAAAATTTTCACAAAACGTCCATAAACATAAAGTTCTCTCAATGTCCGATCGGATACGTTTTTGAGACGTTGTTTGAACGTTTCTATTCTATTATTGGTATTCAAAATTGGTAAATTCACTTTATTATTTCTAGGGTGGATTAAAAGCAGTAGTTTGGACAGACACAGTCCAAACAATCATAATGTTTGGAGCTTTAATATTAACCGTGATAATAGGCACAGTAAAAGTTGGTGGAGTACGAGAAGTGTGGACGAGAAATCTCGAAGGAGACCGCATAGAGTTTTTCAAGTAAAATCCTTCATCGAAATCAAAAAAACCTATAAAAACATAATTAATTTCAGCATGAACTTAGATCCAACAATACGCCATTCCTTCTGGACAGTTACTATAGGCAATTTTTTTTATTGGCTAGCCTCTTGTTCCATAAACCAGGCAATGGTCCAGAGATGTTTGGCAATGCCCACTCTTAAAGCAGCCAGAATGTAAGGTATTTAGATCCTAGAAAATCTCAATCATAATAAAACTTCTATTTTTCTTCACAAAAAAGGACATTAGTTATTATGGTAATCGGATTGTGGGCGTTGGTATCCATGTGCTGCTACATGGGTTTGGTTATTTATGCTTTTTATCACAAATGCGATCCAGTTACCAGAGGCTTTATACACAAAAGCGACCAACTTTTGCCGTACTTTATTATGGACATTGCTGGGGATATACCTGGATTGCCTGGCATGTTTGTTAGCGGTGTTTTTAGTGCTGCTTTAAGGTAATACATACAATAATTTATAGAATAAACCAATTTAAAAAAAAATCATTTTTCTAGTTCCATGTCTACTGGATTAAATTCAATGACGGGAGTTATTTTTGAGGATTTAATAAAACCAAAACTTAAAAAGCCTCTAACAGAGGCCCAAGCCAGTTTACTAATGAAAGTGATTGTTGTAATTATTGGCACTGTCTGCGTTGGTTTGGTGTTTGTGGTTGAAAAATTGGGCACCCTCATACAAGCGGCCGGAAGCATAGGAGCCATCACTGCTGGGCCTTTAATGGGCGTTTTTGCTTTGGGGATGTTTTTCCCTTGCACTACGCCTCAAGTAAGTTTCTTCCCAAACAATGTAATTATTATAAGTAAATTTTGTAGGGCGCTTTAGCTGGAGGTTTATTAAGTGGAGCCCTAATAGCTTGGATATCGGTGGGGTCCCAGGCCCAAATCGCCCAAGGAAATATACGATTTCCTCAAAAGCCCATTTCTGTTGAAGGTTGCAGTGCTGATTGGTTGGCAGAGTATTTGAGTATTACGTTGAGCGGCGACATTCCCAAGCCTACAGAACCTGCTTTTGCTCTTTATAGATTATCCTACATGTACTTTACACCACTAGGTACCATTGCGGCTATAATTATTGGGTTGGTAGTCAGTTATCTTACAGGTACAATTTTTTCAGTTTATGATTTAAGGGTGTTATTTGGAGTTTCATTTTTAGGGCGCAGCAAAAATAAGATTAGTACAGATGTTTTTTCACCATTGGTACGAAAATTTATTAGCAAACCGAAAAGTGACCAACTTGATCTCAAAGTTACAAATAAGTCTACAAGATGATGATGCAAAAATTTAAACTTATATAAGATAGTAATTTTTTGGCAATTTGATTATTATATTTTTAATAGATGTTTGGTTTCTAATTTATATTCCTTGCTGACAGTTCCAATAGAGTTGAGTCTGATTAGTGATTACCCATCACCAGAAAAAGACACTGTATTATCAAAATTATAGTAGATTTTTTTTTTAAAATCTACAACCCTATAATCCAGAAATAAATAAAAACAAAATAATAATGTATACAAAAATGCCTAATTTATTAAATAAAGAAAAAACATTCTTCGAAACTTAAAGAGCAAATACATAAACCTTATGAATTTGAACAACTTAAAAAATTAATAAGAAATAGAAAACAAACAGAAAAATATTTGAAACCTCACTAATACTGGCCAATTTTTTCAATTTCTTCACAATCCTCGGCGTTCAAAAAATGAATTTTCTTGGAAAAATGCTTCTCTATATCTTTGCAAATTCGCATAGCATTATCTGAATCAATCAGATTGATGGCAATACCCTTTTTGCCAAATCTACCGGTACGCCCGATTCTATGCAGATAAGTTTCACAATCAGCTTCGCCTTGCAGATTAACTGGTAGGTCATAGTTTACAACTATGGTCACTTGTTCCACATCAATACCTGTGAAAAGTTTTATTATTGGTTTTTACACATTTGTAATGATTTACCTCTAGATAGAACATTAGTTGTGATAAGGACTTTTTCTTGGGAGGCCCTGAATCTGTCCAAAACATTTATTCTTTGCTCCACAGTTAACTCGCCGCTAAGAACTGCTACAGCGTGACCATCTCTTGCCATTTTTGCAGCCAACCATGCTGCAGCTTTTCGTGTCTTGGAAAAAATGGGTAATCATAAAATTGACAATCTAAAATAAAAACTTACATGGCAGAAAATAATAGCTTGTCCTATTGCCAAAGTCCCATAAATATTTGTAATGGCATTGTATTTTTCTTCAGCTGATGAACATTTGACGTAATACTGTCCAATGTTATTCAAAATTTCCTCTTCACGTTTGAGCTTAATTATAATTGGATTTTTAACAATATGCTCAGAGAAATCCATAACTTCTTGACTATAGGTGGCTGAGAAAAACATCATCTGGCAAGATGTGCTCAATTGTCTAAAAATAACCAATCAATAAAAAAAAATTTGGACAATAAGATTAAAACTCACTTGTGAATTCTGATACATTGATCTTGATGTCCTTGTTGGTCAATCATAACATCAGCCTCGTCCAGTACAAACACAGAAATTTTTTTAATATCGAAGATTTTAAATTTTAGAGCCCAATCTAAAACTTTGCCTGGGGTACCGATTATAATATGCTCAGTCAATTGTGAACCTCTAGAAACTGCGAAAACTGTTGGATAATTTAATTTCAATAAATAAAGTACAAACCTTGTTCTCCTCTAACAGCATATCTCAATTCGATTTCAGGACAAAATTTAGCCATATGAGCGGCTGCTTCACCAGTTTGAATTGCTAGCTCATATGTAGGGGAAAGGCATATGGCCTAGGATTATTTTAGTTAATTAATTTTGTATCAAAGCTCTAATTTATTATACCTGAGGATAAGGTTTAGTAGCGTCCACCCTGCTTAACATTGCCAGCACAAAAGCGGCAGTTTTGCCTGTACCAGACTGGGCTTGCGCAATCAAATTCTGGCTCGGTTCTGCCAATAATGCTGGTAGAGCTAGCTCTTGAATTTTTGATGGTGCGTTGAAACCCATTTCGTAAACACCTTTCAGTAAGTTTGGTTTCCTGTAATAAAGATTTCAGTTTTGTCCCCAAAGGTTTTGGCACAAAGTACCTACTAGACAAATTTTAAAAGTAATTTTCCGAGTAATTTGCCTAAAAACCTTGAGCTCATTTTGGACTTAAATCGTGTCAAGGAATTTGAGGTGGATTTTTCGATTTTCAGTCAGAATAATTTCCCAAACGATCATCGAAACACAAAAAAACATATTGCTATATAGGTTAAACCCGAGGTTAAACCATTCATGGTAGCAATATTGCCGATAACACTGTTCAATTCCGCTCGCCCAAAAACTGTCTAATTCCAAATTGTGTGAACGCAGCTTAAGTTTTGAAGATATTTAAGCGTTGCAGTACTTTCTACTAACCCTGTATAATGCTGCACACAAGAACGACTAGGCAGCGAATTAAATAAAAGCTAATTATTTGATTGAATATATAAGATTTCAGCTTTAAATCGCAGAATAATTTAGTGCATGTATTATTTGGGGGTTCCTAGGTGATCACGAAACACAAAATTTCAACACAAAAAACATGTTGCTATATAGGTTAAATTGTACTTCACCACTCAATGCAGTTATGTATCACATTACTATCAAAAATATGACAAAGTAGTGGTTTGCAGTTGGATGTGATCTACACTGATGCAGAGAAGGCGTTCGATAAGGTTTATCACCAGCTATTTCTCCAAAAATCGATTCTTACAGGATTGACTCAAAAATCTTTTAACCTCATTAAGTCTTATTTGTCATACAGGCCCTACTCTGTTCGCATTGGCATGGCACTATCTGAGCAATAGTTTGGCAGCTCTAGTGTTCCTCAGGGCAGCAATTTATCTTCCTTACTCTTTACAATATTCATAAATGACCTAACTGACTGCATTGGAAATTCTGACTGTTTATTGTTTGCTGACGACTCCAAGATCTTCAGAGTCGTCTTTTGGCAGGCAGATTGTCAGGTTCTCCAGAACGATTTATCCATTTGTCAGTGCCTGAGTTAGAGTTTGTCAACAACAAAATGTTTTTGAATGTCAGTTAATGCTTCTGTATGACGTACACAAGGCGTCGTCAATATCTAGAATAGAGTTATAATTTGGAAACTGAAATACTTGCAAGAAGGGACCACTGTGAGAACCTGGGAGTCACTTTCCAATCCAACATGAAATTTAATTTGCACTATCAGTAAATTGTTAACAGGGTATTTAGGGCCTTGGGCTTCATCACTAGGAATACCAAACATTTTCATAGAATTATTACCTTGACAAGGCTCTATAATGCCTTTGTCAGGCCCCACTTGGAGTATGGATGTATTATCTGGTCACCTACAGCTGACTGCAATAGAGACTTTTTCAAACAATATCATGTACAGGGTGCTGCAATTTGGAGTGTTTTGACAGGAAAAATAGACTTCCAGATCAAATAGAGAAAAATTGACTTTGATGTCATGGGATTGATTTTCGAGAAACGTCAATTGTTAAAAACCGTATCGTGATATCTTCAATGGTATCATTAATACAGGGCGATTTTCGATTTTCCCCTATTATGAAAACTAGAGATAAGTTTTTTGTTTATCAATTTTTTTTATTTCTGTGAAAATATCTTTGGGATACTTTCTTGAGCACAATCCAGTAGCGTACTCAGTTTTTTTCTATTTCGCTCCCATTTTGAGATATTGACCAAAGTCCGATTTTTTTTAAATAGAACACCCTATATATTATTAGCTCATCGGATAGCTCTGCTTTTGTCGATTTCAATGATATAAAGTTCGATAGGTTTATCTCTAACAGCTTTCGAGAAAAAAAATTATAACTGTTTCAGTCATAAGAAACAATGTGTTAGAAAGAGACCTTCCTCATTTTCCTTACAGATATAATAGTTACTTCTAACAAATTGGTCCTTATGACAAAAACAGATATTTTTTTTTTTCTCGAAAACTGTTGGAGATAAACTTATCAAACTTTATATCATTGAAATCAGCAAAAATAGAGCTATCTAATGAGCTATTAATATATAGGGTGTTTCATTTAAAAATATCGGACTTTGGTCGATATCTCGAAATCGGAGCGAAATAGAAAAAAAACTGAGTACGCCACTGGATTGTGCTCAAAAAAGTATCTCCAAAATGGTTTTAAATAAATAAAAAAAATTGATAAATGAAAATCTTATAGCTATTTTCCATAAAAGGGGCAAATCGAAAATCGCCCTGTATCAGTGGTACCATTGAAGATATTGTGATACGATTTTTGACAATTGACGTTTCTCGAAAATCGATCCCATAACATCTAAGTCAATTTTCCTCTATTTGGTCTGGAAGTATGTTTTTCCTATTGAAACACTCCAAATTGCAGCACCCTGTATATCTAGAGTTGCAAAATTATTGGTACAATAAATTTTGGTAAAATTACCGGCAATTTTACGTAATATTACCGGTAAAATTGGTAAAATTGAAAAATAATATCTTGGTGATTCTACAATGATGAAAGATGCAACGTTGATTTTAATTGTCAAATACCTACTGATGGTGGTAAGATGAACTTTTTTGAGAAATAAATTAGACATTCTTGTGCTTGTGTAAAATCAAAATTTGAAATATATTAGGTACGTTCTTCTGTTCTAATATTCTTTGATAATTAATATCGATATCATATCAATATTATTGTCTATTTTCTGATACAGAACTAGAGAGACAAACGCGGAAATCAACATGGTCATTGTACTGCTTTCTCTTTCTAGTTTTCAAAATAAAGAGAGACAAATTTAAATTCAACGCACATCCTTTTTTTTTATTTTTTATTTTATTTATTATCAATAAACATTCTTCCATACTACATGTACTATATGCCAACTTATCAATTTAATTGAATACATACATTGTAAAAAAAGCACCTAGACTGTGACGTCTGTATGTGCAAAGTAGTCTATACATAAGTAGGTACTAGTAAAACTAGCAAAACCATGTGATCTGTGAACAACATTAGGTTGGTCTGACCAAACGAAACAAATTATAGGTAAAACAATAAGTACTATAAATATAAAAAAGTAGGCTTAGACTTAAAAACTTCATAATTCAAAAGAAAAGCTTAATTAAGAATTAGGGTTGAAGATGTTGCAATTATTGTTACACGAATCCTGTAAGATGTAAGATTTACACATTCTGGAAAATGCATCATATCTTTTTATGTTTTTCATCTCTCTAGGTCCTTGGTTTGGTTTCCCTAATAATTTTGAAGTCTATACTGCTTCGACACACGTGTTTATAAACCATAGGGTTCCAATGAATGTATGGTCCTAAACCTCGATTTGAGCTAGCAACTTCAATGAAATAAACTATAGGACTAATGACATATTTTTATCGACTTTACGTCCAATTTTACCATTGAGGTAGAATAATAAGGAGGCGACATGACGAGAAAAAAGCGTATCCACTTCCGCCATATTGTTACGACACTTCTGTCTGAGGTACTGTCACTTTTGTCATAGCAACGCGTTAAAATTGCATCAGGGCCGCATTTTCCATCCGAAGATTTTTTAAACGCGAAAAATTTTTGAAGCCCAGAATTCCTATTTTGGGTCTTAGAAGGATCTCCTGTTTCAGTTTGTTGAAGTTTACCAAGTTTACCGAGATATGTTTATGTTTATGTTTATTAACGGACTTGCCACTTTACTAAATCTACTTATACAAAATACACTTAAAACAAAAGACTTAAACTAACACAATTACTTGAACTTTGATTACATTACATTACAATAAAATTTTCGTAACCTGTTGAATAAAACTAGGGTTTGAGCAATTGAAAACATCAGCATCATCAGCCACACAGTTCATCTGGCGGCACATTCTCGTTAAAGCCGAATTCTGGCCATAGTTAGTACAATGGTATGGGACAGAAAATAAATTTCTACTTCTAGTAGTTCGCTGGGGAACCGCAAGCCCAACACCTTCTAAAAGATATGGACAATCGACAGTGTTGTTCAAAAGTTTAAATAAAAATCCCAAATCAAGAATTAAACGTCTTGTTTGCAGCGATGGAAGCTTTAGTAAAGTTTGCAATTGATTATAATCAATTTGTTCTGGTGGGATTTTTAGTTTGTAAGCAACAAGTCGAAGAAATCGCTTTTGGACCCTTTCAAGCAAGTCTATGTATGTAGAGTAGAAAGGTGACCATACCTGTGACCCATATTCCAACGTCGATCGCACAATTGCACAATACAAAGCCTTAAAACATTCAATATTATTAAAATCTTTCAGGGTTCTGCCAATAAAACCAAGTAACTTTATTGATTTGTTATAAATGCTCTCAATCTGTAGATCGTATCTTAAGGGACTATCTAATATTACTCCAAGATCTTTATGGAAAATTTCAGCGGATAGTATTTCATTTTTTAAAGAGTAGTCAAATATAATTGGAGTCTTTATTCTATGATATCTCATTACCTGACACTTAGAAACATTCAGTTCTAATCTATTTCTTTTACACCAATCCAAAAACGCATTGAGATCTTTCTGGATCACCTCACAATCGTCTAGTTCCTTTACTGTTTTATAAAGTTTTAGGTCGTCTGCATACAAGAGATAATTACAGTTTTCAATTTCATAATGGATATCATTAATGAATAAGTTAAACAGTAGAGGTGATATGTGACCACCTTGTGGAACACCAGATGTAACAACAACGGGCAATTGGTGTCCCTCGGGCCGGAGGCCCTCGGGACACAAACGTTGCCCTGGGGTATTAACACCTGCATAATTCCCTTGATACATAAATAACTATAATATAATACATAATAGGCACTTGTGGACTCGACTCATAATGTAGACAGTAAAAAAAACAAAAAATAAAACAAACAACACAGTATTAACAGTAATTAAAAAAATAAAATAAATTGATACAGTCGAACCGACAAAAAGAGAGGGATGATTTAAGGTTCTAATGGGCTCTTTCACTAATTTTTGAAATTGGCATATTTGGATAAAGCAACTAAAAACAGAATTTTCTGTATTTTTACTTTTGAAAAATTCATAGTCCTTCTTGAGAAAACAGAAAAAAAAGAAATACCTCCAAATAAAAACACAGAATTTATTTCTATGACGTCGCAGCTCGCTATTTGACCGTGTTGCCACTAATTGTCAACATTGAAAATTTGTAATAGATTTAATTCTGAAATGTTCCCAAAATATCATGAAAAGTAGTTAAATTAATTAGTTATGGATTCAAGATTTTATAACATTTTTATTGAAATTATGCTTAAACACAATTTAATATAATTTTCTATGTTTAGTTTTATTTATTTATTTTACGTTGCACTACATTTAGTCACCACCGACAACAGCGCATTCGAACCTTTACCTGCATTTACTACAGGATAAATACAGCAGAGGCGGACAGCTCTTTGCAACAACAAGCGAAATGAAAAATATTTATGCGACGTCAGCAAATCGGCGCGTTTTTAAATAATTCAAATTTTGGTAGTTTAAAATGCCTGTAAAAAACTTATTTAACCTTGTAGAACATTTTTTTTTGGTATATGTGCCTAAAATAGTCCCTCCTTTGGGATTTTATACCTAAATTACGTATTTAAATTTTAGTGAAAGAGCCCATTGTTCAACCGTCTACCGTAAAAAAAATTATAACTGTTTCAGTCATAAGAAACAATGTGTTAGAAAGAGACCTTCCTCATTTTCCTTACAGATATAATAGTTATTTCTAACAAATTGGTCCTTATGACAAAAACAGATTTTTTTTTTTTTCTCGAAAACTGTTGGAGATAAACCTATCAAACTTTATATCATTGAAATCAGCAAAAATAGAGCTATCTAATGAGCTATTAATATATAGGGTGTTTCATTTAAAAATATCGGACTTTGGTCGATATTTCGAAATCGGAGCGAAATAGAAAAAAAACTGAGTACGCCACTGGATTGTGCTCAAAAAAGTATCTCCAAAATGGTTTTAAAGAAATAAAAAAAATTGATAAATGAAAATCTTATAGCTATTTTCCATAAAAGGGGCAAATCGAAAATCGCCCTGTATCAGTGGTACCATTGAAGATATTGTGATACGATTTTTGACAATTGACGTTTCTCGAAAATCGATCCCATAACATCTAAGTCAATTTTCCTCTATTTGGTCTGGAAGTATGTTTTTCCTATTGAAACACTCCAAATTGCAGCACCCTGTATATCTAGAGTTGCAAAATTATTGGTAAAATAAATTTTGGTAAAATTACCGGCAATTTTACGTAATATTACCGGTAAAATTGGTAAAATTGAAAAATAATATCTTGGTGATTCTACAATGATGAAAGATGCAACGTTGATTTTAATTGTCAAATACCTACTGATGGTGGTAAGATGAACTTTTTTGAGAAATAAATTAGACATTCTTGTGCTTGTGTAAAATCAAAATTTGAAATATACACCGCACAAAAATTATCGCATCTATCAAAGCAGAAAACACAGAAATGAACAGCATAATTGCAAAGTGGAATGTATGCCTATCCGCATTTTCCCGAAAAAAGGAAACAAGAACCTAACAGAAGAAGAAACGACATGTTTTTTGACTCGAGTTTTTCAGTTAAAGAATGCCCATTCAGGGAATACTTAAGAAATTTTTAAAATAAATTTACTGTAGCCAAAATATTTAAAAGCATTGGTGATGCGATAATTTTTGTGCGGTGTGTATATTAGGTACGTTCTTCTGTTCTAATATTCTTTGATAATTAATATCGATATCATATCAATATTATTGTCTATTTTCTGATACAGAACTAGAGAGACAAACGCGGAAATCAACATGGTCATTGTACTGCTGTCTCTTTCTAGTTTTCAAAATAAAGGGAGACAAATTTAAATTCAACGCACATCCTTTTTTTTTATTTTATATTTTATTTATTTCAGATCAATAAACATTCTTCCATACTACATGTACTATATGCCAACTTATCATTTTAATCGAATACATACCTACATTGTAAAAAAAGCACCTAGACTGTGACATTTGTATGTGCAAAGTAGTCTATACATAAGTAGGTACTAGTAAAACTAGCAAAACCATGTGATCTGTGAACAACATTAGGTTGGTCTGACCAAACGAAACAAATTATAGGTAAAACAATAAGTACTATAAATATAAAAAAGTAGGCTTAGACTTAAAAACTTCATAATTCAAAAGAAAAGCTTAATTAAGAATTAGGGTTGAAGATGTTGCAATTATTGTTACACGAATCCTGTAAGATGTAAGATTTACACATTCTGGAAAATGCATCATATCTTTTTATGTTTTTCATCTCTCTAGGTCCTTGGTTTGGTTCCCCTAATAATTTTGAAGTCTATACTGCTACGACACACGTGTTTATAAACCATAGGGTTCCAATGAATGTATGGTCCTAAACCTCGATTTGAGCTAGCAACTTCAATGAAATAAACTATAGGACTAATGACATATTTTTATCGACTTTACGTCCAATTTTACCATTGAGGTAGAATAATAAGGAGGCGACATGACGAGAAAAAAGCGTATCCACTTCCGCCATATTGTTACGACACTTCTGTCTGAGGTACTGTCACTTTTGTCATAGCAACGCGTTAAAATTGCATCAGGGCCGCATTTTCCATCCGAAGATTTTTTAAACGCGAAAAATTTTTGAAGCCCAGAATTCCTATTTTGGGTCTTAGAAGGATCTCCTGTTTCAGTTTGTTGAAGTTTACCAAGTTTACCGAGATATGTTTATGTTTATGTTTATGTTTATTAACGGACTTGCCACTTTACTAAATCTACTTATACAAAATACACTTAAAACAAAAGACTTAAACTAACACAATTACTTGAACTTTGATTACATTACATTACAATAAAATTTTCGTAACCTGTTGAATAAAACTAGGGTTTGAGCAATTGAAAACATCAGCATCATCAGCCACACAGTTCATCTGGCGGCACATTCTCGTTAAAGCCGAATTCTGGCCATAGTTAGTACAATGGTATGGGACAGAAAATAAATTTCTACTTCTAGTAGTTCGCTGGGGAACCGCAAGCCCAACACCTTCTAAAAGATATGGACAATCGACAGTGTTGTTCAAAAGTTTAAATAAAAATCCCAAATCAAGAATTAAACGTCTTGTTTGCAGCGATGGAAGCTTTAGTAAAGTTTGCAATTGATTATAATCAATTTGTTCTGGTGGGATTTTTAGTTTGTAAGCAACAAGTCGAAGAAATCGCTTTTGGACCCTTTCAAGCAAGTCTATGTATGTAGAGTAGAAAGGTGACCATACCTGTGACCCATATTCCAACGTCGATCGCACAATTGCACAATACAAAGCCTTAAAACATTCAATATTATTAAAATCTTTCAGGGTTCTGCCAATAAAACCAAGTAACTTTATTGATTTGTTATAAATGCTCTCAATCTGTAGATCGTATCTTAAGGGACTATCTAATATTACTCCAAGATCTTTATGGAAAATTTCAGCGGATAGTATTTCATTTTTTAAAGAGTAGTCAAATATAGTTTGGGGTCTTTATTCTATGATATCTCATTACCTGACACTTAGAAACATTCAGTTCTAATCTATTTCTTTTACACCAATCCAAAAACGCATTGAGATCTTTCTGGATCACCTCACAATCGTCTAGTTCCTTTACTGTTTTATAAAGTTTTAGGTCGTCTGCATACAAGAGATAATTACAGTTTTCAATTTCATAATGGATATCATTAATGAATAAGTTAAACAGTAGAGGTGATATGTGACCACCTTGTGGAACACCAGATGTAACATTTATGGTCGAGGAAGTAGCATTATTTATTTTTACCACCTGCTGTCTGTTAGTTAAGTAACTGGTTAGCCAATGGAGTAGTGGTCCAGAAATGCCAAACTTTTCCAGTTTTCTATATGGGTAATATTACGTAAATTACCGGTAATTTTACCTTCGCAACTGTATGTATATTCTATATTTCCTCTGCAAGTTTCATATGGAAGTATGCTGGAGAGTTTCAAGCTCCAGTATATTAGTAGGAGAAGGGCAGTTCAATGGATCAAAAAAATTTACTAGAGGACGATACCTACTGTTTTTTTTTTTTTTTTAACTAAGTAAGTACTTAATACTTCAAGTACAATCAATTTACTTAATACCTACTCTAAAGTATATCTAAAATAATCAATACTTAAAATTTTAAGTTCATTTGCTTGGCTTTGATTGGAAAACAAGTTACTTACAAGTTCAAAGCTTCAAACGTTTTAACAGAGTACAACGGAGATCTGGGATCTTTTCTTTGCACTTCGATATCATTTTTGGACTCGACAAGACCCTTTCGAATGATTTTAGAAAGAAGACTGGCTTCTGCCGGACTGAAATGATCGGGGGCCTCATCGTCTAGTTCGCCCAAATGGCTCTGGTCAGCAGTGGCCTGCTTCAAATTTATTGAAGAAAGCTGAAATAGTTGCAAAAATTTTGAATTACAGTGGTTGTGAGGTTAGGATTTGTTAAATTGTTACCTTTGTTTCCGCTTGGGCTACATACTTTGCCCAGTCGACTTTTTGAGACATTTTTCTTCGAAAACTTTTAATTGAAACTTATTAATTAATTAATACAATTATACAAAATAGAGGGAAAATGAGCTGCTGCTAATTAAGCATTCGAGGAAAAGGAACCATTTTTTGTTTTGGATTTGCCTGAGTGATAACAAAAATTAAACATCTAATAGCGATTTCCATTGGCAGAGAAATGTCGCACTGGGTTAGCTGCCTCCCTTATCCAGATCAATTTGAAGCTTGCACTGGTAGAGTTCACATGTTGTAAAATTTGGTGGTTCTTTATGGTTCTACTAATTCAATTTGCCTTTGCTATTAAAAGTGGAAATTAAAATCTAATATTAAAACGTGCAGAACTGGTTCGACTTGGAGCACGAACTGCTGATTCAACTCGGATCAAAAAGTGTCGATAATACTCGGAGCACAAAGTGCAGCAACAGTTTCCCAATGTGATCCGAGAACCCGCACCAAAATAATCAAATATGGCGGCGATTACCAAAAACGAGGCCGATAAGCACTCAGTTCAGTGACTATTCTCCTTGCTTTCTCAGCCGGACCGTATAATTTTTTTTACTACTGCTGGCAGAAAATAAAATAGTATATTAAAGTATAAGTGGATATTAAGGTCTTTAAAACACGCGCGATTTTTCGAGCACGACGGCGCAGAGACTCCTGTGGGAACAGACCTTTGGAACAGACCGACAGTGGCGACAATAGAGATCCCGCCGCCATCTTGTTCCCATCCTCTTGTTACTTTTAAATATGGGAGTGAATCCTACGCCTACCGGTAGGTCCTTTGTTATTCAACGATCGTACGCCTACCAGTAGGTCCTTTTTCATCCACCGATTGTGCGCCTACTGGTAGGGTAGGTCCTTTTTCGTCAATTGATCAAGCGCCTACTGGAAGGTGTTTTATTACTTTAGAATCCATATATCCTACCAGTCAGCTCTTGCTAATGCTAAATGCGTTAATAAAATTTTGTTTGTTACTATAGTAGTATAGTCATGAAGAAATTCGTCCACATAAGCCTTTATTAGTACCTTAACATTTTTTCAAATTGGGCTTTAAACTTGTTGATCTTTGGAATCTGCTTCATTCGCTAAACGGCATCCTTTTAAAAATTCTTCTGCACACACCTTGTTTTTTAATTTTCGATTGCTCACTACTCTCGCCAAACCTCAAAGAGAGGATCCTTGGGAGCGCAAATCCACCAAAAACGTAAAAAAAATTTTTCAAATATATCACCTTCTTGTTCAAAATATTTTTGAGTCTCCGATTGATCGCTCTGCTGGCCGAATCTCAAAGAGAATATCTTCGTAACGTAAATCCACCAAAAACGTGAAAAACCTTCCATCAAAAACGCGAAAAAACCTTTATTAAATATAATACCTTGAAATTTTAATCATTTTTGAGTCTCTGATTGCTCGCTCCGCTCGCTAAACTTCAAAGAGAAGATCCTCGGAAGCATAAATCCACCAAAAACATGGAAAACCTTTTTCAAATATGTCACTATCTTGTAAATGCAGGTACAGTTAGGTTAGATAGGTAATTAGGAAGTAGGTAGGGTAGGCGACGGATTCTTGAATTAATAAGAACCTACCGGTAGGCTCAGGATTTTTTTTACAAAGAGTACCTACCGATAGGCGTTATATCATGTGGCAATTGGGAACCTACCATAATGTTTTAGCGTTATACATAAACGGTAGGCACACAATCAATGAAACAAACGGCACCTACCGGTAGGCGCAGAGTTCACTCCCTTATATTAATATATAGGATTTAAATGGACATCTATCATAAAAAATTGAAATCGACGTATTTGATAACCATTATTAGGTCCATCAAATACGTTGTTTTCCATGATTTATGATTGATGTTCACCTAAATCCCATATTTTCGTATTTAAAAGTAACAAGAGGTTGGGAACAAGATGGCGGCGTTTTCAATATAAATATATGGGATTTTAGAACCAATCAAAAATAAGACAGCAATTGTCGCCACTGTGGTAATAGTCACTGTAATTCCTGAACACAGCCCTGGCCTGGTACGTCATGACAATATCCTTGCGTCATGACGTCATTTTCATTATTGACCTAGGTATTATTTTCATTATTAACCAAGGGAGAGAAATTAACTCTGTGCTCAAATTATTTTACTTGTCGAAAGTGCTGCCCTCTATCAACAGCTTATGGTAATTCTCTATAATGTATGTATATGCAGGAACCTGTTCTAATAGAAACCTGATAGGTCATGACAATAACCTTGCGTCATGACGTCATTTTTATTTTTGACCTAGGTTTTTTTTCATTATTTTCTATTAACCTAGCAGTGGCGTGCCATCAGGTAGGCTTGGGTTGCGCCAGCCCCCCTTCGTGTAAACTGCGCCCCCTTCATTTAAAAAAATAAATTAGCATTTTATGTCAAATTTAAAAGGTGAAATTGGAAATCACTTAATTGATTGTTTGGGAATCACTGAAATGCAGAGAAGGTCTATTATTTAAGACTCAGTTTAGGGTTGAGGGGTGGATTGAATAGTACTATTGACCCTCTACTTACTACTCTAAAATTTTATATCGAAAAACCACATCTGAGTCCCTATTCTTGAAACAGGGGAGCAACGATCCCAGAGAACGAGTAATCTGTCTTTCTCAAATGATAATATAAGGAACAAAGACAAAACACTCGTTCTCCTGGGAATGCTGCTCTCCTGTTTCAAGAATAAGGACCCTGATTATATTTTCTCGTTTCATAGATATTTACCTGCAAACATGTGTCAGTTTATCTAAAGACACCCTATATATTGTTAGATGTAGGAAAGTGGGAATGTAAAAAACATAAAAAATCTTACACGAGATTTATTCAACAGCCAATATTGATTGGAATGTGCAGCATACAGTCTTATTTAACTATGTCCTTTTTTGGTGGGGCTTTACCATAGAAAGCGTCCAAAAACAAACCCACAAAGACCAAAACGGCTCCCGTCCATTGTCGTCCAGAGAGCGTATTACCAAAAAGTATCACAGATCCGAGTACAGTAAAGAATTTACGGGTTGTAGTCACTATAGAAAGTACCAGCGGGCCAAAATCAGAAACCTAAAAAAAAACTCAATCAATAATAAATTGTTTTTTTATTAAGCCCAGTTACCATAGAGAATAAAAATAGTTGGCCAATAGCAGATGCAATCCCAATAGCCAAAAGATTAAAATAGATGTAGGGAAAGTTTTTAGCAAAGTCGAGAAACTTGAAAACTTCACCAGAAATTAAAATAACTGCAATCAAGTATAAACTGGACCAGCCATTTTGTTGCAGCATCATTTGTAAGCCAGAAGGTTTAGATTCTGCCCTAATACGCTCCTTAAAAAAAAACTCTTACTTAATGTAAATTGTATGAATATAAATTCTTACTTGAATAGCTCCCGTTAATCCATCCATAATCAATGACAAAATCAAAAGTAGCTCACCTACACCCAAACCAGTATTTTCAGGTGTGGCTTTACCAGCATTTTCTTTCAACATAAACATAACAATACCCATAACAATAATAAATACAAATAAATATTTCCTTAGTGCATAGCTTTTTTTGCCTACCAAAACTCCTAGTATCAGCACTGGAATGGGTTTGGCCGATTTCCCAACCACTTGAGTAGGATACGGGACCCATTGCAGTGCCATATTCGAGGCCACCATGGCCAGCAAATAAGTCACAGATACGCTAGAATAGTAAAGCTTGGCGGTTTTGTCTTCGCCTTGAGGCCAAATTAACAGCCAGCTTTTCGCGATAATGTAATTTATGATACATTGTGTGGCGACTAATGTTAGGGCGAAGGTGAATTTGTGGGTGGTTTCGGTTTTGATGCCGTCTGCGTCTGTAGTTTCTAGGATGTATTTGCCTCTGGTTACTTTTTCTTGTAGGATGCCAAAGTAGAAGTAGGTTACAAAGATGCCCGCCGCGTAGATTATAAATTTTTGTGTGTGTTGCATTTTTGGGTATTTGAAATGTTACAAGGAGGATGAGAATTTTTTTCTGGAACAAAATATTGATCAGTATAGAGGGGACGACCAAATTTTCAATTCACTTTTACTATTATTGAATAATGACCAATACAATTCTTATTATCATAGCATATAAGCTAAATTAAACACACAGTAAATAACATTCAATTTTTAATAAAATTAACTATTTTTCGAAAAAAAAATCAAAATTAAGGAGTTATATGTGTATAATGGGGTGTTACAAATTCGGGAGTAAGCATGGGGATCTTGTCGATTTTTTTCAAAGACCTTTGGATTCCTATTTCAAAATATTTAGGCTTCAAAATGTCGAAATCTGCGAGTGAAGAGGTGAGGGATATTTGAATCGAAATTTTCAGGAATTGTAGTTTCTAATAAGCTCTAAAAAACCTGTATTGGAAAATATTTTCAGGTTTATAGTTTTTGAGAAAATTGAGTTTGAAGTTTTTGTACTTATTAGAGGGGGTTTCTCGATTTCGAGCAAAACGTTTGTTTGAAGATTAATTTTGAGCAAAACGATTGTTTGAAGATATCAAAATGCGGAAATGCGCTCATGAAGATTTCATAAAATTTGAGCCTCAGAGTAGGGTTGATCAGATCTCACTCAGAAATTACCGTTTCCTATTGAAAGTGTCCAAATTGGAACACCCTGTATACTCGCCTGTATAGTATTGTATTTTCCAAAGTTACATTTCCATAGATGGGTATGCATTGAATATTCGTGAAGCATATTTTACCTAATTTTTATGAAATTATACATTCTATAAAAATTATATTATGCTGCTTGTGTTAATATAGAAAAAACGAATCTATGAAAGGTTGAACAGCTCCCTGTTGCATTAATTTTTCAAGTTTCATACAAAATTTAAATTTACAAACCTATGACGTGGTTCAAAAAGACCCTTTTCTAAGCTATTTCAGGATTCTAACGACTTATTGAGCAATAATAATCTATTCAGTAGTATAAAAAATACTCACTTTATTCACAATAGTCCTTAAAACCACAGTTTTATTTGAATTTTTGGAAAAAAACACACAAAATACTCAAAATACCTTGAACTCTTGGTTGGCCCTGATTGTACAACACAATACAACAACAAAAAAGCTAGGTTATGTATAAGGTGTTTGACGTACAAGATCAAGGGCTGCGTTCAGATTGAACGTCGGGTGTCGCCCGAGCGCGTTCTGACCGTTCAGATTGCTTTGGGTAAAATTTACCCAGCCGTTCAGATTGTCAGTAGATTTTTACCGGACGACGCCCGGGCTGCGTTCAGGATTGGCTACAGCCAAGCCAAAATTGGCATTTTGCGTTCGAGTTCGGCTCCAAACTATACGTGGTTCAGCATTACCGGTGGAGGGGGAAAAGTAGGTTTTGGCATTAGCATTGCCGTCCTTGAACGCACACCCGGACGCACACTTTTGCGTCCCATAAAATAGCAAGATAAAATTAGCCCCGCATGCGCGTTTGTGTTCTAACCTTAAATAATAAAGGCAAATATTGTAAATAATTATTTTTGCGAGTTATGGTGGGTTTATCCAAATTCTTCGTTATCCTCATCAACTCTATTTAAAAAAAAAGTGGCCTCTTTTTTTTTGTTTAGTTTGTGATGCTAAATTGATAGCAATCACTGACACTAGCACATCCTCGTGGTCCGAAGATGAAGCGTCCTCATCATTAAATAACTCTTTAAATATGAAGGAAGATACTATGGCTTCTTCCATAGTATTTATTTAAAAAATTTTGAAGAAAATGGCAAAAATGTTAGAATCAGTGAGGTTATAAAGAGAGAATGCGTCTTGGCCGTTCAGATTGGGCGAATCGCCGGGCACACTCGGAGTGCGCTCTCTATCGGGTGCGCTCTTCACTGGACGTCGTCCGGACTCTTCAATCTGAACGCGCCCGAGGTATAAGATGGCACCGCGGCACGGTCCGTTTTGCAAGGAGAATACACACTAGGACTACTAGGAGTGCTTATCGGCCTCGTTTTTGATAATCGCCACCATATTGGTGTGCCACCATTGCCGACGTCATAACTAAGTCGTCAGCTGTTTAAACAGCCTACATCAAGGCGAGAAACGCCATGTAGCTTACGTCACAAATGTCTACACGTAAAGTAGACAATGAAAGTTTACATATAGACGCACATCCCTGGCCACAACTGGTTGTTGGCTTGGGGGGGATTTGTTACACACAGGCCTTATGAGGACAGGTCATTCTGTAATAATAGTGTGTAAATATCATCCTTGTCCGTTTTGTACCTGATGCCCAAGGATGATACATAATTACATACAACCTTAGCACACTACTACTACAGGAAAGCCTATCCTCATAAGGCCTGTGTGGAACAAATCTCCCGATCCAGCCCATTCCAAATCACCAGTTGTGACGTAGAAGCATCTTATTTATGCCTTGCCGTAGGCTATGTTCCGTTATCAACTGCCAGTACTGGATTTCACTGTCCTGATTTTACTGTCATTTGCCGTTCCGATTTGAACAGCGTATTGTTCTGCTGGAAAAAAAGGTACAGCAGGGAAATTTTAAAATCACGAATCGACACACGACTCGACAACGAGACGCAACTCGATACCGACCCTGTCGTCTCAATAGGAATAGGGTTTGATTCCAATGAGATTCCAACATGAGGCGATTTTCAGCCTGGAATGATTATTATTTGGTTATAACCAATGCATTTCCGCCGTCGCGGTTTTAACCAAAGTAGGGGAAGTTGTGACGTCACATATCAGCTGATTTGCATTTGGTATTTACCACTTTTATAACCGATTATAACCCAACTTTGGACTTGGGTTAATCTTTTGGTTATAGCTTTTTGATGTTATTGTTATTATTTTGGGAATTGATATCGGTGTTTTGTGATTTTGCAGTTGTGTTGTGGCCTGGCACAATGGGAGAAGTATACACTCACTTACTCACTGCAACTCACCATGTTTAGATCAACGTTTAGATCATCCCCAAAGAAAATCTGTTCAATAAACGAGACTAACGAGAGATTCCGCTCCATTTTAGCTACCTAAACAACAAACCATTGTTGAAACGAAAAAACAAATAAGAATAATAAACATAACTCTACACTTCTATAACCAAATCGTTTCAGCCTCAGTTCAGCGGTCAGTTCCTTGGGTTATGATTCTTGAGTGGTGGGAGCTATGACGTCACACTTGGCTGTCAAAGTTGTCAACCAAAAGAATAACCACGGTATTTACCGATAAATAATCATTCCAGGCTGAAAATCGCCTCTAGGTTCGTCGGAAAATATCGTCTGGTTTTCGAGTCATGTGTCGAATCGTGATTTTAGAATCTCCATCCAGTAAATATTAATGACGTCACTGGCGCATTCAAAACGTCATTCAGTACTGAATCAGTTACCTTTGTTTGCTTGTCAAAGTAACGTGTTTTGGATAAATATCATGCTAATTATTGGACCTCCTGAAACGACTAAATAGTCCTTTCAGGACACACATCAGTTCCGTATCAGTGTCGCGTGAGTTCAGTATCAGTGCCACTCAGTGCTATCCGTGCTTCATCAGTGGTGACACACACATCCGTCTGTAGCCCGTACTACAGAGAGCGCGTACCATGCTTTCAGTGAAATGTCAGAATTTAGAGATTAAATGCAAATTCCAATGGATTTCCGTCAGTGAAATACACCAAATATCGTTACCGACTTTAATAAAAAAAACACGGAACTGACACTAACGCAGCACTGATGGTAAAAAACGTCACTCGTGACTGCGCCGGACTTGTCTAAACAGCTTCATTTGAAACTAGGCAACGATATTTTATTTTTCACTGCCACTGATACTGAACTGACACGGCACTGATACGGAACTGATGTGTGTGTGTGTGTGTGAGTAGTCCTTAAAAGTTCTCATTTCTCATGGGTACAAACCGATCCTATGACTAGTTTCGAGCTGTTTACGGAAATTATGATCGGATTAACTCGATCACCAAGATTACTGATCTGGGCGTTCGAAAATAGATCTAATTTTGGATCACTGTTGTACTAAAAGTGATCGGGCTGTTCGGATCAGTTCAATTGTTTGGATCTCACTTTACCCTCGGATATACGGATGGTTTTCTAATACTACCTTAGGCAACCTATACCAACCTATAATCTTCTAATACGACTTCCGGCTCCCCAGCAATGATACCATCATCAAGGTACCACAAATTTATTTCAGATTTCAAAGAAAGAATTATAGGATGAACAATAGACGAAAAAATACCTTTACCAATTGACCAAGGAATCCTCGGTACAGTAAGTATACGAAGCCAATCTAAGGGATGAAGCTTCCCAAACTGCCAATCCAAATGACAAAGTTACCCAAACAGATGATTATGAAGCCAATCTAGTGAGGGATAAAGCTACCCAAACAGATGATTATCGTATATGATGGATGCGGATGTAATGTTTTCATTCTTCTGCCTACTTGTAAAACAATTAACTAGTTTATGTTACCTATATTATAAGTACCTACCTATGTAAATGTAAATAAAGCAAAAAATCTTGCATAATTTTGGCGTGAATTTAATTTTTTTACTGGGGACTCCCCAAAATTGGAAGTTGACTTTTTTCGAATATTGAAAAAAGTAGATATCCTATCCTGGTAGAGAAGGCGAAAAGAAACCGAAAAGGTCTCTTGGCAATTTTACGTCCAACGCCTCCTAGACCAATTTCACGTCCAACGCGTCCTAAAGCTTAGAAGAAATTCCAGAAGAAAATTTTGACTGGAGATACCCTAAAGTTGGAAGTTAAACTTTTTTCGAAAAATAAATTTTTTTTTTTGGATTATTACAGGATTCCAGATTCCTTTTTTTTGTAACGAATAGGTATCTTTAGGTACTATAGAACTTAGAACTACACTAAAAACCAAAATCATCTTAAATTGAAAAAAATTGTACCTACGAATTAATAATTTAAAAATGTATAATCCAAAGCAAAAAAAGAAAACAAACCTCATTTCTAATCATATCATTTGAAGGAAAAATAAGTAAACCGTAGATACAGTAAAAATTATTAGCAAAATTTTAATTTACAAAATGCAAAGCCATAATTAACGCTATAACGGTCAAGAAAATCAGTGAACGTTTCGCATTAAATTAATCGCTACGTTAAACGCTCATCTTTTTTACCTACACTTGAAGATCTTTTACTAGTTTATGTGTGTGCTTCTTTAACGAGTGTTTCAAATTTATTACCTTCTCTGGAAAATAGCAGAAGAAAATAGGTGAGAGTTTTCACTTTTATTATAAATTAGGTACCTACCTTCTACCAACATTTTGTTCATATACTACGTGATAGCGTTATTTTGAATTTTATTACATCCTTCATGGAGAATTTTGGTTTTTACATGTGTATTTTGTGAAAATTCCAAAATATCAATTTTGTAATGAACCATATTGACAAAGAGAAAAAAACAACTTCTTCTACTTTTTACGCCTACCTAATTAAACCTGTATATGATAATTCATAAATAAATAATTTTTATATTGGAAAAAAAAAGAACGGAACATTCATTAGTGAAAACAATTAAATATTAATTAAAATGAAAAAGAAGGATATATTCAATTTCGTGCAACTTTCTTCATTTAAATGGCTTCATTCAAGTCCAACTTGAATTATCACATAATTACCAAAAATCGACTAAGAACGCACTTCAATAAACTAAAACTCGATTACCTATGTTAATTACTTTCACTATCCAATTAATGAATGCATCAGGGTATAGTTGAATAACTTGCAAAAAAAAAACGCATCTTTAATGTAGAAAGTTGCTTCAATGATTTGAAGACCGCCAAAGTCTTATCATTTGAAGACAGAATCGATCTGTGATAGCACATTTTTGCCTTCATATTGGTGCTTTTTTTCACAGCAAAATGTGCGAAGAAGAAGTTTCGGCCTTGGTAGTTGATAACGGATCGGGTATGTGCAAAGCAGGATTTGCAGGGGATGATGCACCCCGTGCTGTTTTTCCTAGTGTCGTTGGAAGACCCAGATATCAGGTAATAATAATTATTGATAAACTGTAAATTTCTAACGGCAACTTTCTTTTGATGGTAATATTTGTGAATTATGGCTTTGGATTATATTGAAATGTGTGTATTTATATAAAATTGGCCAATTGTTTGCTATTAATAATTATGGTTTATTAATAACTACTTCAGAGGAATAAGTAAGTAAATCCTCTAATTAATTTCCGCTATTTGAAATTAACTGGAGATTGTTTTCAACTTTGCGACATTGTAGTATCTTGTATGTTAGGGTGTAATGGTTGGAATGGGTCAAAAAGACTCCTACGTCGGAGACGAAGCTCAAACCAAACGAGGAATTTTAACTGTAAAATACCCAATAGAGCATGGAATAATAAATAACTGGGATGACATGGAAAAGGTAAAACATTACCTACCAATAAAATCCAAATAAAGTCTAACAATGTTGCATATTATATAGATTTGGCATCATACGTTCTACAACGAACTTCGAGTCTCTCCAGAAGAACATCCCGTTCTCCTAACCGAAGCCCCACTAAACCCGAAAATCAACAGAGAAAAAATGACTCAAATTATGTTTGAAACTTTTGGCTCTCCAGCTATGTACGTTGCAATCCAAGCAGTACTTTCTTTGTATGCTTCCGGACGGACCACTGGAATCGTTATGGATTCTGGAGACGGTGTTTCACACACCGTACCCATTTATGAAGGTAAATAGATTATTAATATGTAATTACTTACTGACAATTATTTTCGCAGGCTACGCGTTACCGCACGCAATCCTTCGTCTTGATCTTGCTGGTAGAGACTTGACCGATTACCTGATGAAGATTTTAACGGAACGAGGCTACAGTTTTACTACGACAGCCGAAAGGGAGATCATCAGGGACCTCAAGGAGAAAATTTGCTTTGTCACTCTGGATTTTGAAAAAGATTTAGCTCTGGCAACTACTTCGAGTTGTTTCGAGAAATCTTACGAGCTTCCCGATGGCCAAATAATTACTTTGGGTAATGAAAGGTTTAGGTGTCCAGAAGCGATGTTTCAGCCAGCTTTATTAGGTATTTTTTTTTGTAGCTATAATTTGAAACTCTTGCTCGTTTGAAATGTAGAAAAGGCATCAGGCATCGATGTGTAGAAATTATTCCCATTAAATAGAAACTCAACATTCTCAGTTGTATTTTAGTTATCGAATAATCTGACCATCAAATGAAATAATCCTTATTCTAATGAAGAACTGTCTAGCCAAGGAGCTTTATCTTTGTTTTAGTTTTTGACTTGCATTGTCTAGTTTTTCTACTGCTAGAATCTCCAAATCTCCTGTCATTATTTGTCCAAGTTGTTTTGGACACCTAAGATAAATGTTGGATATTTTTAGGTATGGAATCACCAGGAATAGCGGAAACAACATTCAATTCCATAATGCGTTCGGACATGGATATCCGTAAAGATTTATACGCAAACACTGTCCTTTCGGGCGGCAGCACCATGTTCGCTGGTAAGTTTTTCATAGAATTTTCCGAACTTTTTAGGAAAAACTGCGTTTTAGGTATAGCCGATAGGATCCAGAAAGAAATTGCAGCGTTGGCGCCCGCTTCAATGAAAATCAAAATAATCGCGCCGCCCGAGAGGAAGTATTCGGTTTGGATTGGCGGAAGTATTTTGGCCAGTTTGACTACTTTCCAGCAAATGTGGATTTCGAAACAGGAGTACGACGAATCTGGGCCTTTCATTGTTCACAGAAAATGCTTTTAAATCAAAAAAATATACATATATTTATTATACATCTATCTTTATATTTCTTGGATAAATAAAAATTTTATATTTATTATTTAGTCGTTTATGATTCATCACAGCACAGTCAGCATGCCTAAAAATTCCAAAATGGAATTTTTTTGAATTCCTTAGCATTTTTTGGAATTTTTTGAAATTTTTTAGTTCCAAAAGTTCTGGAAAATATTGAAATGTTCCAGTGGTTTGGACACAGTCATGGTGGCATAGCTATATCGATGAGCGGGGAAGCGCGAAGCGCTGGGGACCCGGAACATAGGGGGCCCTGCAGGGGGGGAAATCAAAAAAATCTACAAAAAAAGTGACAGAAGCAAGAAAATATTAAAAATCTACCTAAATTAACGGATTTTGGCTTTGTTGGTGTGAGAAATAGTCCCTAGTACATTTGCCTTTGGATTTTGTAAGTCATGGTACCTACACGCCAAACTTCCTGGGTCCTTATTCTGGAAACAGAGGAGCAGCATTCCCAAGAGAACGAGTGTTCCGTCTTTTATTACTTATACTATCAGTTGCTTGCATATCATTAGGAAAGAAGGAACACTCGTTCTCCTGAGAACGCTGCTCCCCGGTTTCAAGAATAAGGTTCCTGCCCACATAACAGTGAAAGAACATTCATATTCTCAGAATATTCCCTCAAAGTGCTTTTTGGAATGTTCTTTTAGGAATGTTTAATGAATATTCTAAGATTGTTTCGATTGAAATATTCATTTTTGAACGTTCTATTTATGTACTAGGAATGTTGCTTCTATGCACCTACCTGAAAGATTGTGCTAAGAACCTACTTTATATAACAATCTTTGAATATTGTCATACGAACATTATTATAATGTACTCTAAAAAATGTTCTTTTGGCTAATATCTCTATCAAGTATTAAGAATATACCTACCAAGTTTAGCTGAGAAGTTTATGTAGGTAGGTAACCATGATAAGAATATTTTCATATTGTTCACCTAATTATCTGAAGTACCTAAAGTTTGTTTCGCCAGGGTTTGTACTTGCCACCAGCATTTGCCTTCCTTGTTTAACAAATAAAAATTGACCGAAACAAATCAATGACGTCAAAAACGTTCGTCGGTTCCTAAACCAAAAGTCATTCATTTTAACTTGTCAAAAATATTGAATATGTCATAGGAATTAATCTACGACAACCCTTTTTTTTCAAGTTTCAAGGTCAAGTATGAACCCTGGTGAAACGGACCTTACTCAAAAATCATAATTTAACAATTAAACAATAATCTATCTAGAACCTACTAAGAATATTATAGGTATATTCTTTTCCTTTTGCTTTGTAGGACTTCCAAGAGAGGGAGCCACACGCTATTAAAGATCTACATCTTACCTCGCGTTTGAATCACCTTGGAACCTGTTTCTCTCAGTTGGAGTTGGTGTGCTTTGACGAGAGCATAACAAGCTCGAAACCGGAGCTTTGGTTAAATACTTGTGTTTTCCAGAAAAGTTTTCCAACAACTCTTTCACTGCCTTTAATATAAAAGGGCTGGAAGGAGCATTATTTGGAAGCGAAAATTACCATTCCAAGTATATCCTTAGAATCAACCAAGAATGTTATGTCTAGGATGCATATTGAGAATGATATATGTAGATATATTCTAAGAATATTTCAAGCATATTGGTATAATATTCTTTTGAGAACATAACTATAATGTCATAGAAACATTCTTTGAATGTGAGAATACCTATACATATCGAGCATATTTTTAGAATCAAACAAGAATATTCTTTTCGGGATGTACTGAGAATCTCATAGGTATATTCTAGGAATATCCTAATGGATTTCTCAGGAAGTTCTTGGGTATTGCAAACAGTATTTCTACAATCTTTTCTCAGAACATTCTCAGGACATTCGCAATGGTTTTGGCGAACATTCCAGGCACATTCCTCCTAAAAAAAGAACATTCTTAATACATTCTAAAGATGCAATTTTGTTATGTGGGTGAGTGGCTTCATAACACCAAGTCGGACAATTTTTATCATATCTTCAACATGGGCGTTGGAACATTTTCGCGCTAGCTCTCCGTGAAGTTATCGTTCTGACGTCCCTAAGGAAGGTGATACATGTACAGTTCGTCATTTCTAATCTGATACTTCAAAGGAATGTGAGCTGGTGGCTCCCAACGTAAGAATGCCAATGATCACCTGACACCACTCCTGTTTTTGCCATATACCTACGTATAACTGTGTTTGCGTGCGGAAAAGACACTTTGCGCACGTGTTAGGAACAAAATTTTTCCTACGAGCTTCATATCAGGTAGGTAACAACAAAAATTAAAAAAAAAAAACGATAATTTGTTCAATTATTTTCAATTAACCTGAAGCGAACCTATTCATTCATCAAAAAATTACATAATAAAAAAACAGAAAATTGGAATCCTCGTCAGAGCTGTTCATCTTAAAGCGTTTAAATTTGATGTGAAAGAAGTTTGTAGATTCTTTTGCATGTACCATCGTCACCAAAAGTAACTGGGACACAAATAATGCATAATAATCTCCTGGACTAATTCTACTGTCATTCATTTCAATGCATTTAATGCATAGTTTGACAAATATTTGACAACAAAATTCATATAATAGGACAAGAGCTAATGTGATGCTGTCCCAGTTTCTTTTGGTGACGATGGTAAATAGAGAACACAAATCTGACAATGTGTCAAAGTTAATTATATTCAGTGTTTGTACAGATGTTGGCTTATATGCACACACATAATGTCACGAAAGGTTTGTTACAAACTTCTAGGGATGGTAGAACTCGTAAAAATAAAACTTTTTTCTTAATAAACATGTGTCCGGAAATGCTTCGTTTTCCAGTTATATACAGGGTGGCCCAAATTTGAGCCTCATCATTGGGATCTCGGTAACCGTAAGAGATACGGGGTCGGTTAAATTATGGCAAAGTTGGGCAATTTTATGACCAATAGAATACCGTTTTGAAACTAGAAAGATTCCGAATACTTCCGGTTTATTTGAAAAGCAATTTTAAAATAAATGTCACTTCATCATTGTCACTTTTTCTCCTTTAGAAGATGGTACTACTAAATTTAAAATTCGACGTTTCTTTTTCAGGCGGCCATCCTCAACTTCCTTTTTTTAAATACGGACCTGGATTTTTTATTTGCGATTTTGTCATCTTTGCGCATCCTAAAACCGATACTGTTTATAATTTTTCAATAACACAGCAAAAAAAGCAGGTCCATATTTAAAAAAAAAATTAATGATGATTTCAGAGGAACGAAACATTGGATTTTAAATTTAATACCGCCATCTTGTAGAGAAGAAAAAGTGACAATGGCAAGGTGAAATTAGTTTTCCACAATCCTTTTAAATAAAATCAGGAAAAAATGAAAACTATACGAAAAAAAACATGAATTTCTCGTTTTTCTTAAATTTTTTCCTGATTTCATTTAAAAAGATTTTGAAAAACTAATTTCACATTCCCATTGTCACTTTCTCTTCTTTACAAGATGGCAGTATAAAATTTGAAATCCGACGTTTTTCAAATACGGACTTGGTTTTTTACCGTGTTATTGAAAAATTATAAACAGTATCGGTTTTAGGATGCCCAAAGATGACAAAATCGCAAAAAAAAAAATCTAGGTTCGTATTTAAAAAACGTAAGTTAAGGATGGCCGCCTGAAGACGAAACGTCGAATTTTAAATTTAGTACCACCATCTTCTAAAGGGGAAGAAGTGACAATGATGAAGTGACATTTATTTTAAAATTGCTTTTCAAATAAGCCCGGGAAAAAAAAAAACGATTTCTCAAAATTTTGGTTTTTTTCCGAATATCTCCGGAAGTATTCGGAATCTTTCTAGTTTCAAAACGGTATTCTATTGGTCATAAAATTGCGCAACTTTGCCATAATTTAACCGACCCCGTATCTCTTACGGTTACCGAGATCCCAATGATGAGGCTCAAATTTGGGCCACCCTGTATATCTGGAAAACTAAGCATTTCCGGACACGTGTTTATCAAGAAAAAAGTTTTATTTTTACGAGATCTACCATCCCTAGAAGTTTGTAGCAAACCTTTCGTGACACCCTGTATAAGAAACAGAGGAAAAATTTGTTATCATGTAAAAAGTCGACAGGCACTTATTGTTGCTTGACAATTATTTTTACTTTTCGGCACTCAGTGCGGATAAGGCCCGTATCCGCACTGAGTGCGGAAAAGTGTAACTTTGAGAACGGTAATGCGTGCGGAAAAGTACTACTTTTCGCACGCTCGTAGGAAAATATATTTTTCTTATTGGTGGGGGGGGGGGGTCTATCAAAAGGTTTGCGCTCGGGCCCATGAGGACCTTGCTACGCCACTGGACACAGAGCTGGCACAAGTACCTACATTACGAAATTACTTGAAGTACAAGTATAAAGTAAATATATTAAATAGATTTACTTGAAGTACAAGTACCACAGTACAAGTTTTTTGAAATTATACTTTGATTATCAACAGAGCTGAGCAATGCCCTCAGTGAAAGGGCTCGAAGCCCTAAGCCCTTTCTGGAAGTGCTTTCAATTTCAAGCACAAATTCCTTTTTATTTTCAAAAGTGCTTCACAAGCACAAAGCACTTTCACAAGCACAAAACCCTCAAAGTGATTTGAAAAGTGCTTGGAGCACATCAATAGTGCTTATTGGGGTGCCTTAGAAAGTGCTTTGAAGCTCTTTAAATGTTTTTGAAGCCTGTTAAATGTGCTTGAAGCTCTTTAAATCTGCTTGTAGCTCTTTAAATGTGCTTGAAGCTCTTTAAATGTATACCTGAATTAAACGCTTTGAATTTGTAATAAAATTCTCAAAGTTGCAGAAACTACCGCGTACACTCATCAGTTGAATTAGTATAGTCGAGATGAACTCTAAATTTCATAGAGTAGGTACAGTAGTATTTTATTTTATTTTTTTGAGATGAGATTCTGGTGTACAGTGTGTCCCATTTGGCTGTCCATAAGGGATAACTCGGTTGCTATTGGAGTTAGAACGATGCGGTTTCCGCAAACGTTGGCTACTTTTTTGTCAAGAAACATGGCGCCAACAGAATTGTCATTGCTCTTTTTGCTTTTCAGATACAAGGTGTTTTTGAAAAAGTTGCATATTGGGACACCCTTTGTATCCCGGTTCTCTCATAAGTGATCGAAACGTACGGTGACAACGGTTTCTTACAGATATTTTTACGTACATTCCAGTGGCCTAGTCAGTTCTCCTCTAGAAGTGATAGGTTTTAAATTATTAACCAAACATACGGTTCTTCAAATGAGACACCCTATATAATATAAACTCATTGAATAGCTCTGCTTCTGCTGATTTCAATGATATAAAATTCGATAGGTTTATCTCAAACAGTTTTCGAGCAAACAATTTGTTTCTGTTTTTATCATAAGAAACAATGTGTTAGAAAGGGACCTTTCTCATTTTCCTTACAGATGCAAAGTCTTCTCTGACACATTGTTTCAGTTTCTTATGACAAAAACAGACATGATAAATATCAACCCGAACTTTATATCATTGAAATCAGCAAAAGCAGAACTATCCAATGAGCTATTAATATACAGGGTGTATCATTTGAAAGAACGTATGTTTGGTTCATAATTTAAAAACTATCACTTCTAGAGAAAAACTGACTACGCCACTGGAAGCTACGTAAACATATCTATAAGAAACCATTGTCACCTTTTCGATCACTTATGAGAGAACCGAGATACAAGGGGTGTCCCAAAATACAACGTTTTCAAAAACACCTTGTAGGTATCTGAAAAACAAAAAAAAAGGATGGCAATAATTCTGTTGGCGCCATTTTTCGTTGGTACCGAGTTACCTATCTCTTATGGATAACCAAAATGGGACACACTGTACTTAGTGTAGTTAGAGTACATGATAATTCAATTTTAAGGTTCTCGCAAAATGTTTAATAAGGAAAAGTTGGTCAAAATGATGGTCAATTCAAATTCCTCTCAAAGTGCTTCAGCCCTTTTAAAGTGCTTCAAGGCCTTGCGAAGTGCTTCAAGCTTCCAAAAGTGCTTCAAGGTTCCAAATGTGCTTCAAGCCCTCCAAAAGTAATTGAACCTCATTGAAAGGGCTTGAATAACTTTTTTTCAATTACGAATTACCAAGTAGGTACTTTTCTAAAGTTATTGACTTTGCAAGCCCCAATTACAAATACAGGGCGAGTCCGAAATAAGTGCGCATTTTGTTATGATTATGATGTATAGTAGGACAATCACTTTTTGTATTGGAACATGTGTCCGCAAACTTCTCGTTGAGAAGATACAGAGAGTGTTGAAATTTTAGGAAAATTTTGACTTTTTTCCTTTAGGTATATTAGATTCAAAATGCCTTGAGCGATTTCGTCCAAATTTTCAGAGAGTATTTGCGATTTAATCATGACATAAACTTTTTTAACTTCATTGTTGTTTAGTTTCCGGTGTTATGTGAACAAAGTGGAGTATATCGAACAACGAAATTTTCCAAAAAATACATAAAGTCTGTTTTTTTTTTTTTTTAAAGATAATTCCCCAAGTCAAAAATCTAGTAACTATGTTGGCAACACAATCCTTGTCTACATAAAAATTTGAAGGCATTGACAATTTTACATTGTATTGCCAACATAATGTCATTTTGACTTTTATCTTTAAAAAAAAAACAAACCTTATTGATTTTTATTTTTTATCTCGTTGTTTAAAATTGACCTTTTGTTTGGACACCATATTGCGGTGCGCGAACATAGTTGCCAAAAGAAGAAAACAAAAATTACTAGCGGGCTGTCAACATTAAAAACAAAAGTAACTAAATGATTGATCCTCGCTATCCTTTTTGCTTATTTACTTTCTCTCTCTGATTCTATAAACAATAAAGCCTAGTACTACTCATAACCGCGAAATTCGCTGTTTTTTGACATTGCTTCGACAATTTGACGTTTTATGCATGAATCTGCGGCATGAATTAAACGTCAAATTGTCGAAGCAATGTCAAAAAACAGCGAATTTCGCGGTTATGAGTGCTAGGCTTGAGAAAGGAAACCGAAATTTGGTAAAGTGAATAGGTAGATATTTTATTATTTCTATTCTGCCCAATAACAAGTCAAAATTGATGGCTTTTCTTTTCAAAAACATTCGTAATAGGCGACAAATTTGAATTTTAAATGTAATTTATTCAGTAACTTTTGTTTTTAATGTTGACAGTACGCTAGTGATTTTTTTTTCCTACTTTTGGCAACTATGTTCGCGCACCGCAATATGGCGTCCAAACAAAAGGTCAATTAAACAAGGAATCATAAAATAGTTTTTAATTTGTCAAAAAGCTCAGGGGCGTAATACTTTTTTCTTTAAAAAAAAATAAGAGTCGCTCTAGGTTCGCTCCTAGAAAAGTAAAACTCACACGGATTTTTCAGAAAGATGCTTGAGAACATTGCAAACACTCTCTGGAAATTTGAACAAAATCGCTCAAGACATTTTGAATCTAAAGACGAGAAATTTTCGGAAAAGTTCAACACTCTATATTTTCTTAACGAGACGTTTGCGGACCTATGCACCCATGCAGAAAGTGATTGTCCTAATGTACTTTATCTACCATACCAAAACGCGCAGTTATTTCGGACTAACCCTGTATATAAAAGGGCTTGAAGGCACAGTCCTCAAACTACTTCAAGCACTTTTACAAGCACAAAGCACTCAAGCCCTGCCCAGCTCTAATTATCAACTGTCAAGTAAGTAAACTTGAAATTTACTTGAATTTTATCCAGGTAATTCACTTCGAGTAAAAACGTTGAGCTTCAAGTAAAGTGGCATTACTTCAATTGATTTTGACAGAGCCGTAACTAGACCTGTTTGGCAGGTTATTAATTTGCGCCCCGCCCCATATTCAATGTAAAAAAGTAAGCAACTGATGTAAAATTCCTGTTTCATTTGACATTAATAAAATATTTGAATATTAACATCATCCAGAAACTCAAAATTTAAAGTATCAATAACATAACATGTAATAGCAAAAAATAGGTAAAAGAACACAAAAAAAGAGGATATTATTGACTATACAGGGTGTCTGGAATAACTTAAAGTACCTACCTACATGGGGATTTTGGAAACCATTGACGATACAGGGTGGACCAAATAGGAAAAAAGTTGCGCGATCAAGTACCTACAAATAATCTGTCATCAACTTCTTTGAACTCGGGATAGCAACGGCCAGCTTATTCTGTAACTTGCGACCGCAGAGAATTGCGAAATTGTCGCTGTCAAATGCGAGTTTTCTATTCTTGAAAAGCATAACTGCGACGCGGTTAACCAAAAGCCTAGTCCAGACCAGGGGTGCGATTTTCGAAACCATTCGAGTACATTTCGTACACGAAATTTGACTGACAGCAATGTAAATTAAATGGGGAGCAGTCAAGTTTCGTGTACGAAATGTACTCGAATGGTTTCGAAAATCGCACCACTGACCTACATACACTGCCCAAATTATATTTTTCGTTCAGTTAATCTTGTTTTTAAAAACTATTTTATTAAAGACTAAGAAGTTACAACAAAAAATACTAGACTCTAAATTGCTGCGGCAAAAGGCCGAAAACAAAAGAATCTTGATTCTCATTGCTATAGCTCAACTAAAAACAAAAGAATGCGCCGTATTTATATTAAAATACTGCTAATGCTTGCATTTGTGTGGGTGAAACCTTGATATGACGGTACTTTTCCAGGCAATATCCCTAATTCAGCACCTTTATAATATCGTGGGGTTTTATACAGTGACTTAGGCTTACGTTTAACATTGAAAAGGGGAATTATTTATATAATAATAACATAGGGTTTTAGAATATAATTCCCACCAAACAAATGTTTGGAAACATTTGCCCCTTAACAAAATATTTATACACGTGTGTAGGTGCTTTGTTTTAAAGAACATTTAGTTTTTAAACGAGGTATAGCAATTGCGTCCAGACTAAAGGCAAAACATGTCACCAAATAGCACCACCACTGATACGATTGCTCTAAACAACAAACATTTGCTTTGAACGCGTCCAGACTTGCTTCAAAAGCGAGTGTAAAAACAAAGTTTCTCATCCTGACGGGAAACAAAAAACTTTAAATATTTATTTTAAATAATTTAAACAAATGTTTGCGAACACATTTTAAACAGCAGAATCTGTTGTCTCGGCGACATCACTAGATTTGAAAATTCTAGAATAAATGGAAAGTATATCAATATTTTCTGTGATATACTTTTTTTGTAATAATAATGGTGAAAAGGACTTTTATTCTTATCTTCTGGAGAACGATATTCACATATTGAATTTTCTTCCACTTGAATTCAAACCAATTTGACCAACTCACTCGAATTATATACACGTGTCTTTATAAACAGAACATGGTAAAGTAGGTAATTATATTTTCGATTCAGAAACTTGTATTCTAAAAAACATTTATTTTATTGATTAAAATACAGAGGTGACAAAATTTAGTGCCGATATAGCAACTTAAAGTTTACAACAATATGTATTCAAAAAGTCATAGAGGAAAGGGGTAAGCTCATTAAAGCATATAAAAAATGGATAATTGAATATTAAATAGCGTGGCAATTGGTTAATATAACTAAGATAAAATCGCAATTAAAATACAAACAGCCGCGAATCATAAATAACGTATATTAAATTAAAACTACCATCATAAAACCATTGATATCCATTTAATTATTTGCAATAGTCACATATGCATTATATAGACGCGAATTTTGGCAAGCGTTCAAAGTTACTTTAGACAAAGGATTATTTTACTTTAATGTTTATGTATTTTTTCTCTTAAGTTCTAACGTAAGTTAAATAATACATTTGGTAAACATTTAAACTCTAAACTACATCAAATACATATAGCTGAAAATAAACAGTTTATTTGGAAGTGAAGAAATACGATCCAATTTGATTTATTTATTATTACGAATATTGACATTTATTGAAATAAAAATGATAACATCTAATAATAAAATTTCCAAGAAAATTGAGTTGTAGTAACAATCAAACATTCTTTAATAATAAATCATCAAACCGGAAAATGTATATTTAGATGGACATTAAAACAAAAAGGCCAATAGTAGTAATAAATGGAGCAATAAATGTCAAAAATAATTAAATTTCAATTATTATTTTTAGAATCCATAATAATTTAATCTTCGCTTTTAACCCTTCAGCGCGATCATACAATTTTTAATACCTAATAATTATATTTTTAGAATACATAGATTTCTTTGGTAGAATTATATCACAGGACTAGACTAGAGTTAAGATACATTTATCGATTAATAAATAATTCGAAACAACAAATAAAGCAGCTGTTTTATGCAACAATTAGCAATTGTACAGATTTTGTTTAAATTTTGGAATGTAGGTAAGTACCTAAAAAAATTTCGAATGAAGTAACAAGTAACGATAGTGAAACTCCAACAGAATCTAATTGAATTATTGAAACTAGAAAAAAATCTGCAGGAGGATTTTGTACAGACAAGCAAGAATTAAAATTGCATGAAATAGCAGACGAACATTATTCTTTGGTTACTTTAAGCAATATCGGATAATGAATATTATCATCGTAATCGCAACTACTATCCATAAGTTCCAGCCGCTTGACCCAAACCAAATCGCTATAGTTCACGATTTTCTTGCAAACCAACCCTCGAATTCTGGCCTGCAAAATAAAACTATCCAAAGTTGTCCCTCTTATGGGAGCCATGATCAACGCCACCCCTTTTGAAGCCAAATGATTACGAAGGCAATTTATAAAATCTATGCGGTAATCATCGAAAAACAAACAATCTGCCGAAATTATGACATCGAACTGTTTGGATTCTTTTTGTTCGTTCCATCTTAAAATTGCGCATTGCGTATCGCAAGCGAATGAATTGCATTGCAAAATCGCTTGCACGTTATCTATGGAAGTTTTATTTCCATCTGTAACAAGAACATTTTTTGCTGAGCTATATTTTGCAATAAAAAGACCTGCGAGGCAAGACATGCCTCCCCCAATTTCCATAACACTTTTACCCTCAAACATATTCAAGTTTAAGCAAACGTAATAACTGAGGGTTTCTTCAGAAGGCCAAATACATATGTTTCCGGTATTATTGAAGCCCATAAGATCTTCTGCGCTATACGTACGATTCCTGTGGCCGATATTCAATTTGAATGATTTTTGATCGATGTTGAATGAGTATTCGAACCAAGTGCGTTTTAGGATTTGGTCGTTTAGAACTTGGCTAGGTGGCGAGGGTAGTTCTCTGGTTTCCAGGAGCATGAACGAGGAGATTCTTCTTATTGAGATTTCATCGGTTGGGCTAGAGGGTTGACTCCCAAGTGGACCCTGAGAGAAGAAAACACTTTACGATTTTTGACGAATTTAATAGATTTATGAAAATCTGGATGTTAGTATTTAATCGAGTTGTAAGAGATATTGGATCTATGTAAGTCATAGATAGGAATTTTACGACAATATAGTATAAAAATTTTACCTTAATTTATTTTTATTCAATATACAGGTTCATCCCTCTATTATAAAATATTACTACTATAATTATTTTACTAAACAGAATCTAAAAAAAAATTAAAACTAACAAGATTAAAACTAACAAGATCAACAAAATTTTACAAAACTCATGCAAAAGATTAAAATATAGTATCAGTGGTGTGATTTATACAAATTAACACTAACACTACAAAAAGGCACCAAAACGTCACCCCTTTGAAGAATTACAAGACGGGATTGAACTGACGGCGAAACTGTGGAAATGAAATTCCAGTTACCTCAAAATTGTGAGTATTTACTAGTCTAGAGAATCTAGATAAAGGGCTCTTATATGTATAATTGCTACAATGATATGGAATGTGAAACAAATTGGTAGGTACCATGAGTGTTCTGTGAAGGAACCCTGAAGCATATCTGTTCGAGTAAATCCGGACAGTCTATATCACCAGACATTAACTTGAAAATGCTATTTATACAAAGGTCACAAGAATTTCGATCAGACTTGAGACTATTATTATATAAATAGGATGTTTCGCAAATCTTCATACATCCATTGATCTCGAGGAATTTGGAGTCTGAATCCACCACAATAACGTAAAAATTTATTTTGAACAGATTCAAGCCTGTCTATATGTATTTGATAAATAGGGGTCCAGACTGGAGAGGCATAATTTAGTATACTTTTCACCAAAGAAATATATAAATGACTTACAGTTGGAACAGAAAAATCAGAACAGTTATGCAAAACAACCCCCAGCCTAGTGAATGCCCTGGATGATAGCGCGTTTATGTGAGGAACCAAAGACATTTGGCTGTCGAAAATAACTTCCAAATCAGGTATTTTGTCTACTCTATTAAGAGATGAATTATCTATATTATAATTGAAAAGTATTGGACTTTTACTTCTAGTGAATGTTATTTACAGTGACATTTATCAATGTTTAGCGACATGTCATTACTCTTGGACCACCCGGTAAGCATATTCAAGTCGTACTGGAGATTAAGACAGTCACCGACATTATTTATCTCTGAGTATATTTTGAGGTCATCAGCAAAAAATAAAGGCTTACAGAAAGTAAAGCATTTAGTTATGCTTATACTTTTCAAACGGATCTGTAACTTAAAAAAGTATCTTGGATACCAGAAAGTAGATATCTCAGATACTAAGAAGTAGGAAGCTACTGAAAAGTCTAATCTAAGTTACCGTGAAAAAAGGTTCTTGAGACGTTTACCCAAACCCGACCCAAAAAGTTAAAAGTTCAAACTTCAAGAAGCATCAAGCTTACGTTTTATGTAGGTATTATTCATTTTGTACTCACCCAGCCGCTCTGTGGAGTAAGTGTACTAAGTTTACACAAGGTGTACACTCATTTAAGAAAAGAGTGGATTGACAATTTTGTACTTCAAAAGTTCACGTCGCGATTTATCCATTATATTCTATAAAAATGTATCTATGATTTGTGATTGTAACTGTGATAACTATGTCCTGCGATTTTGAACCTTATTCTCGAATTTGGGATTTTTGAACTATAAAAATTCTGATTTTTAAAATTGAATCCGAAACCTTTTTCACTTGCTATTTGGAAGTGATAATAAAGTATCTTAATAAGTATCTTATTAAGTATCTTAAAAACTAATTTAAGATACGTATTAAAGATCCTTTTTTAAATGAGTAACTAAATACCTAAAGTAACTTCGGATACTTTTTTTAAAAGTATCTTAGATACTTTTTAAAAGTATCTTTGACAGCTCTGCCCTATGGCATGAATCCAGATAACTGTTTACACGTAGCTTGAAGATAACTAAAGTGTAAATAATCATTTTTATTAATTATACTGGGTATGAGCTGCCTTTTTATCTTTAACGTGTCTTAGTTCCCCAGTGAACCATACAGGAAAAGACGAAGAGGTTTTTCTCTTAAGAGGAACAAATAGGCTGATAGCCTGGTCTAATACCTATTGCATAAAAAATTTCGGTTGCAGTGTCAATATTTCCCTCCAGTACTAATTCCCAATTTATAGGAGCCAAAAAACTATCAATTCCAATATAATCAGCTCTAGCAAAGTTTCTAAAAAACTCCAAGAAATACAGATCTTCGTTCTTCCCAACCTGAAGTGGGCAGCGGTAACTCCTATGATGATAACTATCAGGAAAAAGGCTATGTTGATGCAAAAATCAGAGTCCCCAGAGCAAAAAATTAAATCCAAATATTTGCTGTGCGGTATTAGGACATGATTCTTCTGTTTTTGGCCGAAAAAGCAACAGTTGTCACAAATTGTTTCTGCGGGATAACTATTGGGACATTGTACTAGGTAGCTGTTTACCTGCATCTGACAAGAACCAAACAGTGGAGGGCAGATTATAGTCGCCAAATAAATGAACGGATGAACAAACGAACGTGCGAATTATGTTATTCACCTCGCTGCAATGGTTAGCATAGGTTTCACTAGGTGAATTTGGTGGAATATAAACTGCTCCTAATATTAATTTCACCTTACCAAATGTTAGCTGAATAAAAAACATGTTCAACAGTGCTCATTATACATGGAATGAGCAATGAAGTCAACGTGTTTTTGGGAATACCAAGCTCGGCATCATTAAATTCTGAAGTTAACCAAGTCTCAACTATAATGATAACATCAAAAAAAGAAGCTGCGACACCCTTAGCAAAGTCCCGAAGTTTTGACCCCATCCCAACAACATTGAATTAAAGAACATAATAACGTTAATTCTAAAAGGAAAACAAACAAAAAATCTAATAATTGATTATCTACCTCGCCTTTGATTGGCGTGTAAACGTTGTTAGACCGATAAATCAGTTTTTGATTTCGACTAGTCTCAATTTACGCCATTAATGTGGACAAACAAATTAATTACCCAATTCCACAATAATATAATAATGGATGTGATTTATAAAAATCCATTTTAATTCCTAAAAATAGACAATTCCATTAGGTATATGAACATTTATCATAAGGCTTTAGGTACCTAGCTATCTATTTAATTTGAAAATTGAATTTAAATGTATTAATTGCTCAAAAATAAGAAAAACTTGATGGTTGTAACTTTAACCATTAAATTCCCAGATTATAACTATTGATGAATGGCTTTAATTAAAAAAAAAAGAAACAAATTAAACTTGCCTTTAGAGCTTTCGCTAATATTCCCCATCGTCTTCGTGCCACTTTTTGGTCCACATTAATTTTAAAATTTTGATTCAAATCTTTTGATTGGTCCATAAGAACTCAAACATTACCTACCAGAAAAAACGATATTTTTTTTTTTTAATATAAGACTAGTTGTAAATAAAATATTTTACGAAACTGTTTTGTAAATCGCTAGTTTTTCGGATGTCTGGTCTTGACAACGCGACAACGAAAAATGGAAAACGTTTGAGCGGGAAATCTCAGTCGGATTTCCCGAATTTTAAATGTTTTATAGGTGCGGAGTGTGCGTGAGTGTTATTTTGGAAGTTAGAGATACAATAGTGCTAAAAATAGCTTCCTTTTTGATGGACACCTTTACTTTTATTCGCTCCACTGATTGTATTTTATTGCATCTAGATACCTATTTTAAATTTGGTTCATTAACAATTTTATTTACTCTTGATTTTCAACCCATCCTAAAATTTTAAATTATTCCCAAAATTCAACCCTTATTCCATGAAAATCAAAATTAATCCTTTAGTTAAAAACCCATTAGCAAAATAGATAAAATATAAGCGTCATTACAGAGATAATTCCGAAAGGGAACTAACTGACAGTGTGGTTTTGAACTTTGACTCATTGAAGACGATTATTATTGATTAAATTTTATATTGTTAAAAGGAGCTCCGAGAGTGGAGCTTCGAAAAATGAAAAATATTCTGGTGTGTTTCTTTTTGTGTTGGGTTTCAAGGTGTATAATAGCTGTTGAAGGTAAGTTGAACTTTGAATATTTCAAATAACTTATGAATCTATAGACGCACATTTTCGGCATAGATTTTTCTAGAAATCGTGCTGTTTTCCAGTGTGTCCAGAGCTGGCAAAAATCACTATTTTGATTATTCTCGGCTCTTGAATTGCTTTCAAAGCTCTTGATTACCAATAGAAACAAGAGCTGGTAATAATAACAATTTGAACTATTAGAGCTCTTGATTGCATCTCCAAGAGTTTTCCAGTCTGTCCAAACCTGGCAAAAGTCAATATTTGGATTAATCTTGGCTCTTGAATTGCTTTCAAAGCTCTTGATTATCAGGTAACAATTATTCAAATTTGGATCATTACCGGCTTTTGATTGTCTCCAAAAAAATTATCTAACGAATCAAGAGCCGATAATGATCACAATTTTTCAATTTCCACAACAGCCTTATTTTTTTGTAAATGGATCATTGAATTTTCAAATAATAATCAACGAATCAATTATTTTTGTGATAAAATTTAAACAAGATTTCGAAGATTGGGAATCTAGACAAGTATCTTCCCAATCACCTGCTGGGAGATTTTCACCACTTAAGAACGGAAATATGGGAAATATATGAAAATTTGAGGAAGTAAGAGAAAAATGGATCTCTCAGCTCAGTTATACGTCTCCGCAGAGCCGGCACAAGTACATTATGAAAGTACTTGAAGTACAATTACAAGTTTTTTAAAATTATACTTTGATTATCAAGTAAACTTTAAATTGGACTCCAAGTAAAAACATTGAGCTTCAAGTAAAGTGCATTACTTGAAGTATTTTTGAGTACTTGAAGTATGTAACTTTACTTTAAATAAATTACTTGGAGCAATAGTTGAAGTAATTTTGGTTCTTCAAATATCTAAAATTTGTTCAAAATAAGACAATTCTTAGTACGTTTTTTAGTTATTCACAATATAATTCGATTCTCATTTTATTCAGGTGTCTTATCCGAACTTTATGTTATTTATTATTTATAAAGTAATAAAAGTACCTACCAAGGTGCTTTGGTGTTTAGTAATTTTTTATATTTTTCGTTGTAAGGTGCGCCGATTCGAGTACATTATACACCTAGGGGCTAAAGTGGTACTTTTAATCCCGAGACAAAAAGTTTATAGCACGACCGAAGGGAAATAAATTATTATACCATTTATATCTATATAAAAAGCAGGAAATTCTCTATAAATCCGTCCAAAATTGAGCTTAATATGTAGTTTCCTCAATACAAATCACACATTTTCAATTATTTTCCTTCAGATGCTCCACCTGAACCGCAAAAACTCACTCCTGAAAATGCCGTCGAACATGAAAAAAAGCTCAGCGAATACATCCTCACTATTCTGGAGCATTACAAACAACAAGATCCTGTAGGATTACCAGGAGCACCAATACCGGATCCTCTAGACATACCACCAATGAATCACTCTTTTTCCGTTGGAAGGATGAACTTTCAAGACGTGAAACTTTACGGATTGAAAAAGTTCAAAATCGAACACGTTACCGCTGATATTGCTGTAATGAAAGTTGAGGCTGCCTTGTTGCTGGAAAAATTGGATGTAATTGGAAACTACACTTTAAAGTAAATATATAATATATTTTTTCTAAACTCGTTTATAATAACCCTTTTAGAACATGGTTTTCATCAGCCCACGGACCATTTACAGTAAAACTAACAAAAGTCCACGTTAAAGCTACAGCAAATCTTGAAGTTCAAAAAAATGGCAGTCTCGAAGCCCAAGACATCGCTATGGACATCACTTTCAAAGATATGGCAATGGATTTCCAAGGATTAGGATTCTTTGCTTCGATGTTCCAGGGTATAATCAACTCGGTGGGGACTTTTGTTTTCGATTCGATTAAGCCTTTTATCCTGAGAGAAGCCAACACCAACATCCGTAACGATATCAATAAGCAAGTTTCGAAAATTCCTCAACAGTTTCCCAACTCAATTTCACCTTTTGACCAATTAGTGTCTGAAGTGCGCAAAAAAGTACGCTTTATGGGCTACGATCCTTTTAAAGTTGAAGATTATAATAATACTGTTGGAGTATTTGATGTGTTTCTTACTCATACTTGGTTGTATGGGATATCAAGCTTCCACAGGTGAAATTTTTATTATTATTTTTTTTTAGTAATACTAATTTGTGCAATTATGTAGGACTAAAAATATAATTGTTGAAATGAGAAACAATAGTGTGCATATTCTATTGGAAGTTGGCACCCAAAAACTATCAGGAACCACGCACTGGGAAGTTTCTCTTGTATCTGGGTTTTTGGAAAAAATTGGAACTGCATCTTTTAGTGTTGAATATATCAGAGTAAGATTTTTCCAAAATTTAATTGAAATAAACCAATTGGTAGTATTCATCTTTTAGGTCCAAATTAATGCCAGTCAAAATATGGACACTAGAAAAAGACCATGCCTGGACGACATTCAATTAGAACTAGGAAATATCCAGGTCCGATTCGACGGTTTGGGAACCATCGACTACATAATTGAATTCGCGGTGAACGTGGTACCGAACCTTTTGCGTTATCAAATCATGGACGCTATTGAGAAACCGATTAAATTGAAAATCCAAGAGGAGCTTGATAAAGTGGACGTTGAAGAGTTGATTAAGGAAAACGCTGCTAAATTAGACACTCCTGAGGGACTAGAAGAATTGAATAATTTGATTTAATTTGGATTAATAAATTAATTTTTTCCATTGTATTTTAATTTAGCTAAGAGAATTTTGAGCTGATAAGTACAACAAATTATTTCTGTAGTCTTTTCATAATTAATTCATTGCCAAAAATAGAGAGTGGCGGGCGTACGAAATAATTTCGGGATGGTCGTGGGACACCCTGTATAATAGTAGCTCCAGTGTAGTTCGAACCGACCCTTTGCAACAAGTGTCAAATGACTTTATATGGTTTACAATTACTCCATTGCTTATTCATGGCTACTGTGCATGCTACAACACACAACACAACTTATAACTTTTTTAAATAACTTGGAAATTTGAAATTTGGGGAGCTTATGAGGCAATTTTTTGAGTTTTTTGAAACCAAATTGCGTTACCATTACCAGTCGCTTCTAGTTTAACCGGAAGTCTGGTTTAACCGGACATTCAAAAGAGGCTTTAGGCAATTTTTGACGAAATAAATGGGCTATTCCACCTATTCATTTGCAAGGATGATATACACACCTACAGGATTGCTCATCAGCCTCGTTTTTGGTAATCGCCGCCATATTGGTGCGTCACCATTTCCGACGTCATAACTAAGTCGGCAGCTGTTTAAACAGCCTACGTCGCGAGAAATAACATCCCGCCTACGTCACAACTGGTGATTTGGCTGGGGGATAGAAGGCGGATTTGTTCCTCACAAGCCTTATGAGGTTAGGCCATCCTGTAGTAGTAGTAGTAGCGTGTATTATCCTTGGGGTTCTTGCACTACAGATTATGATGGCGCTGATTTTGCTTAATGCATATTTAGTTTTAGTACATTATTTAATATTCTAAGTATAAGTATAAGCGGAGACCGCGAGATGATGCGTCCTATCATATATCTGCGCATGCGCGACGAGTTATCGTTTAATAATCCGGCAACATGTATTTAGCCGACCAAATGTTTTTTGTTAATATTCGCCAGATGCAATCGTTTGGTGGTTCTTTGGTAGTCTATGGTATCTCACTTTTATTATTTGGTGGTCATTTATACTATACCGGAGATATCAACTAATTAGAATTCATATTATACGATAATTCGTCGCGCATGCGCAGATATACAGGGTGTCCACTCAGTGCGATATCAGACGATATCTCCTTACAGGGTGATGCAAGAAAAAAAATAAAAAATTACAAAGTTGTTCGATACTCTAATATGCATTAGCTAAAAATATTTTTGAATATATAGGGTGCTCCGTTTATGGGCTTTGCGACAGAACTTTGTTATTTTAAATAGAACATCCTGTATGTGATTGCATATTTGGATTCTTCGTAAAATTCTGAGCAGATTTCATGTAACATACGCTTTACCTAAGTTCAACTGTTTTGGAAATATTGACAGTTGAAAATTGACTTTTTGCAACTATAACAGGCTGTAAAACCTTAACGGTTAATTTTAAATGAAAACCGATTTTACATTCCTATCTTGGATTTTTATAAACTATCATTTGACACTAACTTTGAATTTGATCCATGATTAGAAATTCCAGTTAAATTTAATCTCCGGTTAAGTTCAAAGTTGGTGCCAAATGATAGTTCATGAAAATCTAAGACAGGAATGTAAAATCGGTTTTCGTCTAAAATTAACCGTTTAGGTTTTACAGCCTGTCAAATTTGCAAAAAGTCAATTTTCAACTGTCAATATTTCCAAAACAGTTGAACTTAGGTATAGAATATGTTACAAAAAATCTGCTCAGAATTTTACATAGAATTCAAATATGCAATCACATACAGGGTGTTCCATTTAAAATACCAAAGTTCTGTCGCATACCCCATAAACAGAGTACCCTGTATATTCGAAAATATCTGAAACTTATGCATATTAGAGTATCAAACAACTTTGTAATTTAATTTTTTTTTCTTGCATCACCCTGTAAGGAGATATCGTCCGATATATTCGCAATAAGTGGACATCCTGTATAATAGGACGCGTCATCTCGCGGTCTCAGCTGTTCTGTTTGCATTAGAGATTGTAGCTTAGAATTTTTTATGAAGAAAATTATTATTTAATTTTGATTAATATAATAGGGGGAAAGGAAGCTGACAACTAGATCTAAAAAGGGTTTTTTTCAGAATGTTAATGTAGTAAAACCAAGTATGCATAAAGCAAAAGCCCGCGGAATCATAGACATCGCGGAATCATAATCAGTGATACAACCAGCCTACGAGCCTACGTCAAAGCGAGAAACTTGCTGCGACGTCATCACTGGTACTTTGACCTAGTGGGGGGATTGAGATTTTTATTAATTAACTGATCGAAAATACAAAAATTTATTATTATTAAGAAGATTCAGTATTATTAAAGTTGTTGCAGATAGGCAGAGAAATAAACCACAAATTACAGAAACATAAATTTTTCTGTTGATATTAAATTTGTAAATAACTATACCGGTATGAACCGTTAAAATCGAAATTATTGGTCCGAACCTTTGGGATCCGGGTCCGAACCTTTGGGGTCCAGGTCCGAACCGAATCGAAATATTTCTTAGAACCGGAACCATAACGAAACTAATATTTGTCAGGACAAGAGGCGTTTTCTTGCGTCCACTTTTTCGAAACTGGTTCAAAACTGTTTTGTTTTCTCGCGATAAACCAATGACGTCACGTCAAAGTTGGTTCAAACCGTTTCGAAATACAATCCAATCCACAGGCGATTTTCAGCCTGGACCCAGCCAGCAAGGGTACGTCATATTGACGTCCTTATATGGTGATAATTCGTCAATACTCGTCACCTGACCAAAAACTGACGACATATTGACGTGTGATAAATGCCGTTCAAATGACGTGCTTTTTATCACGTAATATTGACGCGTTTTTCTGGTGATAAATGTAATACACATTGACGTCAATATATATCATGTAATATTCACGTATTTTGCTTGTGGTTCAGTAAACCTGGTTTTTTGAATTAGTTTTTTTTTTTCAATGTGTTTTGAATGTATTCCTAGAATTCCTAGGGTTGTGCCGTGTATACTGTATTCTATAGTGAATAGGAGACAAAGTGATGATACAAATCATTATTTTTTTTCGCATTTGTAACTACTCACGAAAATTTTGATCGAATCGAATGCGAATAATACCCCTACCCTCGCATTTTTTCGACATCCTGTTTTTTAATTTTTACTACAGCAAAACTTTGATGCGTTTGAAAACACATCTTTGAATAAAAATTAAATGGAAAACTCCCATAGTTCATACTCATAGTTCCATCTCTGACTTTCAAATAGTATAGAAATAAACGGTAGAAACTGTGGAAAGGCCAGAAAGGGGACGTATTTGGTTTGTTTTTGTGTTTGGTCAACGGTTTGGTGAATGCGGAAATTACTGTATTCCTTTTATACATCGAGTGACACCGAACAAACACCGAACGAAAAACGTTCAAGCTTCTGACTTTGAGCAGCTCCGAGTAACTCAACGGGAAAAAGGAAAAGAGTAAATACAAATACACTCACTCCTGTATTTTTTTTGTTTCGAAATTCTAGCATTAGTTTAGTATTAGTAAGGGACAACAATAAATATTGCATCGCCGCGTGGGGAAACGAATATGCTATTCAGCGAATTCTATTGGTAGAACCAGTGCAGAAAAATGTTTTTTTATCTCTTTCTTATAGAAGTCGGTAGAAAAGACACGAACACACTCAGTGCGCACTAACCCTTCCAATTCGCTACTGTGTGTGTGACTGTTGACGTTGATTGTTGTGAGGGAGTTTGTTGAGGTTATGTTGTGGTTGTAGCATGGCGTGGTCGTGTTTCATTTGGTTTTCCCTCGCTTTTTGCTTTCTCATTTCCCTCCAAGTTTCCCTCATTTCTTTTTTACGCAAGTATCGCGTGGAATTATTAATTCTTGATATAATTTCGGTTTTAATTTCTCTTCAGAATCATCCTGCTGCATCCAAGTGAAACGCCTCTATATGAATGTGAGTTTTATTCACGTGTTTGTGTTGAGACTAATAACAATCACCAACCGTAAGTATATGTCTTTTGTTTTAATATACCTTATTTTATATTATAATATACATTATTATTATTGCTTGTTCACCTAAGGGCCAACTTATGGACCAACAGGTAAGTGTCTGGTTGTTACCTCACCTAGCAAGTACTACAAGTAATATGTTTAATACGCCTACAGAATATTTATATTGTCTTTTTTTAAATATATTTTTCTCAAAAGTGATATAGTGTTGGTTCATTTTCGTTACAGGTCATATAAATTTGAAAAAACAAGGATTTATAGAAAATATATCAGGTAAATATGACGTCATTTATAAAATAGATATCACGCGAATGGAACGTTATTAATACGCCAATATCACGTTAAATAACTCATAAACTTGACGTCAAATAACACGTAAAAATGACGTACCAACTATGACGTCATTCGTCCCAGACATTAGGAAGTCATTTTCACGTCATAATTAAGTCATTTAGCTCGTCATTTCTCGTCACTTGATGACCAGTATTTAACGTCATTTTCACGTGCTGTTGTTACTTGGGGAATAATTATTTATCGGTAAATACCGTGGTTATTCTTTTGGTTGACAACTTTGACAGTCATAGCCCCCCACCACTCAAGAATCATAACCCAAGGAACTGACCGCTGAAATGATTTGGTTATAGCAGTATAGGATTATGTTTATTATTCCTATTTGTTTGTTCGTTTCAACAATGGTTTGTTGTTTAGGTACAGAAATTAGAGCGGAATCTCTCGTTAGTCTCGTTTATCGAACAGATTTTCTTTGGGGATGATCTAAACCTCGATCTAAACATGGCGAGTTGCAGTGAGTGAGTGAGTGTATACTTCTTCCATTGTAACAGGCCACAACACAACTGCAAAATCACAAAACACCAATACCAATTCCCAAAATAATAACAATAACATCAAAAAGCTGTAACCAAAAGATTAACCCAAGTCCAAAGCTGGGTTATAATCGGTTATAAGTGGTAAATACCAAAAGCAAATCAGCTGATATGTGACATCACAACTTCCCCTACTTTGGTTAAAACCGCGACGGCGGAAATGCATTGGTTATAACCAAATAATAATCATTTCAGGCTGAAAATCGCCTCACGTTTTCAAACCATTTTCTCGCGCCGAGAAATTATGACGTCATGGTGACATTACTTGAGGTGCGTTCGAAATCACCCTGGGCGTCACACCGAGTGCACACCAGCTATGAATTATTCATGGCTGGTGTGCACTCGGTGTGACGCCCAGGGTGATTTCGAACGCACCCTTGAACCAGTTTTGAAAAATGTTTTGTAACATTTGAGACGCGAGAAAACGCCTAAGGTCATGACGCTGTGGACCGGAATCGGAACGGAACCGATATTTCATTTCGGTCCGGGTCCCTGTTTCTGAGCTGCTCTAGAGCGCCCCGGGCTGTTTATAAGCGTTCCAGTGCATTAGAATTTCGCGCAACTCAACTGTTCGTTTTTCCTCTTCCCTGCCCTCTCAAGCACCTGCAATTTTATGGGTGCATCAAAAACATGACGTTCCAGTGAAACAACAGTTGTTTGGAGCACCAGAGTGTGAAGCTACGGGCTGCAGGTGTACAGCAACTTACAATTCGTCACTGGACTGGAAAGCGGCTCTTGACGGCAATCCAAATCCAGTACAAGCGGAGTCCGCCAGACGGCGCGTCAGTTCCGCAACCCTGCGATTGAAGCGGCTCATTGAAAAAATATATATACAGGGTGTCCCACGAGGTTTTTCCCAAATTATATCTTCGGAACGCATTATCGTATGTTTCACTGTATAATTTTTTATGAATTTCTTAAACAAAGCTTTGACAAACATGGTATTGTCGATTTTGTAATTCAATTTTCTAATGAACAATGCCATAATACCATGAGTTGTTACATTTAGGATTTGGAAGTTGACGTCACTTGACCGAAATTGAAGCGAAAGTGGTGAAATTGGATGACAATAGTAAAAGCGGCACAAAAAGTTACCCAGGTCCTCAAAATTTCAATTATATTGGATGACGCGTTCCGAGGTTAATACCTGGGAAAAATGTCGTGGGACACCCTGTATATCTGTGCATGCGCGACGAATAATCGGATAATGGATAATGCAAATCCTATATCTTCGGTATAATTGAACACCAAACAAAAAATTTGGTAAATTCCTGACCACCAAACGATTTCCGTTGAATTCGACTATAAATTGTCCAATAAAATTAATCATAAGTATAGATATGTCGGCCAACGTCATATGAAATTTTGAATTGTTGATTACTGCCAAAGTAATTACCACCAAATGATAAAAGTGAGATACCAAAGACCACCAAAGGACCACCAAAAGATTGCATTTGGCGAAAAATAATAAAAAAATACATATCGTCGGCTAAATAAATGTTGCCTATTTAAACAGCGTACGTTAAGGCATTGAGCGTCAAGACGAGAAATAACATGCTGACTACGTCCAACTGGTGATTTGACGTTGGGGTGGGAGAAAGGCGGGAATTTGTTCCACACAGGCCTTATGAGAATCGGCTATCCTGTAGTAGTAGTGTGTATCATTCTTGGTTCATTTGTACTGCTTTTTTGCTTCAAGCAGATCTCAGCAGCAGATCGGCGTTCAATTGTTCCATATTATAAGCTCATAAAATCCCATATATAAGGCAATTTTTCGCGAGGATAATCAAGCATAATATTATGCTTAATTATGTGATCTGTTAATTGTGTCATACTCCCCTAACTTCCTCCCCATCAAATTCTGGGCCTGCGAGTGACGTCACTATCAGCAGCTTATAGTGATGGCGTCACCCGCACCGAAGACCTTGATGGAATGCTTGCGAATCAGGCTGTGCTAGTGGGCTAATTTTTTCGACGATTTTAAATGTAGAAAAGGTGATTTTTCTGTCTGTGCTCACAGAAGAAATTAGGTGTTCTTGATCCTCGAGTACCCAGAATTTGATGGAGGGGGAGTTAGGGGAGTATGACACAATTGACACGTCACATAATCCAGCATACTCGAGTATAAGATATTCCTTTCAAGAGTTTGAAACACTCGAGCTACTCGCTCCGGTGTTTAGTAGCCCCCGATTTGCAGGGAACAGTTGCGTGGTGCAACAAACACTTTTCGAAAGGAATAAGCGCGTGAAACCCCGGAGCTGTTCCGGAGCTCCTCCTAGGTGTGAAAGGAATACAACTATAGCCGCTTTCCTGACGCTTTTGAGCACGCAATCGAGCTTTTGCGCGTGCAAATGCTTCAAGCGCGTGTTCGTGTTCCAGCCGTGCTGCGCTTCGAGAGCTGCTAACTTTTGCTTTTCAAACACAGAACACTGTGCTGCACGGTGCTTGAAGCGCATAGCTGGAAAGCGGCTTATGCTTGGTTATCCTCGCGAAAAATTGCCTATAAGCTCATAAAAAGCAGTTCCTAGCAGCAGATCTTCCTGATTTTTCGAGCAGGTGGAGCAAATAGAAATGAACAACCTAAATTTTTTCAAAGATTATGTTCGATTATGTTAGGTAATGCAAATGTCATTGGGTAATTCTCAAATTACTCAACATAATCGAACATAGCCTTTGAAAAAAATTATGTCGTGGACAATAGCCTCTTGATCAAATTTTAATAAAACGAACAAAGTTGGGGTCGGGGTGGTCTGGGGTGGAAGCGCCTCTGAGCGGGTGTATCTCGATTATCTCCAAAGCAGTTTTCCGTCATTTGTAGATCAAATAGAGCAATAGAGCTTAAATTATACAACGCCACGGAACTGATTGAGCAAAAATTATCGCACAGCACCTACCTAAACATGCGGAGTTCGGAGTACTTAGAGTGCACGGAGTGAGGGAGCCGAACCGCTCTACGGGTTTTGGTTTCACCGATTTTGACACACAATGACAAGACGTCAACCAACTGTCAACAAACACAAAAAAAAAAGAACATAAAAAGGAAGAAACAAGCAAAGTGGTTTTGTTTGTTGGTGTTTTATTTTGATATTTACCGATTTCCATGTCCTTTCTTTGACCGTTTTCTCGATAAATTGGCCGACAACATGTGCCGTTTAATTTCTCATTCAGGTCGATATTCGAACTTGCCAGTGTAAATACCGTTACATATTAGAGAACCAGTTTTTTTTAGGGTTAAACAAGCCAAGTGTGTAGTGAAAACAATGGGCTATTTTACATAAAATTGGTCAACGATTTATAATTAGCTGGCTAATTATTATGCAGTTTTAAGATCAAATTGTAATGTAATAATTTATTTGTCCTTTAATAATGGTTTTGGTTCAAGGTAGCATAAACTGAAACCTTAAACAATGTATAATACATAACAAGTAAATGGCGCAAATTTCTCAAATAAATAATCACTTTTCCGGTTTATGCGTAGCGTAAACAATGACCAAAACATAAGGTCGAGTTTTGCCGAAAATGAACGAGGGTTGCCAAAACCAATGCCAAGCAATTTTGTTCAAAAACGTCTCAGAAAATTCGCCTTTAAATCATAATTCGATTTCCGAATTTACCCATAAAATTTACTCCAATTACGTGGAAAACGAGGAAATTTTTTCGGAACACTTATCGGAAGTGAGCTCTTCAGACGCCAACTGTCAGTCTGCCGAAAGTGAGGTTACTGATCTGAAAGAGTGGTTGATTTTGCACAATGATTTAATTTTGCAACAAAATCAAGAAATTGTGGATAAAGACGATCAAATTTATTTATTGCAAAGAGAAAATGAAATGGTAGGTAATACAAGCTTCATACATCATCAATTTTACTAGTCAAGTCACAGCCTACTGGCATGTAAACAATACATTACACAGGTTTTTACATGATAACATCAGGCAAGGTTTTTGCATATTTATTTGTTAACCAATCAGCTCTTGAAATCAAAAGTATTTTTCAGCTCAAAGAGCGTCTTCTATGCCTAGAAAAAGGAATACCATATGAACCAACACAGCATCTCAAAATAGAGCTCAATCCAGAAGGGGAAGACAATTCAGAGGATTCACTGTCTGAAGATATGACCCAAGATTCATGCGGAGAATACGTGGACAAAAGTAAAGAAAACCTCGACCAAGACACTCAACAAAGTGACAATGTCGTGACTTGTTCACTCGAAGTAAATAATTTTCAAGTGCACCACGCTACTGATGATGTTGAATCTCAAGTCGATACTACAATAGAGGAGGACGACTTTATTGAAGTTGAAGTTGATCAATTTGAGGACGGCGAAGATTATTTAGTGAACAATTTAAGTGAAACAGAAAGTGACACAAAAGACTCATTTCCCGAGTATAAATTTACCGTGAACAATTTTTGTGAGTTTGAGTCTATGAAAAACATTAAAATGAGTATTAAAAGAAAACGTGTAAGTAGCTTGTCTTCCTTGACTAATAATGAACCATCACTTTTGGAGGAGAAAAAAACTTTGAGGAGAGCCAAGAAAAAAAGAAAACGTAAATATAAATTCAATTATTTTATTTAATATTCATCCAATATACTCTTATAGGTTCATCAAAAGATCCAGAAATTTTAATAGCCAAAGAACCATATTATGTATATAACCCCAATGAAGAAGCTTATGCAGATCCAGAACCTGTTACAGAGATTCCTGAAACTGCTAGTTTAGAAGTACCAAATATTCAACAAATTTCTTCTCAAACATATTAATTATTGATAATTATTTTAGGTTCCTAGATGGCGTCTTAAACATTATACAAGTTGCTACACCATGGAGGGCACTGAAAACCTTGATGATGAAGTATTTAATAAAAGACATATAAGGCTTGAAATTGATGAAAGAAGAAGAAAAAGGTGGGATGTGCAGCGTATTAGAGAACAAAGGGTGATAGATAAATTGAAACAGAGACAAGACAGGATAGGAAATGGATCCAAGGGAGAAACTGACCAGGATTCATTAGGGTCTTTGTTGCCCAAGGTGGAGGATGTAAAGTTTCTGGAGGTAGTTGAAGAATTGCCAGTTTCTAGTTTTGGACATCCCTTACCAAAAAGTGAACACAAGTAAGTACGATTATTAATTGTGTAACAAAAACTAATTTTTTGAGTTTTAGACATTTCTCTCTACCTTGGCTGGATAATCCATCTGCCAATACAAGGAGGACGAATTCCAAGCGTTCTTCATCATCTAGGAGACGTAAACGATTGAGGCACACCAGATAGGGTGCTTATTTTATGTAAACATCCTAATTTTGTGAATTGAAAAAATGATTTATTGTATTATAGTTCAAATCCCAGTGAAATTAAAAAGCTGTGAAGATATTTTTAGTGATGTACAAAAAGTTTTGGGAGGTGGTCCACATTTTTTTGCTTTGTTAAATTTCTCTCTATAGCTTCTTATTCATTTGAACATTTTTGTGTGGTTTGATTGTTGTTCTGGTCTTAGCAAAGAAAGGCGTTTCTCAGAAATTTTTCAATATCACTCATTTAAAAAAAATGATCTCCCTGTTTGAAATCCATTTATTTTTTTAAATATTTAAACAAATCAATTGTAATTATAAAATTTAATACAGTAATTAGTGATTATAGGGCACCAGTTTTTATTATTAGAAATTAAAACGGTGTCTTTCATTATGGATACTTACTTTAAGAAAAACTGAGAAGTTATCTGTTTCTGTGATTTTATGTAGGTCTTTAATTTTAAGTCTTAGTGTTTCATTTGTTGATTCAACATACTCAGTGTTTGTATTTAGGTTAGTTTTTAAGTTGAGCAACCTGTACATTTATCGATAATTGAGAAAAGTAGTTTTTAGAAGAAAAAAAAAATGAGCTATTTGATTAAATTTATTGTTTATTCTCAAAAAAATCCCTCATCTGAAAACTAATCTAGGCAAAATAAAATGCGTCGCAATACTTTCGGCAAAACCCATGAAAATGGGCACAAGGTGAACTAAAACTGAATCGATTTTTATACAGTGGGATCGAGTCGGGGCACAAGTGGCAATCTTAGATTTTTTTGGGTTTAAATACGCAAGCTGCTAGTAAAAAAAAATATCAATGGAATGGAAGACGTCTATTGTCTATAAATAACATAAGTAAGTAAAACACATTATGCATTTTTAAAATTCTTTTATTTCAAATTGCGCATTAGCTTCCACGTGGCCTCTATTAAACTTGATCTTGGTTGACATCTAGCGGTGAATTTGGTTGCTCAGCTGTATTGGTTTTGTAGTTTTCTATAGTAGTGAGGAGGAAAAATCCGCCAAATTGAAGGGATTTACTGGTTATGCTGTTATGGTAAATCAAATCTTATAGCACTTATAGGAGTGATGCTATATTCTGCTATAGCTGATCTAGCAGAATATCAAAATGTATAGCTGAACCACAGACAAGAGTCTAGTCGTAGGCAAAGCTGGGCTATTCTTCCACCTCTTTCTAATTGAAACTCAATAATTACTCTAGCAGGATTGCCAAGAGTATAAAATAACCCATGTAATGTTAACTACGTAGTTAACTCCTTTTTTTTTAAGTAGGTAGTTGTATTCTTGGTACTTTTTTTTCCTAGTAATCATACTCGATTAAGTATTTCAAGTTTCGCAAAAAGTACCTAGTTAAAATAGTAGCTAACTACTCAGTCGTAACTACTTTATGTATTTTAACTACCTACCTTTGAGTATTCTAATAACTTTTGTGCAAGTCAACTACTTTAAAAAAATATTTAACTACTTTTCTATATCACGTGCTGATGCTAGAAAGTTAGAACAAGTTTTTGAAAATAGTTCGTGTGATGCTTCAAGCTTCCAGTAAGCGAGGAGTTTATCTGATTATAGTAAACAGATGACTCTTCATCAGGTAATTGTAGTTAAATTTCTTACTGCTAAGTATTTAGTAGTTATCTAACTCTAACTACATTTTCTAAGAAGTAGTTTAACTACAAAGTAGTTAAACTAGTTTTTCTACTACCGTGCGTAAAGTACTCACTTTACGCACTATTCAGAAGATGTAAAATTTTACTACACGCACTAGTGCGTAAAGTAATTTACTTTACACACTAGTGCGTAAAGTATTGTCACTGACAGATGTTGACACTGTCAATTTAGTATTTTTCTGGTAAATTACTTCACGCACTAGTGCGTAAAGTGAATATACTTTACGCACCAGTGCGTGAAGTATTTGTCTAAGTTTATTTTTTTTACACATATTTGATTGGAAGTAGAAAAAAATTTGTATGCAATACGTGCGTAAAGCACCTTTTTTCACTCATGTGTTTGTCGCACTCGCCTTCGGCTCGTGCGTCAAAATTCACATTCGTGAAAAAAGGGTCACTTTACACACTTGTTGCATAAATAACTATTTTATACAAAGTATAGTTAGTTACTCTACCTACTACTTTTTTCAAGTAGGTACCTACCTAATCTGCCCAGCCATAATCTGAAATATTACAGCTTAATTCAACTTAGTGCGGATAAACAAACAACCCTTTTGTGTTGGTGTTTTAAACAAAACAGAGCTAACCCATACTGTCCCATACTATACCGTCCTCTTAATAATTATTCTTAAAAAAAACCCAAAAAACAAAAACTTAAGAATCTTATTCTATTGACGGACTACAGTTCCTGAAAATTTCCCGAGATAAAATCCTGCTAAGGAATAAGGACGAAATTTTCTACTTTTTCAATTTCTTCGCTGCTCTTTTTTCAGCTGTTTCAAATTTTACAATAAATCACAGGATTGAGTTTGAACGGTCCCAAATACAGGGTGTCCTAGCCGAAAGTGACCCATTTTAAATACTTAACTTTTAAACCGGGTGTGTTAGCTACCTGCGGCTTGCGTCATTCGATATTGCTCTTATTGAGCTAAAGTTTTTTTTAGTAGGTTGCAAATTTTTTTGCCTCTTATACAGGGCGAGTAGAAAAAAATTCGTTTTTCAACATCAAAATTCTCCACTACTTTTAATGGAACGCCCTGTATATCACAACGTCAAAAAAAAAAGAATCATGTTTAAGGTATCCATGCACCATAAACACACAAGGATAACAGGATCTCTCCTTGACATAATTCCAGAGAAAAAAGTCTGGAACTGTCAAGTCAAGAGAGTAAGGTGTCCATTCTATAGGACCCGCTCTCCCTATCCATCTTTTCCCAAATTTAATATCTAGTGATTTCCTTGCTATTAAAGAATAATTAAGTGGGGCACAATCCTGCTGTGAATAAATAGGTATCGTTCAAGATACCCTCCCGTCTTACTTGTCGATAAAAGAAGTAGTTTCCCAACATCAAAAGTTCCTGTTATCATTGGTTCATTAATGAATAATGGTCCGTATTTTTTCTCAATAGAGATTGCACACTGCACACCAAACTATTATTTTTGGGGTAGGTATCTCGCTATTCTCACTTGGAACTCGTTAAATACTCTTACCTACCTAGTGATAGCAAGTACCTACCTACAACACGAAGTTGCATGCTTTTGCAGGATTTCGATTTCAATTTTTTTCGGCTAAAACTTTAGATTTCAAGGATGATGCTTATTGGTACATGGATAACATTACATAATTCCTGTTGAAAAGCGAATTGACAAAAAGTAGATAATTTTACAAATTCTGACTTTATATAATAAGTTATTGTTCAAGTATAAATAAGTGGATTGTTGCGGAACTTATGGGTGGACCTCTGTCTGCAGTCATTTACTCACCAATATACTGTTGAACTGTTCAAGTAAGACATTCACCTGAAACGTGTAGTTTTTAAACTAATAAGAATAACTCACATTTGACTAAGTCAGGTTAGTATCGTAATTAAACAACATATTGATAAATAGATGGCTGCGAAACTCGCTGCGCTCGTCCCGCAGAGGTCCACCCATAAGTTCCGCAACAATTCACTCATTTGTACTTGAATAACTTGTCATATTATGTTACTAGTTTGGTAAAGTAACATTATTACTAATTCCTGTTGAAAGGCAAATTGACAAAAAGAAGTACCTACAAATAAGTGGATTATTGCGGAGCTTATGGGTGGACCTCTGTGGGACGAGCGCAGCGAGTTCCGCAGCCATATACTCACCAATATACTGTTGTATTATTCAAATAAGACACTCACCTGAAACTTGTAGTTTTTGAACTAATGAGAATAACTGACATTTGAGTGAGTCAGGTTAGTATTGTACTTGAACAACGTATTATATTGAATAGATGACTGCGGAACTCGCTGCGCTTGTCCCGCAGAGGTCCACCCATAAATTCCGCAACAATCCACCCGTTTGTACTTGAATAACTTTATTAATATAAAGTAACCAAACTAGAAGCATAATATTTTATGCTACTAGTTTGGTAAAGTAACATTACTAATTTTTGTTGAAAGGCAAATTGACAAAAAGTGGATAATCTTACAAATTCTGACTTTATTATAATAAGTTATTGTTTAAATACAGGGTGGTTTTTTTATATATTGATACCCCCTACTGCCTTCACCTTCACAAGTAGGTGAAAGGTGTAAATACGAAAGTTGTACAGTATTCAGGGGCGGATTTGGTCTGGAGCAGAAACCAGATTTTCATTTCTAATCGAAAAAATCGGGGTGGACTGTTTTCCCTGGGACACCTTGTATATGCTTCCGGGCCGGTTGGGCCGGCCCGGAAGCAATAAGCGGGCCTTCAGGAAACTTCCCAAAATCCCTGCCGGCCCATCCGTCCCTGATAGTATTGGCTGAACTTTTAAAATCCATGGTCAGAAACAAAAATTGAATGTCAGAAATGTGAAATGTTGCATGCTTTCAGCTTTTTTCAAATGGGATGCCCTATATTTGGTTCTATATTCTTGAAAAGCACAATTTCCCGATTCCAAAACTATATAGTTTGTCTGTATTTGGTTGAGCCGCCTCCAACATATTTGATTCTAAAAATTTTAAAAATACTATCAGAGAAACCAAGTAGGTACCTACCTCAAATTTTACCTGCAGCTTTCACCTTTATAGGTAGAATGGTTCACAAAATCAGTAGTAAATAGGATAGTATTTTTACAATTTTTGCCGAATATATGAGAGACTGTTCAATCAAATATAGACAAAATATATATTTTTGGAATCAGGGCATTGTGCTCTTCAAGAATATAGAATGAAATATAGGGCATCCCATTTGAAAAAAGCTGGAAGCATGCAAAATTTCACATTTCTGACATTCAAATTTTGTTTCTGACCATGGTTTCTAAAAATTCAGCCGAAACTGTACTTTTGTATCTACACCTTTCTTCTACTTGTGAAGGTAAAGGCTGTAGGTGGGGTATCAATACATAAAAAAACACCCTGTACCTACCTATTTAAAATCACCTTATTCTCCTAAATAGTTCCCCCATTCCCATATATCCCCTGGGTGTTCTATATAAAAAAGTGGACATTTTCGATGTTGAAAAACGGATTTTTTTTACTCGCCCTGTAGGTATAAGAGGCAAAAAAATTTGCAACCTACTAAAAAAAACTTAAGGCCAAGAGAAGTCGAATGGCGCAAACCGAATTTAGGTAGCTAGCACACCTGGTTTAAAATTTATAAGCATTTAAAATGGGTCGCTCTCGGCTGAGACACCCTGCATAATCATAAGTCAAAATCTAAAGATGGGAAAAATTTATTCATTCTTTCTTAAAATATAAATATTCTTATTGGACCCAGAAGGTTTTTCGCTTTATACCTCAATTCACCAACCAATCTGGCTACTGATGGTTGATTGGTATACTGGATACCAATATGATCCAAGTAAAAGTGGATTATTTGATAAAGCATTTGAAAAACACCTATAAACAGCCAAAATCGTGCATTTTTAAGTCAGTAACATAAGAAGATCTATTATTAGACACTTTCCAGTGAATCGCTTATGGAAAGCTGGAAATCTTGCGCAAATAAGTATGAAAATTATTGTTTTTGAATGTATCCAGTCGTCTGGCAGAAACTTAGATTTATAAATAAATTAATGATGCATTTTCTGGTAGCGTCATGCTTAAAGCCAACCAGTTAAAAACTTGTTAGTGTTAAAATATGTTAAGCTATTTCTGCGATAATAGCATATTTTATCAACTTTTGAACAATAGATTATAACATCAATAAAATGTAATAATTGTTTGCAGTGATTTAGGCCTAATCTTATCATTGCAAAATAGTTTTATAAAGGAACAGATTCTGATCAACTCATCATTCTATTTTATTTATTTTTTTTTTCTAGAAGACTGAAATTTTCAATATGGCAGGATCCCAACCAACTTTTGGCATATGGGACTACGTTATAGTAGTCATCGTTTTACTCATATCATCTTCGATAGGTATTTACTATCGATTTTCCGGTGGGAAACAAAAAACAATGCAGGTAAGTTACAGCTGTGTAAGTTTTCCAAACAAAAATTTTCATTTATGATAGGAATACCTATTAGCTGACAAAAACATGTCCATAACACCTGTAGCATTTTCGTTGATGGCCTCGTTCATGTCGGCGGTCACCATTCTGGGGGTAGCTAGTGAAAATTACACCTACGGATTTCAATTTATCGTTATCAATATTGCTTATGGACTCTTGACGATTGTTGCTGCCTATTTGTATTTGCCTGTGTTTTTCAAATTACAAGCCACCAGTGCTTATGAGGTAAGAATTTTTGCACTTTTCCAAAAAATTCAATGAAGCATTTTATGTGTGTTCGCAGCATGGGAAAACTTTTTATATTATCAATTTTACGAAAAAAATTATATTCTTCATAAAAGTTTCTGCTTCATGAAAAAATAATATTAAACTATTAAAACTTGAAATAGCATGAACAGGGTGGTCAGAAAATAGAAAATTATACAGGGTGTGAACTTTTTTTCTTAAAATAATGTAAGGAATCATATTCTGAAGTTACGAATCCTACTTAAGAAACACCCTGATGTATATTTTTCTATTTTCTGACTACCCTGTACATGCTATTTCAAGATTTGATAATTTAATTTTATTTATCCAACACCTGCCAGTTATAAGAGTCATTATTTGTGTCAATTTTTACTGATACACTATCAAATGTTATAAACCATAACTCACTAGATGGTTATGGTTTATAACTCACTCTCCTATAAAGTCGAAGCAAAACGTCAGGAAATAAAAATGTATAAATCCTGCTTGAAAGAAGATTTATTCCCTAAAAATACCTGTGACTTTTTTCAGTTCTTGCATGCTGCTCTGTATTATGAATGTTATGATTTCTCAGTTGTTGGATAAAACATTGTATGCTACTTGTGTGTTATGTTTTCTAAGTCACTCGAGAAATTATACCACTCGGCCTGATGGCCTCGTGGTATAAATTCTTCTCGCGTGACTTATTTTCAACATAACACACTATATAGTACCATAAATAACTATTTTTTAAGAAGCAGAAACTTTTTTGAGAAATAAGTTTTTCTCGTAAAATTGATAATAGAAAAGTTTCCCATGTGCTGCGAACTTAAGTGAACACACTGTATATATATTTTAATAGTATTTAGAGCTTCGTTTTGGAAAAACTTCCCGATTAGCCGCATCTTTATCATACACTCTCCAAATGACCCTTTATATGGGAGTGGTCGTATATGCTCCAGCGCTAGCTTTAGAGGCCCTGACAGGAATAAGTAAATTGGCAGCAATTTTGTCTATGGGTAAGAAACGATTCTTGCCAAGAAGTTTTCAACATGAATTTCTTATAGGTTTGGTTTGTACCTTTTACTCAACAATCGGTGGAATGAAAGCTGTGTTAATTACAGATGTGTTTCAATCAATTCTCATGTTTGTAGCTGTATTCAGCGTTATAGGCAAGGCTTGGATTGATACAGGAAGTTTGTCCGAAATTTGGAGAATTGCTCAAGCTGGAAATAGAACTGGATTATTGAAGTGAGTCAAGATAATTTGTGTTGTCATCTGGAAGTAACTTGTTGTTCTATTCCAGTTTCAATCCAGATCCAACTGTAAGACATTCCTGGTTCAGTCTGATCATAGGAGGAGGCGTAACTTTCCTTTCACTTTACGCAGTGAACCAAACTCAAGTCCAACGTTACTTAACAATAAAAGACTTGAAAGGGGCTCAAAAAGCCTTGTGGTGGAACTGGCCAATTTTGACGGCCTTGAGTCTGAGTACTTCGTTTTCAGGTTTGGCAATCTACTCGAAATTTTACAATTGCGATCCAGTGAAAGCCGGCTACATCGAAAGCAACGACCAATTGATGCCTTATTACGTTGTCAATACCATGGGAAGCGTTCCAGGACTTTCTGGATTGTTTGTTGCTGGAATTTTCAGTGCCGCATTGTCGACTGTGTCTGCTGCGCTTAATAGTTTAGCTGCTGTGACAATTGAAGATTATTATAAGGTGTGACATTATTGAAATTTGAGCCTGATTCTATAAAGGTTTATATTTTAGCCACTGCATAGATATTTCTTCAAAAAGGAGCTCTCACCCGCAACAGCTTCAATGCAAGCTAAATTCATTGCATTAATCTATGGTTTTATATGCATCGGAATAGCGTTTTTGGCCCAATATTTGGATAACATCTTGCAAGCTGCTCTAACTATTTTTGGAGTAATCGGTGGTCCACTTTTGGGCCTATTTTCTCTTGGAATGTTTACTTTGACAGCCAACGAAGCGGTATTTATTATCCAAAGTTATTCAACATTTTATAAAATTCAATTCTTCTCTATAGGGATCAGTTTCTGGATTGGCTTGCGGCATTACAATGGCATTATGGATGGCTTTCGGTCCTAAACCACCTATTCCAACACTTCCTACAACTACCGCGGGATGTTTAGGCACATTTAAAAATAGCACCATAACGACTTTTGCTACTTCTAATACTAATAGGTAGTTGTTTCTTAAATCCATTATCTATGTATCTATAAATTAATATTTTCAGTGACTATCTGTGGGTTTACAGAGTATCGTATTTATACAACGGCGTTGCAGGGCTTGTTACGACTCTTTTTGTTGGGTATTTGGTAAGTTGGACCCTCAGGAAAATAACTGGAAAAAATGCCGACGACGAAAATTACGATCCCAACTTATTCGTGCCGCCTCTGGCAAATAGACTGCGAAAATTGCAAATGAATTTCAAAACTGTTTCAAATCCTGATAAGTTTATTGTAGATTAATAATAAATTATTTTTATTTTATTTCGTGAAAATTTTTGCGCATTGCTGTGCGCAACCTCTATTGATTTTTCTCTTATATAGGCATTGGTGCTAAACCTTCCATTCCTGAAACTACATAAAAGTGATTCATATATTTTTATAAATAAATAATCTTGCACTGATTTCATATGTAAGTGGTACCCAAAAACAGTAACATAATGCACTATTTTACGCACAACAACATAAAATGCCATCACTCTTCTACAAAACTGCAAATTTATTGAAATTTTTACGTTGGTCTTACACAGTACCGATTTTGTGTTATGTATTATTTATATTGATGACTTGGATGTTGACGGTGCCTCTAAGGCCAAGGGCCCGAGATAATTTAATTGATTCTCAGCTTTTGGAAGATTCATTCGAAATCCGTATAAAAAATAGCAACTTCAATTCCGATAAAAACGAAGTGATCGATGAGAAAAACGAGTACCTTGTCAATGTGAATAATGAGGAAAATGCCAGGAAAGGACAAACGCAGATTTTGACTGAAGTTTTCAACCAGTAAGTTTTAATAGGTTTAAATCATTTATGCCTATATATTTTAGTTGTTTGAGGAAAACGACAGAAGTCTGTTATTTCAGATTGTCAACGTCAACGTTTCGCAATATATTATTGTATTGCATCTGCAGGACACTAAAAAGGTAAGATAGTGTTACTCTAGTCCTAACAACTCCAGTTATGCTCATATTATGGGGTACTTACATTTAAGATTGATGACTTTCTATGTCATTACATGAAAAATATAAGAAGTTATTTGGTAGGTACAGATTCACAGGAGACGTAACATTCACATACATGGGTACAATTTAAAACTTATCAAAAACAATCAAAAATCAAAAGGTAAAAAATATATAAAAAAAAACTTCCACATCAACTTCCGTTCTATAAATGTTATGTTGATGATATCCTAAGATTGATCCCTAGATATCAAGAAGCAACTATACTTAATATACAGGGTGTATCAGGTATGAGTACAAATATCTTAACATGAGATAATATGGCCTATTTTAAGCTAAAAGTGTCCTATTAACCATGGGTCAATTGTTAGTATTTTCGTAGTTATCGCAGAATTTGAATTTAGAAAAATGTTAACAACGTGACAACATTGTACAGGTATTATCTCTGCCAGGATATAAATGTAAATAAAACTGGTAAATTTGAAAAGTTTTTTTTTTTGCACGGAGTTTATTTATTTCCATCTGTTTACGTTTTGGTTTGTTATTGGCTTTCAAATAATGTAAATAATAACTTGCATTTTTATCACTTCTCTAGTAAAAATAAAAAATCTGTCGTTTTATCAAGTTGTGACTTGTACTCACTGACATTTTTTGCACTAAACATTCAAGAGAAAAATCAAGTAATACTTACTCAGCTACTTGCCACATCCTTATTGTGAAAATATTAATTTTTGTTAAAAGGTTCTCAAAACACTAAAATCAACACGCAGATTTTGCACACTCACACTTCAGGTATCACGCAATCTTTGTAAAACGGGCACAATGTTCTTTTATAAGGTGGGTGCTTTTCTTTTGGGAAATCTTTCCCTAGGTTCCCTGTAAATTCTGGCGGCTAAATGAGCATTTTGCAACGATTCTGCCTGTATCTGCATATTCGAAGTTTGTAAATATTTATTTTCAATAAAGAATGAATTTGAATTACTACGCGCGTTTCCATACTAGACAAGACAAATAAGAATCATTTTTATTCAGTTCAACCAAGGTTCAACGTTCAACCATCTATTCTTTATTGTGCTATGCTGCCAGATGTTTAGACACCGATTTACAAGTGAAATTTTTAGGTTGTTTTTTTGAATTTTTTGTTATTGTTGTTGACTAAAAATGCATAATTACTTGATAATCGAATAAACTAAATTTTTTCACATCTTATAATGATTAAAATTTTCTTTATCTTTGAAATATTCGTCAAAAAATGTCAAAACTTCAAAGGCCATTTTCTTAAAAATGGTTGAGTTTTGGACCCCATGTTGTATAAACTTTTTTTGTTCAAAATGGGCCATATTTTCACCTGTTAAAATTTTTGTAGTCAAACCTGATACACCCTGTATTTGATAATTATTATCCCAGAATTCAATTCAATATCGAGAAAGAAAACCAACAACGTATAGCTTTCCTAGATGTATTAACTATTAAGACATGGAGAGAACATAGAAACTGATTGGTTTCACAAACCTAGTTTTACCTTTTAGTGTCCTGAGGATGCAATAATATATTGTGAAACGTTGACAATCTGAAATAACAGACTTTTGTTGTTTTATTTCGATCATTTTAGAGCTGATAAAGATTTGAACGACAAATTGGACTCTAAAGAATTGGCTCACTGGATCAGATCAAAAATCGTTCAGCACATATCGCAAGCTATTGGCAATAATTACGGTTTGTTCATGCAAATCGATGTCAATCCTAGGAACGGTGTGATAACTTGGAAGGAATACCATGGGTATTTTCTCAGGAAACGGGGGTTCAGTGATTATTATGTTAGAGCTCACGACGAAAGGCGACATAGAGGAATTAAGAGATCAATTAAAGGTAAACAGAACTCAGAATAAACAGATGAAATGAATAATCGTTTGTAGAACAAATAATGAAAGATCGAGCTCTATGGACGGAAGCGGCAAAAACGAATCCGGATTCGCTCACAGTGGATGAGTTTTTGGCTTTTACCCATCCGGAATCCAGTGTATCGAACCAGCTGGCTTTGGTGGACGAACTCTACGATAAATTTGATAGAGACGGTGATGAGTTTTTGACTGAGAATGAGTTTGCTATACTACAAACAGAAGGTATAAACTTAGTTTATTATTAACGCATTTATTGAAAATTTGCTATATAATAATGATACAATAACTAAGTTATGTAAAGATTTAAAGAGGTTAGAGGCAGAGCAATCGTTCTCATAAGAATTTTGCTTCTTGGCTCTAAAAATAGACGTCCAAGGACCTTTCCTTCAAGATAACTCTCTCTACTGAGTACTGACCATCCAATCCTTTTTATCCTACTTCGCCTTCTTTTGATGTTATTTGATCTAAAGTGTCCCCTATAATTTTTTAGAACTTATGTCCACTTGTGGCTATAAATTCTTCACCTACAACTCATACATGTCGCAGCCGCTTTTTACTTTCAAAACAAAAACTGATGATTCGTGCTGCCTCGTTTACTGGCTTAGTAATGCTTTATTCTACTACATATACTGACCAACTCTTATTCACTGGTCTTCTTCACATTGGCGATAGATCGACTGACTGACTGACTACTGACTTAACTGACCGACTTGACTGTCCGACTTCTGAACGACTTCTTGGAATTTCGGTATGCGAGTTCCTTGACCGTGTGAGACCCCAAATTCAGAAACTTGGCAAGATGTTGAATTGGCGAGCGGTGACTTTAGTTTCTGAGTGGAGACACAGTTAAAAATGGATCCTATTTGCGGGTGGAGAGTAAAACACAGAAATATTGTGGTCAATTGAAATAAAGTTTATTTTATTAAAAAAAATAATGCTTGTTATTAAATAACAGGCGTCGGTAATAAATAATCTTACAATAAAATTGTTACATTTCTAATAAGCATCAATTAACTGTTAAGGAAAATTTATATGATTCCAAGTAAAAATTTTTATTTACCGTTTGACTCGATACACACTCTTGCCTTCACAATTTCTGGCTGAACATAAGAAAACTCTACTTACATTTAACAATAATATATTTACTGCTGGCCACACCTAATTACATGGAAATCTTATTGGTCGAAAGAATTTACTTTAATTATGAACACTTAATAAAAAAACTCGAATTTTTTCGCGCTGTTATTTCACGTCGTGCTTCTTCTCAGTTAACTCGACAACTCTTTCACGCCGTAGTTCTGACTTTCTGGACACCGATTCTCGATTACTAATTGTTTCTTGATTACTCAACCGACACTGGTCCTTCACGCCGTAGTTCTGCCGGTTTACTCGCTCTTTCTCGAACACTGATTTTCTCCTGCCAAAGTTGCCTTTTTATATCATTGGTCCCTCCATTGTCTTGAATTTCTTTATTTTTTTTTTGACTTCGATTTTTCGTGGTTGAATCATCCGATCAATTAGTGTATTTGGTCCCCTTTTAATTAATTATCAAGGGCGTTGCTAAGTGGTTTGTTAAGTGGGTATCATCATATAGGCTCGTGCATGATTTATTGATCCTTTTAGAAATTTTTCAGCTCCTTTGGAATGTTAATTGTTGAAAGCACTTAAAAAAAAGGTCCATGAACTTTTGCTTTATTCACATTCCAATGTGTTAGTCAATATAGGGTATCGGCTTTCAATAATTTCTGGATATCGATGTTCAGATAATTTTTAATTGAAGTTTCTGGTTGTGCTGTCTAAGTGGTGATCTCTCCTGGGATGATTGTTTGGTCAGTCCTTGTTATACTTGATTAATTTTCGGTAGTTGGATCCTTGGTCTTTAGTTGTTTCGAATAATCAGAACCTTTAATTGTTTTCTTGGTGGTTTATTTCCGCGTCACTACAACCGCAATTGTATCGAATTAGACAATTTTCTGCTTTCGGTGTTTTCTTGTTTTTGGTGGTCAGATTAATTCGATTGTAGTTTCTGGCTCTGCTGGTTGTGTGTTGACTCCTGCCTTATTTGTCTTGGTACCTAAGCTATCGCTATTCTTGATTTGTTTTCTCAGTTTATATGGAAGCCTTTTATAAAGCATTTCCCATTGTTTCGATGGCATGTTGATCAAATTCTTCTACAATTTTGTTGAATTTACCTTTTCGAACCTCGAGATGTTATGCCATCGTTGTTATATTAATAACAGTTTTTTTTTTTTTAATCAGGTAATGGCGAAGAAGCATTCTTCGTACGCCAAGACGAAGAAAGAAGACGTGACGAATTTCGTAATCGCATAGATATTAACGGCGATGGTAAAGCCGATAGACGAGAATTGTTGCACTACATCGCTCCACAAAGTCCAAGACACGCCGAACACGAAGCTGAAGCTCTACTATCGCTGGCGGACATTGATCACGATAATATGCTGTCCTTAAACGAAATTTTAACCAGGCCCGATTTGTTTATCAAATCGAAAATGGTGGACACTGCTAGGAGTTTTCACGATGAATTTTGATTATTGTTTGGAATAAAAGGATATTTTTGTTTTGTATATTATTTAGTTGATATATACCTATTTTTTTGGTTTTTAAATCTACATATGTACTTTGAACGCGGTATAGTTTTGCGTTGCTAACGAAATTAAATTAATTAATGAATGACTAATCAAATATTGAATTCAATTATTAGGAAATTGTATCGACCCAAATGAATTATGCAGGTTTGCTGATGGAAGGCCAGCAAAATCTATTCTAATCCTATTCATGGATATGGAAATATTGTAATATTTGAACAATTCAGAATAGACGTCCCTGATGATAACCGCATATACTAATTTAATCTTAATTGTGTTATCTTCTATAGGGACTGAAATAATGTAAACAGTGTATAATTTTAGTTTGAAGTGATGTAAACAAATACATTATTAATCAGTGTAATTAATAGAAGCGTGGCAACAGCTAGAACTAGTTGAACAACATTGGCCTAAATAGTAAGTACGATTTTTTTTTAAAGATACCTTATTCATTTATTATTCTACGAATTTTGAGTAATATGGCATGGAAGATTGAATGCTGACAGAGATGCTTTGGGTGATTTCCTGATTGAATGTAAGGTGGATATTGTGTTGTGTAACTTATTAATTCATTCAACTTTGGGCTACAAGAACGGTCGAACATCATCATGCAAAAAAATTACAGCATTTCTGAGCTTGAATATCGCTCACAATTTGATGTTTGCACCAGGTTCTTTATTGCAAAATCATTTGCTTATCAGAAAGCAGTCGTAGCTTGAACTTGAAAACTTGTAGGTAGGTAGTTGCTTTTAGCAGATGAGCTTCTCAGTAACCAATAAAAGTGAATACATTAGGCATGACATATTACACAAATAATTTATTATGTTATCCAAGTTTCATTTTTACTGGCTTCAAAGTAAAAATTGTTCAACTAGGTGAATCTTCTCTTGAAAGAAGGTGAATAATTTTGCTAAATTCACCATTTTCAACCTAGTCCATAAAGTAGTAATTCATAAAGATAGAGGTTTCCTGTGATAACAACTTATAGTTTTTTCTAGCTCACTCACTTAGATATAAGTTTTATTTTCTCGAATTAGGTAAACAATCATTTCTGCCCTCTAGACGAAACAATAAACAACACATCGAAACAAATAACCGTTTCCCAAATACCTATAGCCAAATCCAAACAAATAACAATCCTTATCACCCTGACCTTTTGAGTTATTGTCCAGATCGATAAGATTCGTCATTCCGCGCTTTTTTCTCTTCCAGGTTCAAGGCGGACGCGGCAAAAGCTTTTTCCAGTGAGCATTGTTATTAGTAGTCTCCAGATGGCCGTAAAGAGTGAATCAATATAAAACTAGTGGCGCCTGTAATAGTTCAAACTAAATGTGGTGGGAACCTGCGAAATTTTAAAAGCTTTATATACCTCCTACAACCATGACCGACATTTCTCCTTCGGATAATAATGTGAGGCAATTTGGACAAAATGGAATTATACAGCCTCTTTTAACAGGTAAGGACTTTATTGGTTTATAACTTGTAGCTAATTACTTAAATACTGCTTGTGTGTTAATTCAATAATAAGTTTAGTTTATCTTTTGCTAATATACGTTGTAAATATTTGTTGAAGTACTAATAAATAAATACATAGTAGATAATATTTAAAATGTATGCCACAAAATAATCTATCGTATGAATTATTAGTTGATCATGTATAATTATTTTCAAACTTAAAAAGTGCCGTTATATTTCCCCAACTTTTTCCAACTATTTCTATGTAATACGGACTAAATTGTTTCACACAAAGTTTATAGCCTAAACTCTATTTTAAGAAACCGCATTTCATTCTCATTATAGTTAAAGGCTTATAGATACATAAAACGCCAAATTTGTAAAACAAAATGCTGATTTTGAGAAATTGTTTTCAAAAATTTTTAGATCTAAAGATTTTTGCCCAACTTATTCTACACTTTTTCAATTGTAATAATTGAGAAAACGTTAAATGTATTTGGGAATAGTTAAATGTTATTCAGAATTCGTTAATTGTAATTGGGAATAGTCATATGTAATTGAGAAAGTGTTACATGTAATTGAGAATAGTGAAATGAAATTGAAAATGCGTTAATTTTAAACGACAATAGTCAAATGTAATTGAGAAAGAGTGAAATGTAATTGCGAAAACGTCAAATGCATTTCAGAAAGCATCAAATGAGATTCAGAATAGTCCAATAACGAAATTGAGATCATGAAAATTCGTAAATTTTATTCAAAAGTGCCACAAATTCGTGAGAATTCATGGGAATATCGGATATTGATTGCTCATTGCTTCGAAATTTTGCATGATTTCAATTTCATTTGACCTATTTTGAATCTTTTCTCAATTACATTCGACGATTTCTAAATTACATTTGACTATTCTCGATTACAATTAATGCATTCCGTAACAAAACTACCGTTTTAGACTGTCTTGAAGTGTTTTTCGCGTGAACGCGACACTATTTTAGTTCAGTTTGTGACATTATTAATTGCTGAAAAGGAATTATTTCATTTGAACACTAGGTAAAATCGGTGTCATTGTTGTGTTTTGGTTATTCTATATTTTTGGGGACCAGAAAAAACGAGAAAGAGTTACAATGCCTGTTACCTGTACCCTGTACAAAACGTAAGTACAGCAAATTTTTCCGCTTACAAGTCACGTTTTGATGGTCATGATTCGGCTATTTCTGAGCATGCACTGCTAGATATGGTATATGGACTTTTAAATATACGCATTAAAGATAAAGTTCAACGAGATCAAATCAAAACTTTCAAGGATCTCATAGAAAAAGCTAGAGTTGTCAAACAAACATTATTTGATAATATCGCTAATGCAAAAACCACAAGCAAAATATTCAATTCAAACGATCCCATTACAGAATTATCGCATAATTCAAAAGTTCAGTGTGTATATTGTAGAAACTTTGGTGATGTTAAAGAAAATTGTAGAAAGCTAGCTTACAAAAATGCTCAGTCTGAAACTAAAAAAAATTCCCATGAATCTTCTATCGGACTACCTGTTGATTCCAATGCAAACATCTTGAATAGGAATTCTAAGCAAAATCTAAGTGTCGCAAATACTTCTAGTTTGATGAGTTATGATTGCAAGAAGCATGGTTTTATAAAAACTAATTGTCCTAACTGTTCAAAGACTACCGAGACTTGTGCCTTTTCCTCAGAATTTTATACTATAACAGCAGATAATTTTTTTTTACCCAATTTTTGTACTCGACCCTTAACTTATGTTACTATACAAGGTCATCATGGCTTAACTTATCTTGATTCTGGTGCACAATCAAGTATTGCTGGCGCTAAATTGATTCTTTGATGTTGAAATAATGCTTTAAGATAGGATTCATCAACTCTTCTTGGCACAGATTTTTTAAAACTAGCCAATAGTGTTGGATATGCCCAATGATTCCTGGTTTTATGGTGATTCTCCTGATAGTTGGGGAGCTGGCGTCAAAAACATGTAAGAGTTTTCTCAAGGCTGATATTTTCAAAATAGGTCGTACTTTAGTGTTGGAAGGCTAGTGTACAGTCAGCACTCGCAGTTCCGGGACAGCTGGCCTGGGACGCGGGCAAAGTTGTAATTTTAAGAAGCATCTAAACTGTTTTCTCAAAGCTCAAAATTTATAGAAATTTTGCACATTATCTGTTTGAAGGTCACAGATAACGTATGTAAATCGTCAGACGTCTAGTTCGTTGCAAAAAGGGGGTCAGAGGTCCTCAAAGTTTTTATTTTATGGCATTTTCTTCAAATATATTTGTCAAATACCTGCAAAAATATATTTTGACAGGACACCGAAGAATAGCTAATTATATAACAAGTACCTACATAAACTAAGGCTTTATTGTACGAATAATTTTATGAGCTTGCGAGCGAGGCTATTAAATAGTGAGTCAATAAAGCCTGTTTATGTAAGCGTTATATACATGATTTTATGTACGATTCTGAGGGGTTTTTGTTAAAAATTAAAAAAATTGAATGAAAAAAGTAAAATTCGCGTAGGTATACCTGTTTCACCTTGGCAGGTTGTCAGGACGTGTTTCACCTTATCAGGTAGTCCAGGTAGGCAATAAAGTAGCACTTTATTTTACTAGTACAATAAGGTGCTAATTTATTGACGCAAAACTGTTCTATAAATAGCACTTTATTGGTCAATCGGACATAAAATGCCATAAATTAAAAACTTTGAGGACGTCTGACACCCTTTTTCGCAGCGACCTAGACGTCTGACGATTTACACACGTTATATGTGACCTTCAAACAGATAATGTGCAAAATTTCTATTAATTTTGAAATTTGAGGAAACAGTTAAATACATCTTAAAATAACAACTTTGCGCGCGTCCCAACGCCAGCTGTCCCAAAACTGTGAGTGCTGACTGTTCACTAGCCTTTTATGACTTAAGTACGAACTATTTTGAAAATATCAGCCTTCAGAAAACTCTTACATGTTTTCGACGCCACCTCCTGGACTATGACATTAAATATTTCTTTATTTCTGATAATTTCGCTATTAATAATCTAGAAATCTCCAATGAGACCAAAATCTCACACGATTTTTTTTAAGAACTGATGAAGCACATAACGTTTCCCCTGATTAAAAGGAGGTTCTTCAAAAATTACTTCAAACAAATTTACATGTTTTTGACTCTAGTAGTCAGCCTACTCCTTTTGCAGAGCATTCTATTAATCTCATAGATGAAACTCCAATGTCTGTACCTCCATATCGCATGTCTGAAATAGGAAAAGAGCAATTGCCAGACGGAATTGATAAACTCTTAGCTGATGGAACTCCCTATGCTGCTCCTGTGGTTCTTGTTCCAAAGAAATATGGTGGCATTAAGTTGACTGTTGATTACCGAAAGTTGAATGCGAAAACAATAATCGACAGATACCCCTTGCCTCGTATTGATAATACATTACATGCTGCAAAAGAAAACTCGATTTATTAAACTTTGGATTTGAGTTCTGGTTATCAAGTATCAGTCAAACCATCTGATCGAGACAAAACTGGTTTTATTTTATTTACTTTTAGATATACAAGGATGCCATTTGGAGTACGAAATGCTCCGTCTACATTTCAAAGACTAATTGATAGATTTCGTTCTGGACTTCAAGATATTAACATATTGTCGCGGCTTTGGGTTGCCTGCTGACAAAAATCTTGGGTTCGTTATTCGTTTCGTTTATTCCAAAAATCAAAGTCCGATTAACACAGCAATAATTTATTCCACTTAACAAAACACTCCGACACTAATTACTTTATTAACAAACTCAACAATTAATCACTATTTAAATCGTATCACACTCGAACTGAAACTTACTTACAAACCAATGCCGGCCTTCTTATATATCCCTAAATCTATTCCTGTGAAATCTAGAATACACACGATAATCTAATTTTCCAGATTAAAGTAGAATAATTCGCTAGATTCTAGTATTTCCGCGATCGATTCTTGACAGCCTGGCGGACGTTTAGCTTATTGTGACACTGCCCTCCTCTTAAGGTTGATCGTCCCGATCATCACGTCCATGATATTTCGCCAACCTGTCCAGATGTACAACTTTCATCTTACTCCTGGTGTTGCGCTGGACTCGATAAACCAAATCATTGATCCTCTTGATTACTCTATAGGTTCTCGAAACTGCCATCCTCTTTTGATGATTGTTTTTCCTTTGGGTCCTCAATGGACACTGCTCGTATTCTGGGTCGTGAGGCACCAAATATTGCTTCCAGTTCTAATGCTCGAACAAGGGCTTCGCTACTTTGTCTGAACTTGGACATTAGGTTTTCCTGGATCTTCGAATCTCTGAGACCATCAATAAACGCAGATACTGCCATCCATTCCTGCATGTCTTCCCCAGCTGCAGGAAACGCCAAACTCACTAGCCTTTTAACTTCCGATTCGAATTCTTGTAAACTCTCGCCGGGTTTTTGAACTCTTTGATTTAACTTGAGTTCTGAATACTTCTTGTCTGTAATGGTCTCCGAAGCGCAGTTCTAAAGTTTGACTAAGATGCTGGTAATTCTGTTGGTAGACTGAAGGAATGGACTGAAGACGGTCTAAGGCCGGTCCTCGTAGCGCCACTATTAGTGCTGTAGCTTCTTGGTCCTTCCATCCGTTGGTATTTGCAGCAGCTTCAAATTGTCGAATATACATGGTCAAGGACGTAGAACCGTCGAAAGTTGGTGGTTTTATCTTCATACTGGAGAATGCTCCAACACTAGCTGGATTTATGGACTGTATTTCCAATTTACGCATCTTATCCTCGAGTGCTTGAACTTGGTCCTCAACTTCTTGTCTTAATTGCTGAACATCGTCTTTAACTTCTTGAACATCGGCTTTGACCTCAGCTTTTACTCCCTGAACGTCGTGTTTAACTTCTCTTACATCGTCTTTAACTTCTTGAACATCGATTTTGACTTCAGTTTTTACTTCCTGGACGTCGTGTTTAACTTCTTGCACATCGTCTTCAACTTTTTCAATCTTCTGGTCTAAGTTAGCGACAGTTCCTTGTATGGTTTGGAATATCTTCTGCAGTTTTGCAAGGTCTTCTTGCCGTTCTTGTTGTCGCCTAGCTTCTTCTTGTTGTCGTCTAGCTTCTTCTTCTTGTTTTTCTTTTTGTCGCCTGAGTTCTTCGTCTTGTTTTTCTTGTTGTCGTCTGGCTTCTTCGTCTTGTTTTTCTTGTAGTCGTCTGGCTTCTTCGTCCTGTTTTTCTTGTTGTCGTTTGGTCTCTTGAAGTTCCAACATTTTGTGCAGGAGTTCTTCAACTTTTTGTTCGTCCATTTTGGCTTGTTGTCTTGTGATAGGCATATACAGAATGTTCTAGAATTTCTCTCGAACTTTCTTCAAATATCTTTTCTGGTCTTTGCTCGAAGTTCCAAACACGCCGGTGAAGTCACAAATTGGATAACTTGCCTTATTCTAGAATAGAATGTTCTGGAATTTTCTTGAAACTTCTTTTCTAGATGTCGATTGATACACCAAACACGTTGGTGAAGTCACAATTTCGATATCTCCCTTGGTTTCCAAATAGAATGTTCTAGAATTTTCCCGAAACTCCTCGAAAAACTTCTTCTGAATGACGATTGATGTTCTGAATGCGTCGGCGAAGTCACAAATTCGATATCTCCCTTAGTTTCCAAATAGAATTTTCTAGAACTCACTCGAAGATTCACTATCACAGTCTAATTCGGGGATAGAGTCACTTCCGGGGTAATTCACACGATCGGTTGAGTCTCTTTTTGTGATTGTCACTGTTTGCACTGCACTAACTGTCCCAGTGTTCACTTAGTGTTCAGTTTTTACACTACACTAGTGTCCCCACACTTCCGCAATTGGATTTCACTCTGCAGTCCTTTATATCCCACTTCTTGGCACCAATGTCGCGTCTTTGGGTTGCCTGCTGACAAAAATCTTGGGTTCGTTGTTCGTTTCGTTTATTCCAAAAATCAAAGTCCGATTAACACAGCAATAATTTATTCCACTTAACAAAACACTCCGACACTAATTACTTTATTAACAAACTCAACAATTAAGCTCTTTACAATCCCTATTTAAATCGTATCACACTCGAACTGAAACTTACTTACAAACCAATGCCGGCCTTCTTATATATCCCTAAATCTATTCCTGTGAAATCTAGAATACACACGATAATCTAATTTTCTAGATTAAAGTAGAATAATTCGCTAGATTCTAGTATTTCCGCGATCGATTCTTGACAGCCTGGCGGACGTTTAGCTTATTGTGACAATATTAACGTATCTCGTTGATGATATAATTATTTTATTAAACTCATTCTAACTTCATGTTAGTGATTTACAAAAAGTTTTTGATCGCTTAAAATTATTCAAACATCAGTTAAACCGTTCAAAATGCAAATTTTCTTGTTCTTCTGTCAATTACCTCGGTCATGTAATAACTTCTTCTGGTATTGTTCCAAACCCAGATAAAGTTTCTGCTATTTCTTAAATACCAAATCCTCGAAATGTCAAAGGACTACTTTCTTTTCTACAAACTTGTTCCTGGTTTAGACTTTTTATAAAAAACGCAGAAATTTCAAAACTTCTTACGTACTTTTCTCACTAAAGAAAGTCAAATGGATCTGGGGCTCAGATCAAGACAAGGCTTTTGAAAATCTGAAATCGCTTTTAACGTCTAGTCCTTTTCTCCAGAAAGCTGACCCTAATAAACCATATATTCTCAAGACGGATGCCTCTATAGCTATGCTATTAGCGCATGTTTACTCCATAGGAAGAGGTCAGAAGAAAGACCTATAGAATGCGCCAGGTTTATGAACATCACCTGAGCAAAACTACAGTACAACAGAGCGCAAAGCCCTAGCAGTCGTTTGGTCCGTGACTGACAAATTTAGAGGCTATTTAGAATATTGTTGCTGATATTAGGTTATCACGCCCGGCAATTCCTGCAGCAAAAACTGATCTTGTTATTGTCGATTTACCTAGAAAAAAACAGACAAATCAGATCAGACGTGAACAAAGAATGGCCCAGATCTCGATAAAATCCAATGTTTTGAAAACTCTCATAATGATTCTAATGTTGATTTTGAAAAATGGACTGAGAGAGGCTACATCATGAACTGTGACGTACTATACCGTAATACCCCTAAATTAGATGAAGATGAAGCTCAACAAGTAGTACCGAAATCCCAAGTTCCTCAAATCCTTGCCGAGTATCACGATTCTCCATTAGTTGGCTATTAGGAAGAACGTAGAACGTAGTTACTTATCAAAAAATTGCAATTCGTTTCTTTTGGCCTGGAATGAGAAGAACCATATCTGATTGATTATGTTAGTGATTATGTAGACTGCCAACGTTATAAAGCTACAAATCTTAAACCTGCAGGAAAATACAGACTCCTATCCAAAGACAGCGTTTTGAAACTATCTCTATTGATTTATTTGGTCCATTACCTAAAACGCACGATTATTACAAATGGATTTTCATAGTAGAAGATACTACAAGTAGATGGATAGAACTTTTTCCGCTGAAAATTGAGCTCCTTGCCTAATATGAAGTTATATTTAAATATGGCGTTCCCAGACGTGTTATAAGTGATAATGGTTTCCAGTTTGTAAGAGTAATAATGCATCGAGTTGCATATTGGCTAGGATTTGACCAAATTTCAATTCCCATATACCACCCAGAATCTAATCCTACTGAACGAAAAAATCCAGATCTGAAGCCTCAGCTTTCCATATTTGTTGGTAATGACCATACAAAATGGAAATAAAAACTTCCAGCAGTCCGTTTTTCTATGAACACAGTGTTCCCAAGCTACAGGTTATTCCGCTGCTTACCTCACTTTTGGAAGAGAGTTAAGAACCCCTGATGATGTAGGTAAATAGGAGCATTGTGGAAAATGACAATTTTGTGTGTGAACTTAGGTACTCCTTACATGAGAACTTTACCTATATATACCATTCTTCCTCAAGCCAGAGATGTACCTACCTACATGAAATTCAACAAGAGAAATCTAAGAAATGTGCTGACAAGAACAGAATAGAAGCACCTATACAGTCTGGTGAAAAAGTTCTTGTTGATAGTCACTGCCTACGTAATGCTAAATATTCTTTTTCAACTAAATTTGCTCCAAAAAGAGATGACCCATATCAAATTATTGAAATGGTATCCCCAATTACTTATGAGATTGCATCACTAGATGATTCACAAAAAGTACTCGGAAAATATCATGTGTCAGCAATGACCAAATTTAAATCCGCGACGATAAAGTTGAAAGAAAACGTGGTACACCCCGAAACACCATATAGAACGTAGAAGATCCGAATCCCCACTACAATTCTCAATTACATTTGACCATTCTTAATAACATTTTACGCTTTCTCAATTACATATGACTATTCTCAATTACATTAAACGCGCAATCTAAATAACATGTAACTATTCTCAATTATATTTGACGGTTTCTGATTGCTTCTGTTTCTCAATTACAATAATTGGAAAAGGTGTAGGTTGTTCAAAATTATTATTGTCTTATATTTATTTATTTTTTTAGATCTGTATCAAATCACAATGGCCTATGCCTATTGGAAATCAGGCAAAACCGAAGATCATGCGGTGTTTGACTTATTTTTCCGGAAAAATCCATTCCAAGGCGAATTCACGATTTTCGCTGGACTCGAAGAGTGCCTGAAATTTTTAGGAAAATTTCGTTATTCGAAAAGTGGTAAGAATTGTATGGTATAAAAATTGAAACCAAAAAATCAAAAATAGAGCGGGAAATGTTTTTTTTTTTTTGTAGATATAGAATATCTAAAGGAAATTTTACCACCTTCGACTGAAGAAGAATTTTTTCATTTCCTCAGCACCTTGACCGCAAAAGATGTGAAATTGTATGCCATGGCAGAAGGATCTGTAGCATTTCCCAAGTAAAAAAATAGGTACCTTATATTTCAATAAAAAAATAATTTATTTCAGGGTTCCCCTGATGCGAATAGAAGGTCCATTAACTATAGTTCAGCTAATAGAAACGACATTACTGACGTTAGTTAATTACGCCAGGTAATTAACTTTGACTAAATGTCTTACTTAGTTAATTATTATTTGATAAATTGTAGCTTGATGGCAACAAATGCGGCCAGATATAGAATCGCAGCTGGAAATTTAATGTTATTGGAATTTGGCTTGCGAAGGGCTCAAGGGCCTGACGGTGGCTTGTCAGCTTCAAAATATTCATACATAGGTATATTATGGGCCTATGCCGAAAAGTAGGCCATAAGTTATTATCTTATTGCCCCAAAAGTATAAAACGGTGCCAGGCGTTAAAGATTGAGCCGGATAAATGCTAATAGCTCACACAATAGCTATTAAAGTTGGCAGTAGGGGCTTTCTCATACAACTTTTCGGTATCGATTAAATGGATTATTTGTCACTCCTCAGCGCCTGGTACAGAACTTTTGGTTTTCGTCAGAAATTATTGTTCCACACTAATTAGAAAGTTTGAAAAACTATTGGCTTGTATTGCGGTAAAAATTACAACCTTGAAGAAATAATGGAGCAATTAAAACTTGTCACTCAAACTTCAATTAGAATCAGAATACTTTTTGCTAGCCAAAATACCGCATTTTATTTTAACCTTACTTGCGGATCCATAGTTCGTATATGTTTAAAGGTCTATTTTTGACCAAATTTTCATTTCCCAGGTGGATTTGATGGTACGAGTAACGTCCTGGCAGGCAAACTCTTTAACATTCCAGTGAAAGGAACTCACGCTCACGCTTACATAACTTCCTTCAACGGTTTCTCGGAGCTGAAAAACACTCACCTCCAGCCTAAAAACGGTGGTAAACCTCGTGACCTACTCAAACTAGCTCTATTTTGGAAAGAAGAACTATTGATAATGTTTAAAGTTGCAGCTTCAGAAGCTAACGAAGGTGAATTGGCGGCTCTCATATCGTTCGCAATAGCGTTTCCTAGTGGATTCATGGCCTTGGTGGACACGTACGAAGTACAACGGAGCGGTCTTTTGAATTTTTGCATTGTAGCCTTAGCTTTAAACGACTTAGGATATCGGGCGACAGGCATAAGATTGGACAGCGGAGATTTGTCGTATTTGTCCAACGTCGCCAGGCACTATTTTACTGAAATAAGCAAAAAATACGATATTCCTTGGTTTGCGAATTTATTGATCATGGCCTCAAATGATATAAACGAAGAAACCATCGTCAGCCTCAACGAACAAGGTCACAAAATCAATTGCTTCGGCATCGGTACTCATTTGGTAACTTGCCAGAGGCAACCAGCTTTGGGTTGCGTCTATAAAATGGTCGAACTCAACGGTTATCCAAGAATAAAGCTCAGCCAGGAAGTCTTCAAAGTTACCATGCCAGGTAGCAAAGACGTTTACCGGCTTTACAGCGAGAGCGGGCACGCTCTTGTAGATCTGGTGCAGAGATACGTGGAACCGCCTCCGAATGTGGACGAAAAAATTTTGTGCAGGCATCCGTTTGAAGAATCGAAAAGGGCCTACGTTAAACCGGCGAGAATCGAAAAGTTGTTGGTGCTTTATTGGGAAGATGGACGAATTGTGAAGACGCTGCCTAGTCTGCAGGAAATTAAGGAAAAGGTAACCAGTTCTTTGAAGACTTTGAGGCCAGACATCAAAAGGAATTTGAATCCTACGCCATATAAGGTAATTTCGGGTGTATGCAATAGTTTTGCAGTTGCAAAGCTTTAAAGCCTTTCAGCTTTGATTTTTATCAAGGAGGGCACGTGAAAACAAGTTAAAAATTTTTTTCTTAAATTTCGATCCTCTCTCCATCTACTTGCAAAATTTCAAGCCAATCCTTCAAACACTTTCTTCAAAAAAAAAGAAAACGTCCTTCAATGTCGTTTTCTTGAAGCTTTATTTTTTCCAAAATGACATTGAACCACATTTTACTTCACATCTTTGTTAATTTCAAATCGATCTTAACGTCGTAATCAAGCTTGAAATGAAGCCAATTAAATCCTTCATAAATCTCTATTGGGTATTTTCAATTTCCCATGAATTCCTTCAAATTCTCAACAAATTCCTCCAAGTACCCTACAAATTCCCCAAAGTTTCTTTGATTGAGGAAGATTTCGAATAAGTTTCAAAGCATCCTACCTATTTATCGAAACGTAACATCAATAAATTGATTTTTCTACATAAGCACATTTCAAGCCCTTTACAAGGTTTTATGTTGAAACTTATCCTACTGCAATAATTAAACCTTATATTAAAGTATATAATGAGTTTTGCCAAAATTATGGAACTATAACTTTGATAATAAATCAAGTTAATTGAAACTTTCAAAACTTTCATTTAGTTGGCATCATTATTGTCCTTGGCATCAATTTATTTATTATGTCAGCCTTTATTCGGGTTTTGTTGAAAAAAAAATTCAATGCAATAGTAGGTACCTATTGCTGGATCTTGAATTTCTGTTTTTGTTTTTCAAATTTGGAGTTTTTGATGTTTTCTGACCAATGTGTATGAAGCTTCTGCAAACTAAACACTCCCAACTATTTTTCCAAACACCTTGTATAGTATATAATAGTAAAATCTTGGCAATATTCTATAGAAAATCCAATAAACTTGCTAGAAGCTTCATTTGGAAACCTTTTGTCCAAAGCTACAAAGAGTTTTTGTGAAGATTTGAAAAGCAATGAAGTTATTTACCAAATTCCAAAGTTTCTCAAATTATTAATTATGTAATACCTAAGTTCTTTATATTATGTAATTTTCTTTTTCCAGGTTGCTGTGAGTGATGATCTCTACCATTTTATTCATGATCAGTGGCTGAAAAATGCACCTATAGGTGAATTATCTTAAAACTGGAACCAAAAACTCTATGGCGCTTTATTGTCTATCGAAAACTTTGGAGGATGATATCAAAAGATTGCAATCGAAAAAAAAAAAACGATGGGTTAGGTTTAAATGTTGGCATAAGCAAAAGAAAATCCTACTTTTCTTTAATATTTAAATGCAGTTTTAGTTATCTTATCTAGCCGATATAGAATCGAAAATTACAATTTATAGTTTGCTAAAATGGGAAAAATCTATAAAATATAGCCCCTAGCTTTTGAAGAATTTTAAATTGTCTTTGTGTAACAATAAGTTACTATTAAGGAAAAAACATTCCTAAAAAGCAAGTAAATGACCATTTTAATGAAAAAAGCTGCTATAGAAAGTGATTTCTAATGGTCTTGCTCAATAGAAGGCACAAATATTGTTAACTCACAGTACAAATTATATTTTGTTACATTTGCTATATTGTTTAGTAACGTATATTTAAGATTAATTATTCAGAAACCACATTCCGTCCAGAAAAAATGGTTGATAATGCTCCATTTCAAAAAAAAAAAAATCAAACTAAAGTAATATAATAAATAAATAATTACTAGGCATAAATTTGTTTGTTTTTCAACATTTACATCTTGAATTTAATAAAAATATATATTTATTTTATTAATTACTTATGGAACAACAAAAATCTTGTTAGTCAAATTCAATAATAATATACACAAAACTGGCTATTTTACACTAGCCCTTATTCTCAACAATAATTGTCTTCAATGTTTTATTCGGTGTTATAGTAGTCTTGAACTGTTCAGGAACAGCTTGTTCAATCTAAAACAGAAGTGTTGCTGAATAACGAACAAAAATTTATTCAACAAATACTCACATAATCGCCTCCAGAAGTAGGAATCAAAATATTCATTTCAGACGATTTGGAAGTCACCACTTCAACATCCAAAGATTCGTTGCCCAAGTAAATTTGGCAACCGTCCGTTTTATCGACAGAGATTGTAGGAACTTTGCCAAATACCTGAAGAAAAAAAAATCGTATATTGTTTTTCCCGATACAATACAGCATCTTACCTGCATTTGCACAGATTGGCAATTAATAAACTCAACAGCGGCCACAATAGAGTCCATTACAATTGCGGTTTTCCTACAAGCATCTATAACGACCGAATTAATTTTACCTTTAATGGTAACAGTACATTCGTTGCACTTGTAAAGGTACACCACGTTGTTCATTTCAGCATTTTCCACTAACAAATTATGGTTTCTGGTTTGGTATTCCTATAAAAAAAGAGTTTGCTGATGTTTTTTTTTTTGTTTACTACTCACAATTAGCCACTTTTTGCCATCTCTCGTAAAAACTGGTGGTTTGTCTGGTTGAGCAACATTCGATGCTCCACTTTTGATAGGAGCAGCTCCAGTTTGCTTCAATGCTGGATTCTTGTGAGTTTGCATATCGGATGTGACCTTTTTCAGATCTGGAACAGCAATAATTTGTCAGCCTATATCAGTAAACGAGACTGAAAAAATACTAACTGCTTGTTACGTTAGCTCCTTGATTAATTTGAGCGAACAATGCTGCCCTGTCATTTCCTGCTGCATCTGCAGCGAAATTGTCCAGCGGTGGTGGTGGTAATGGACATGAAGGCGGTGGTGGTGGAATACCACCAGCTGGAGCTGCTGGAGCGTTTTTTCCAGACCATACCAAACCTACAAACACATCAACAATTGGATACCAATGTATGTGGGATGTTTCATTAATACGTCTGTATGTAAGTTTTAGAATTTTTAAAAATGAAAGTGAATGAGGCTGGAGGAAGTTGAAATGTGACATTTCCAAAACTTGATGTTGAGAATGTAATCAAAACTTTCGCAGCTACTGTTCATAACTTAGAAATATTTTGGGCCTAAACTCTGAGATTGGATATTGAAATTCTCCATGCTTGAAAAAATTAGATATAGGTGGACTCCCAAGGACAAATGGCATCTATCAGTTCATAGAAATTGTCATTCGAAATATTCCACTTAAGCAGGGGCACAAATAGGCTTCTGGAGACCCAGTCTGCATTAAAACTGATTACAAGAAATGTCCTGTGGATGGAGAATTATGTACTTTACAAAATACCTTTGACATAGGAATCAGTATTCAGTGATGCTAGAAATGTTCCAGAAACACTTGTTAATAATGAAACATCAACCATTTGAATGTTTGGTGGTCTATATGAGCCTCTGTTTCAATGAACACTTCCGGACAACTTCTCATCATTAAATAGTTGGAGCTTCGTAGTCTGGATCAAAAAGTAGTCTTCTGTTTTTATTAAAACACGACGACAGTTGTCAGCAAAATTATTCTGCGCACAGTGACCGGAGAGATCGCAAATTTGCATGGAGAAACAGAGATTAGGAAATATCAAGTTCTGTCACACAGTGTTAATGGCTGATCTGGAGAATTAGTTTATTTTGAGTATGGACTTAAAAATATTCAACATGGTTTTGCATTCGACAACCAAACTCCAACGTCTTGAAATTTGGCAAAGAAGAGTCCAAAGTCCGTCAACATAAGAGCTATACAAACTGTCTTTTGCTACAACCAATTCTTCTTGAGAATTTCACATATAGGTTGATGACAACCCTGAAAGTATCAAGAGGACGAAATCTCTGAAGTTGCATCTGTAAAATTTACTCATCCATACAACAATTAGTTATCTCGAGAATTCCATCAATGAAATCCTTCTTCCAGAATCCAGAGGACTATTTTGGTCGGTTTTGATGTACTTATTCAACCAATTTGAATATTTGGTGACTTTTCCTGGAATGAAGATTCTACAATAATATAACTTTTTCATTCAAAATTACCTGTAGTATGATATTGTTTGACGAACGCTTGTAGTTCAGTTAAAGTTTGTACCCATGCTTTGACCCATTCCACGTGACGTTTATCTTTTTCCTTCCAGTCCTTCAGTACTCGGTTCGTATAAAACTGTCCTGCATCGTTCATTTCCTTGACGTATGGCGACGGTGCAGGACTCTAAAATAATATAAAACAAAACATAATTCCTGGCACTGATGCCAAATAAATGTTCTTTAAATAAAAACTAATTTCTTACCACTGCTACCCATCCAAGAGCAGGTATACTTTCGCTGATGGCAGACAAATGATTGAAAAACTGCGAAGTCCTGTTTTTCTCCCTGAAATCCTGGATAGCGGCAATAATGTCGCTAGTAGGCTTCAAAAAAATCATCAAATCGTTGGGATTCGCGGGTTTGCTGCTCTGGCTGGCCAACTCCAAAAATTGAAGCTGAGCTTTGAAGACCTGCTGTACTAGTTGACTGTGTTGGGCCACATCTCCGCCGATTTGGACTGAGAATTGAGCGTATTGGGCCAAAGGGCCTTGGATTATGTCTGTGTATCCGAGAACGCTCATTATGGATCCTGAAATTTGAACAGCTGGTCCAAATGATGGATGTAAAACATTATTGCGTGGGTGGTTCTAATCTTATCACTTTAACTTATTGTGTGAATAGAAAATATTCATTTATGAACTGTAGTAGTGAAGTATAGATAATAATTTTTAGCATTAAAAAAGAAAAAAGTGCAATAAACATTGATGATCAGTGAGTTAAACAAATTATAACTTGAATAAGACACTTACCTACGTTAAAAATTTAGTGACCTATCCTCACTTTCATCGATATAAAACTAAATTCGAGATGAGCAATAGCCAGGCGGAGATATATTTTTGGAATGCGTTGGCAAATGTGTTTTGTACGCTTCTAACAAGTAAATATCGCATCTGGATAGAGAAATTTAAAATTCTGGAAATGTTTGTTTCATGAAGTTTTATTTTTAGGGGGATCTGGTGCACGCTCATTTTTTTTTTTACTTTGCAGACATTTCTCTTTTAAGTCTTCCAGGGGATAAAAAATGAGGGAAACTTTCTTGTAAAACTGAGACTTAATTAATATGCTGTGGTAATTTATTTAGAAATAGAAGAGCTATATGTTGTGGTCTGTTCAGATTAATTTTCTCACCTACAATAAGCTGTATTAGAGATTATCGCAGTTTCTTCTCGGGTTTACCTTTAATTATCGACATTTTTGAAGAGGATTTATGAACATGAAGCTGATAAGGAGATCGTTTATAGGATGTCGATAAAGTCAGCATTAAAAATGCAAGAGCTAAAAGTGCATTATTATTACGCCTACTGTGGCCTAAGTACTGTGGCATACCACCCTTCTAAACTGATTATGAATGAATGAATGAATGAACTAGGGGTATTTTTACACTGCGACCTGTATAGATCTATTGTGCCCTCCTTCTGAGTGCTCCGGTTGATATGATACTCACTCAAAGCACCTCATCCAGCTTTAGAGATTATATGAACCTAAGTAAGCTGGATGGTTAGTTTGTTATTTTTGCCCAGTTTGTTTAACTTGTCCAGGCATTCTCAAACCATTCTGAAGCTGATTGTATGTGAGCTCAGCGCTTTGATGGCTGCTTGACTGTCTGAGAATATGACAATCTCTTTCTTTTTGTAGTTTCTGTCAAGATTCAGCTCAGCACATCTACTTATAGCCTTTATTTCCGCCTGAAATTTGTCTGGGTAGTTTCCGATTGCTGCGGAGAACTTGATTCTAGGCCCAAGTACCTCCGGTTTTGGTCCCTTGTTCAGTTCTTGACCCATCGGTGTACCATTTTACGGCTTTCTGCTGCACTCTGAGAATGGTTGCGGTGTCTTCTTCCCTGCTTCTTATGACTGCTGTAAAGCGTTTCTCAAAATTATATGTTTTGATCATATCCTCTCTGGGGAGTGAAATAAGCGTGCTCAGAGATGCTAGGTCTCTCCTTCCAAGCCAACCTCCTTCGCTAGCCCCTTTTCTCGTGATTCTAGTCATTACCCTTCTAGCGGCCTCCTCCACCACGATGTGAAGAGGTGCGAGACCTACAATTGTGTCGATGGCTGCTGTAGGACAGGTTATCATTGCGCCTGTGACGCATGTGCACGCCATCAGGCGTTGCAATTTGTTAAGAGCTGCCTTTAAATTATGTTTTTCAACTCCTTTGCATCAGACTATCGATCCATGTAGTGAGGTTGGCCTTACATCCATGGTGTACATCCATCTCAATATTCCTGGTTTGCATCCCCAGGTTTTGCCTGCAAGGCTTCGGCACACCATTAGCGCCTTTGTAGCCTTGGTGATAACTACCTCGATGTGTTTGTTCCATCTGAGTTTGCAGTCTAGTGTTAATGCCGAGATATTTGACTTCCGTCACCGGCGTAATAATTATTCTGTGTATTTGGAAGTCCTTTATTCAAGGGAGTTTCCTCCACCTAGTGACTGGCACTACGATGGTTTTTGATGGATTTATTTCCAGTCTCACTGTTCGGCACCATTCCTCTGTTGCTCTGAGTCCAGTTTGTAAGAGTTCACACAGGGTGCCCTCGAACTTTCCTCTTGCTATGATGACAATGTCATCGGCATACCCAGTGCAGTGCAAGCCCAGGTTGTTCAGTATTTCTAGTAGTTCATCCATCATTAAACTCCACATCAGGGGTGAGCATATTCCGCTCACTTCAATGGACTCTTTGCCTATTGAAGTCTCTCTGCTGTTCTCTTGGCAAGCATCTTACACATCCATCGGGATATTGTGTCGTTGACTCCCCTTCTCAAATGGCCACACGTGATGTGTTGTCAAAGCCACCAGCGATGTTTAGGAAGGCGCATAGTGCGACCTCTTCCTCATTCAGAGTTTCTTGTTTCATGCTCGTCAGTTGGAACAGAGCTGTCTCAGTGCTCTGTAGGCGGGCTGACTTCAGAGGCCACCTTTCTAAGGTAGTGGATCTGATATAATTATTCACTGCCTTTTTAATAGTTTTTAGAAGGAACGATGTGAGGCTTATTGTTTTGAAGGATTTGGAGTCTGTCCCATACTCGTTTTCGCATTCTACCATTATCAGTTCTAACCTGAAATCTGAAATGGATTCCTGCGAACTTCAGGTTCACCACTGTACTGGTGAACATTTCTTCCACTAGAGCACTCGCTAGGTCCGTCAGTTATTCCGTGGTTAGCGCGATCTCGGGGTATTCCCTTGGTACAATTTCGATTCTCTTCTTTCTCTTTATCGACCCGTTCCCTGGCCGTCTCAGGTGTAATGCCCTGTGCTAGGTATGCTTAGGCCCTTCCCTCGCGGGTCGTCCAGCCCTCCTGGTTCTCCAAACGCAGGGAGGCTTTCCGCCGAACTTCAGAATTTTCCCGAAGTACTGCCGCCTTCCCTTTGCCTTTTGACTGAGGCGTCTTTCTTTTTTTTGCTTTTGGTCCTAGCCCGTTAACTTTCAGCAGTGTATTCCTTCCTGTTTTTGATTTTGTTCTTACCCATAAAATTCCTACGAGTAGCTATAGGGAAATAGGCGGTCCACTCCTACAGATCCCGAAGAAGTTCTTCCGGTGCCCCAGAGGGATCGTTCTCGACATTGCTTCCTCAATGTGTTTGATATACCTGAGTCCTCTGATGAAAACAAATTGGGTTTTCAGCAGGAGGAACTAAAATGCAGCAAGAAGCTTACAAAAAAGCAAAAGTAGAGCTTTCACGCAGAAATGGTGAAGGTGAAGATCTTGCTATTAGATACAAGAGGGGAATACCTGTATAAGTACCAAAAAACAAAAAAGATGCTCAGGAAAACTAAATTCAACCCCATTAGTAGTGTACCTACTACCAAAATGCTAGCGGACTTCGTACAAAATTAGATAGTTTAAAATTGGCTGTGAACACTTTTTCTTATGACATAATTATATTGATGGAGAGTAATTTAAACAGTGACATACTGGATAGCGAGTTATGTTGTCGTGAATATAATTTATTTCGGAGTGATAGATCAACGTTAACTAGTCAGAAGTCCGGTGGTGGAGGTATTCTTATATTTATATTAAAAAATCTATTAAATCCAGTAAAGTGAAAACAAATCAGCTTAACGTGGAACAGCTTTTTATATCTTGCATGCATAGGGGATCAAAATGTATCATAGCAGGACTTAATATTCCGCCCAGCATGCCAGATATTTATTATACATTACCCTGTGAAGCAGTTGAAAGTGTATTGCATAACCACTCATCTCAGAAGATATATATATTCGGTGACTATAATCTACCAGAGGCAGTTTGGTCTAATGATAAGTTCGGTTTGCAAGTTGATTGTACTGGAACTTCGTCTGCCCTCCACTTTGCACAATTGTTTGATTACCTACATCTGTATCAAATGATATCTATACCTAACAATAGGAATATATTTTTGGATCTTATGTCAATAGTGTGGAAATAGGTTTGGCTAGAGACCCTTTATTAGATGAAAGTATACACCATGTAAGATATGAATGTACCATAACTAATTAACATAAAAAAACCACGAATGATAGTCTAGTTTTCCAAGACTTTTATTATGATTTCAAGAATGCCAATTATTGGGGGTTGAACAATTTCTTGGCAGGTATAGACTGGGACCAAGGTTTAACACACTTACATAACATTAATGATTCATTAAAATACTTCTATGAGATTTTGGGTGTGGGAATTGCCTTGTTTGTACCGGACAAGCGATACCAAGCTAGTACTTTTCCAAGTGGTTTTCACCTGAACTGGGGCGTATTATTATTCAAAAAAGAGAGGTACATAAAGCTTAAATAGAGTCTAAATCTTACTATGATTACCAGAAATTTTCCAGATTACATTCAGAATGTAAAAAAATTCGTGAGCTGTGCTGGTCACAATATTTGATAAATGTAGATAAGTGAATTTAAATCTGATCCAAGGTATTTCTGGAAGTACATTTGGGATCTAAAAAATAGTCATTCACTTCCTCACTTTATGTATTATGGAGATGAGCATGCAGATAATTGGCAACACATTGTTGGCTTGTTCAAGAACTACTTTCAATCAGTATACACTGCAGGCTCTCAGCAGTTAGATGTTTCTGTTAATGTACCTGAAAACCTTTCTGAGAATCTTCAGTTCAGTTCAAGCATATATCTAGAGAGGAAATTTTTAATAAAATTGTCAATCTCCCTTGTAAAAACACTTTGGGTCCCGATGGAATTCCTAACAACTTATTGCAAAACTGTATTTATTCTATAGTGACTCCTTTACACCTTTTGTTTGACAAACCTTTGCAGTCATCAATTTTTCCAGACATATGGAAGGAAAGCTTTATTGTGCCAATCTTCAAGAGTGGTGAAAAGTTATTTAATAGCTTAATGAGTGATCAATTAAAATGGATGTGCAGCAATTTAATTCATAAGAATCAACATGGCTTTTGTTCTGGCCGTTCAACTGTCACTAATTTGCTCACATACCAAAATAAAATAGCTTTAGAGGAATCTAAACAAGTTGATGCAATATACATATACGGACTTTTCCAAAGCGTTCGATCGCGTTGATCACCAAATTTTTCTGAAAAGGTTGTATGACATAGGATTCAACATGGCTTCTGTTCATTGGACTAAAAGTTTTCTGTCAGATCATAGGCAAAGAGTTAAAATAGGTTCTTTTCAATCGGATTATGCAAGTGTTACCTCAGGTGTTCCACAAGGTGGGCACTCTTTTCCTCTTTTCTTTGATTTGTTTGTCAAACACTATTTTTGAATGTTTTCAGATTAGTGACAGCCTTGCTTTCGCAGATGATTTTAAGGCTTTTAGAATTGTTAATAACTTATATGATCAGCAATTGCTACAGACAGATTGAGTTCTTGGTGTCTCAAATATAGATTAGAATTAAATATTTCCAAGTGTTGTCACATTAGTTTTCATAAGGGTAAGAAAAAGTTGAATACCCAATATTCTTTAAATGGCCAAGCATTAAAATATGTTAAAAAAATTAGGGACCTAGGGGTTATTTTCGATGAAAATTTATCTTTTGTGCAACATATAAACAATGTAACGGTTCAGTTATCCAAAATGTTAGGTTTTATTTTACGTCACTGTAAACAATTTTCTGTTAGCATTTACTGCTCATTAGTGAGATCTAAGTAAGAGTATGCTTCGGTGGTATGGTCACCATACCAAGCCGTGCATATTCAGACTGTGGAAAGGGTCCAGAATAGGTTCTTGCGTTTCTGTGCTTTCAGGCTGGGGTTAGTTGTTGAAAATCTTGAGTACACAGTTCTTGAAAAGCAACTTAATTTGAGCACACTAATGCGAAGATGAACTTGTCAACTTGTGCAGGATTAACTTTCTTGTATAGCATTATTAATAATAGGATTGATTGCATGGATTTGTTGAATCAGATTGGAGTGGAAATTGTCAATAGAAATAGAAGACAGAATTTTACAACTTTTTATGTACCATTTCATCGTACAAACTATGGTTTTAATCTGCCATTGGATAGATACTCTAGACTGGTTGAAGAACATCATTTGGAGATTTTTCGTTTAACTTTAAATCAGTTTAAAGGACAATTTAATAGGATTTCTGTGTAGTGAGCAAGATTGTGAAATTTTAGGCCTAATTCTAAAAAGTTTTGTAAGCTGAGTTGAGTTATATTGCTTAGAAATCTACAATCATAACTATAAAATTCTTTGTTAATTGTAACTATTAATGGGGTTTCCCGTCATTGAATAAATAAAATAAATAAATGCCATGCAGCCCCTTGGCACGATGCCTCCCATCTTGGCTTGGGTGGAACTGGGTAGGTTAAACAGTCAACCTCTGTAGGGCGCTACAATCTAACAATAAAATTCACTTTTTACTTCAAAAAAATTTATTTTTAAAACAGGAACAGATTAATAATACTATAAATTAGTTAAATGTTTTCAATAAGCTTAAACTATAGTCGCCGCAATAATAATATAACAATATTTTAATAATTATATAGGGGCTTTGTTAGAGGTACAAATAAATATTTATTCGTAAAAAATAACAGAGGTTGGACGTTTTATATCAATAGTCCCTGTTTCCAAATATCAGCCCCAAGGACCCCGCACAAACCTTATGGCTTTCTGTCAAATTGGCTGAATTTTTGAAATTGGGTAGATTTCCATATTCTGATTCAAAGTTATCATTGCGCAAAAATGATTCAATGTACAGCTTTTGAGTAAGTGGACTGAAAAGGAAATGTAAACGCATGTAGCTTAATAGGTAGGTGCTCAATTTCTATTTCAGTATCGATTGATAGCCTTGAGCACCTACCTATTAAGCTACATGCGTTTCCAATTCCATCTTTTGAGCCAATTTACTGTGCATTGAATCATTTTTGCGCAATGATAACTTTTAATCAGAATATGGAAATCTACCCAAAAAATCAGCCAATTTGACAGAAAGCCATTTTTCATAAGGTTTGTGCGGGGTCCAATTTGATACAATTTAAATTAATGTTGCTTAATCTTAAACTGTTAATACTGATTGAAATTAGGTAAAATTGTTTAAGAAAACTGCTATATATGATAAATTAAAATGCGCTTGCACTCTTCAATTTGATGTTTGAAAAATTTATTCATATTCCGGAGATAACAATAGTTCCATAATTTGTGATCTGAATATTCCCAAATAAGCAATCTGCACCTCAAAAATTGCTTTTTGATTATTTTTCTAAGACAAATAAAAAAAATTAATGAAATAAGTTAATTAGAAAAAGGAGTATGAATAAATAAAAATAACCTACATATTAGGTAGGTAGGTATCTAAGATATCTAAGCCTCCTTAAGGCATAAAATGGAAAATTAATTTACCCATCAAATCAATTACAAATATGTACAAAAAAATCTAATCTTATCTACAAAATGAGAGGATAGAAAAATATCAAACTATTAATGATATTAAATTGTAGCTTAAAAATGCATCTATATGGAGTATAAAGTGTAGCACAGCCTTTTTATGTTTCAAATATTTCCTCTCCTATAGAAGCACATAAGATAAGCAAGAACTAATCGTTATAAAAATGTAAAAATACAATCATTCAGATCACCCTCGTAGCACCCAAGCATTGAACGAAAAATAAATTAAAGTCTTCTTATGTTTCCAAGATTCGCTAGAACGTCTGCGGCGACATTAGCTCTCAGTAGATCGTTTTCGTATTCCAAAAAAGATATGCGTTCAACCAGTTCGTTTATTTTTATTTTGAGCTCCTCGACTTCTAATCGAACGGCGTGCGTAAGGTGGTTCTTTACCACATCCTGCAACAAATTTATATTCAGCTGTACACGATTTTGCATAATATTACTACTTACCAGAGCGTGTTCGATTTTGGTATCGATAGTAGCCGTTCCACACGATACGGAAGCACTGGAATTTATAGAGAAAATTAAATTTTAAAATGCGTGTCGTATTCGTATAAATATAGAGTGTAATTATATGACATTGCAGCAAACCAATTCTGTTATTTTTTTTTTTTACTTAGACTCATCTGTACTTTTTGGAAAATAATATTAAGACAAACTATGGCCGAGTAAGTTATGACATAAGGAAAACTCGTAGAAGAAGCAGATTCATTTCGACGTAAAAAAAAACTGTAGTCCAGTAAAACAAATGTACCTATTAACTAGATTCCTATGGATAATAAAGAGAAAAATTCGCATAAAATTAAAGGTATATACCATGACTTATAAAGTCTTAAGTTGCGTTTAAAAAATACTCTAATTCCAGTGCATTTCTAATCGATTAATGTACCTATTCGAAAAGAAGATACAAACACCAAAAAAAAATTCAGCTCTTACCCAACGAAATTTCGTATAAAACAATCCAAGGAGAAAAACGTGGACTCGTTAAAGTTCAAAGCTAGCGGCAGCTCGATTTTCGTATTTTTGACTTGCACAAAGTGGTTTGCGTTGTCTAGGCCCGCCGAAGCCATTGTCCGATGGGCTCAATTTTCCATGTTAGAAATGGATAGAAATAATGGACATTGAAGGCAAGTCGTATAGGGAAAACGCGCTGTTGCCAACGCCCAAAATGCACTCTGCAGTATGGTTTTAGAGTAGCGTAATATTTAAAATTAAAAAGGTTGATTTTTGTTCATGCATATGGCATTTTCATTTCATAGTTTATGCAAGTGCGATACAATTCAAAACTTCTGGATTAGTATTTCACAAAAAAAAATAATGGAAAAGAGCTTGTATATAGAAATTGTGTGTTCAAGGAATCAAAACATCTAATAAAGAATAATATATTCAATATTGTTAATCAAATGTACATCATAATCTCTTAAATTATCCCATATACAAGTACATAAATCAGATTTTAGCTTCATAAATTACATGTTTTATGTGAAGACCCCGATTTAGTTGGGTATGGGAAAATTTTACAAGCCTGGCAATAATGGATAACGTCTGCGCTTTGGCACTCTTATTGATTTGTCTTGTAAGAAATAATGAGCGGATTGTTTTCTATCGAGCAAAAAACAAAAACTTACGCTGCATTGTCGTTTGGATTTAGGCCTGTTTCTACTCGAGCGACTGCCACAGTTATTTCTTGATGCCCAGGAAATGGACTTATTGTATTGATATTACTGGAAAGACACTGGAAAAGAAATGAAAATATTATTTGTAATTTATATTACACTGCCACTGTGGACAGTTAGTTATAAGCTTTTGAATGCTTTTGAAAATGTAAAATCCTGATAGAGTGTCTCTAGATTCTTTGGAAATTACCTCAGCTTCTTCAAAAGCTTCTTTGAACTCATGAGAACTAGTGTTTGAATAATGGAAAGTAATTGATTCTGTAGAATTGGCTTCAGACTCTTCAAAAACATTTTCAAAAGTGCCTGCAAGTTGTTTCAGATGCTTTGGAAGTTGCCTCAGATGCTTTGAAAGTCATTGTGGACACTTTGTTTCAATAGGCATAGTGATTTAGGATTTTTTGGAAGTTACTTCAATTGCGTTAAAATTTTTCGACTTTACTTCAGATACCTTTAAAAGCCAGTGTGAAAACTTTGCTGCAATTAAATTTCTGAATGCATTAAAACTATACTCAAATTAGACCCTTTTTTAGAAGTTCAAAAAGTTACGTCCCTCTTTAATCGTCTGTTACATTCAGACATTATAAGACTACTTTAACATATATTATAATTTTTTTTACACTCAATTGCCTATTGACTCAAAATATTGGCTTAGAAATTTAAGACAACGCCTGATAATTTTTAACATCTAAAAGCCCAAAATAGTCAGTCAGTCTTAAAAATGTAAGAAACTTTTTCTGATGCGATTATAAACTATTGAACTTAAGACAATTTCCTAAAAACTATAACTAATTCTACAACTTACTTGTTTATTTTGATTCGAATCTAAACTAGAATTGTTTATCACAGTGTCGACACTATTACAGCTATTAGCGAAGCTAACTCTCGCATTTGGCAGGGTTGTGACGGTACACTGGGAAGAAATAATTGTCGTCGATATGGGAACGTAAAGTGGTATAGGATCGGGTAGTAAAATGGACCCGCTATATAAATAATTAGTTGATTGGCAGCTGGTTTTGATAGTTGTTTGCTTGTTTTCTGTATTGGTATCGTCGGAATAATCGTAACAAGTCCATCTTCCTCTACTAAAAGGTGTCATGCTTCTTAATTTAACTACTCTGAATCTACCTAATTCATTTATATTTGCCTTTTTGGGTTTTTTAGGTTCTTCTTCTTGTGTAGGAGGTAGAGGTTCTTCTACTATGGGAGCATTAAAAATCGGTTGGGAAGCTGGTTGTTGATCGTCTCTGGAATCTTCAGAAAAACTAGGAGTCTCATTGTCAGTCACTCTGGAAATTTCGTCAGTGTGGCTTTCATCCAAATCATCAGCCGATTCGTCTTCCTGATTAATTAGAATTCCGGTGATTTGAAACGAACAACTCGGCGATGTGACTTGAGATTTTTTCCTGCTGATGCTGATCGTCGGCACAATTCTTTGATTGCTATCGTCGCCTAATCTCAACGTTTCACTTGTCGTACGATGTATCACGGTCCCCTTCGGTTTTTTCAGCGACATTATTTTATTTCAAAACAAAATTTACACTTTTAACAACAAAAAATAATTGCGAAAATAAATCATTTTAAGCGAACTGAATCGAACAGGGGCATTTCGATGTTTCAGTTCGACATCGCGGGGACAGGAAAAATTTTATGTGGTATGGTTAGGATCGTGGAGATTCGCCAGTATATGGATGGATTTTCCAGACTTGCGCTCCTTATAGGGCCTCTGTTACGTAACTTTTATGCGGACAGGGTAAATTAACACTTAGAGTTATTCGTAATATTATTTTGGCTAATTGTTGCCAGAAGGATCCTTTTTTTGGCACGAAAATAATGAAAGTTGATGTTATTGATTTTTTATTTCAATGTGACTGGCGCATAAGGATGGAAGATCAGAAAGAAAAGCCCGATTTCAAAAATGTATAATTTTTTGATTTAAATTTTACGAAATATTTAGGTTCAAACTTTATTCTTCTGTGACGATCCAGAAAAATGGAGCACTATTTTACAGGGACTTGAACAAATATTTATATTTCTTAGAAATACCGGGAGCGGAATTTATGTCAATAAGGTATCGGAATTAGGCGAATTCATGGTGGAACCAAGAAGTATTTGAACAATCAAGTAGAGAGGACAGTGTCGAAAGTTCAAGAGTAAACCATCATCAGACCAGTGAAGTGAAGATGAAATTCACGAAGAGTTTTTTCCGTTTTTAATGCCTCGGACATTGAAATCGCACTTAAAATCGAGTCTTTTACGAGAGAATTTGCAACTAAAGGAATTAAAGAAATCGCGAGACGTATTTCTAGATGACGTCGCGTATCAACAGGTTTAAATGACTTAGGATTCATGGTTTTGAAAAAAAAAAAACACCAACACATTTTCAAGGTTCGAAGAATACAAAAAATAGGATCAATATTTGAAGTATATAGGTCAGGTAGTAAGGTCAATATTTGAATTAAATTACTTGAAATTCTACTTCAAGTAAGTACAGGTACTTCAAGTATTTTACTTGAATTACTTTTTTTGCTATGTAAGTACTTGGTCTTGTACTTCCAATATCTATTCTAAAATACCTATACTTGATTATGTCAAGTATTTTGCTTGAAGTATTTTGAGTACCTACTTATAAATAAGTTTCTTGATTTTCTTTAAAAAATAATTATTGCAATTTTCATTTCACAGTCCACAACTATCTTACCAAATATCAAAATATGACAAACGTTTTCGAATCTTGAATTAGTACAGGCTATTTGATTATGTTTGAGCCCATTATACCTCCTGTATTTATGGAGAATTTAATGCTTTTTCCAATAATACATAATTTCATTTTGCTTGAAATTTAAGTTTTTCATAAGGGTACCCCATTTGAATTTTAAAATTATTAATTAATTTATATTAAAAAAATATTATTAATTAAATTAAAAAAATTAAATAATATTAATTTTTAAAAAAATTAATATACTAAAAACCCTGTAATTTATAATATTCCCAGGCTAATAGTTTTTGAGGAAATTGAATTTGAGGTTTGAACTTTGAGGGTCAATTGTTCAAAAACTATTTGAGCTATCAAGCTCAATTTTGCACGGATTTATAGAGAATTTATTGCTCTTTCCAATGATACATAACTTTTTTCAATTTGCTCCAATATCCAACGAAGATCTGATTTATTTCTAACCGCGCCTCAAATAGTAAAGGCTGTAGGTAGGCCTAAATATAATCAAATATCCTGTAGGTATCTATTTTGGAATCATGCCCTACTTGATTTTTAGAACTGAGACTGAGATATACAAAATTTTACTCGAATCGGCGCATCTTATAACGAAAAATATAAAAAATTACTAAGCACCAAAGCACCTTAGTACTTTTTGTAATGATCCGGGAAAAATAGTCCCGATATCAACAATGTCTTTACTGTAAAAATTAAATAATATCAAATAATCAAAAACTGAATTTCCGGTATTTCCAAATCAGTAACGATAAGTTAAAAATGGAACAAATTAATGTGACCCTAAATACATTCGAAATTATATTATTTCCTACAGCGTGATGTCATCCTAACATCCGATCAATGAACTTTTTTTAACGAGGCCATAATAATTAAATCGAATGATTTATGGCATTCTTGAACCTAAAAATATCCGTATTGACTCCGATAAAATCAGAAAATTGCATCATCTTAATTGTCATGGACACAGAAATTTTCGGGGGGGGGGGGGGGGGGAATCAAAAAATATAAATACCGCGGTTTTAGAAGTGGAGGCAGTTGTTAGTTGAGTTGCCAGTTGTTAGCAGTCCAGTCCAGTTTGTGTTAAAGTCTACAGTACCAATGAGTCAGTCTGAGTAAAATTCGCGAAGCTGCCTCGGAAAATGCGTTTGATTAACTTAGAAAAAGTACGGAAAATTGTGAAAGAAATAACATTTGAAATTCGTTCAACTTATGTGCAGGCTCTAGAGATGTTTGAGTAATTAAGTAGATAATTTTACGTGTGAAAATTTAAATGTAAGTACTTTATTGGTTAATAATTTTCTGACTTTTAACAATGATTCTGAATGATAAGAATTGAATTAACAATGACTTTTAATGCTTAAAAACTTGAGTGATTTTTACTAGAAAAACTTTTTGACTTTATAATTAACTTTGGAACTTTATTGCACAAATATTAATAACTCGAGTGTTCTGACTATGGAACATTATTGCATAACTTTAATTGCGTTCAGATATAATGACATTCTAATTTAATTGTGCAAAGAACATATGAAGGGAATTTATAACAATATACAATTTTGAGTAGGAATTATGAATAATACAGTTGGGTTTATTAGCTAGGCTAGAAATCCGAGAATAGAATTTGTTCTGATTAAATAAACTATTAAATGGAATAGGAAATTTTGAAAAGAAACTTGATGTTCATGAAATAGAATTGTTGTCTTAAAAATAGGCCGGCATACACACACGTTATTTCGCGCGGTTTATCATGTCATCTGCAAAAACCTGTGAAAAATCATGTGCGTGAGTGACGAGTGCTGCACGCAATGATAGGATGGGAAGGGATTTCACACGTGCTTTCATCTGGAATGTGGCGTCAGTACTCAAGTACATGATAGTGCAGTTCACAACCGTGTCCACACGCCATTCCACGTCACGGTTTTGAGGCTAGTACGGAGACATAAACGCCGCGTAGCGAAGTATCACGTTGAAAATTAGTACATGACAACATGCACTTCCAGCGACACGATAAATGACACTTTTTACCCATACACGTACGGTTTTTCCTTTCCAACTGATATGCCGCGCGTAATCACGTGCTAAATCATTTGAATACTTTGTCTTCAAGGTCGGCATACACACACGTTATTTCGCGCGGTTTATCGTGGCGTGTTGGGATGTAGCGGTTTGCACGCGCGAAATAACGGCGTGGCAAAAAAAGCGTCATGTTCCATACACTTGACAAAGTATTCAAATGATTTCGTACGTGATTACGCGGGGCATATCAGTTTGAAAGGAAAAATCGTATGTGTATGGGTAAAAAGTGTCATTTATCGTGTCGTTTGGAATGGCATGTTGTCGTGTACTAATTTTCAACGTGATAGTTTGCTACGCGGCTCTTATGTCTTGGAACTAACCTCAAAACCGTCACGTGAAATGTCGTGTGGACACGGGGTCTGTACTACTGAAGCCACATTCCAGATGAAAGCACGTCTGAAATCCCTTCTCATTCTATCATTGCGTCCAGCCCTCCTCATTCACGTACATGATTTTCCACAGGTTTTTGCAGATGACACGATAAACCGCGCGAAATAACGTGTGTGTATGGCGGCCTTATGGAACATGTCGCTTTTTTTGCCACGCCGTTCTTTCGCGCGTGCAAACCGCTACATCCCAACACGCCACGATAAACCGCGCGAAATAACGTGTGTGTATGCCGATCTAATAGGTAGGTAATTATTTTGGGTTTTCATAAGCAGTCAGTAAAGGACTTAGAAATTTTAAAGAATTTATAGAAATAGGTGAAGGGTAGTTTGATAGGAATGAATCGGAAGTGAGGAAATGAGTTAACTTATAAGTTAATAGGAATAGTAAGAATAAGGCGTTTCTTTATTTTTATGGATATTTCAGTGGTCCTTAATAATGACATATTGAACGGATGTGAAGTAATTGAATTTATAGAAAAATAGATGAGGCTGTCAGAATTGGAAGATATTTTGCTGATTTAAATTTTTGGGTTTTATGTATAATAAAATATAATTTAGTAAACCTCAGTAGTTTGTTTCTCTCTCTTGCAAATAGACCCTTCCACAATTTTATAGGTAGCAGAGCTCCAAGGAAATAAACACCATCAATATACCGCTCGCCATTTACCATCTAACTAATTACATAGAGTACTTGGTGCGTTTTGCTACATTTTATTACTAATTTAATAAACAACATAAAGCTCAAATAAGATAACAGAATAGAATGAGGATCGGAATATACTGTGAGATAAAAAAATTACTAAGCATTGTCTTGTTTGGAACAGATTTTAGATATTTGAAATAGGCAACAAAATTACTTCAAGTATTGCTGCAAGCAATTTATTTAAAGTATTTTATAAACTTCAAGTACTGGCACTTTACTTGAAGCTCAATGTTTTTACTTGAAGTTAATTACTCGATGAAAGATGAAATTCAAGTAAATCTATTAAATATATTTACTTCATACTTGTACTTCAAGTTATGTATATACTTGTGCCCGCTCTGGGAGAAACACACAAAAACAGAACCTTTGCAAAATAAAAATTCAGGTCCAAAGAATCTTCTCATAGAATACCAGGAAGCTAAGTGATGATTCAAAATTCACGATCTTGAAAACCCCTTTAGGAAAGTTTGCACAAAGAAATATCCAAACCTGGCAATATTCTGGATTCTAAGATTTGTAAGTAGATACCTTATTTCTCATTTCTCAATAAAACTCAAATAGAACTTTTCGCAAAAAAAAAAAACAATTCAGGATCTGAAAGTCCTAAAAATCTGAGTACTTTTAGAATCTGTTTATAGAAAAACCAGGAACTTTGCAGAGAAATTACTTCAAAAAGCTTCGCAAAGGACTCAGAATGCAGAATCTCAAGATCCTGTCGTCTTCTTAGAGAAAAATAAGTCATTTGCAAAAAAGAATTGAGGATTTAAAGTGTTTTTTTTTTTTTTTTAGACAACTAGCAAATTCGAATTACTTCACTTTGTTGGTTTATACAGATGAGAGAAATAATCTAACACATAAAATAAATAGTATAGTATATTTAATAAACACAGAGAAGAAAAAATACAAAAAAACTTATTATGTCTAATTTGAAACCATTCTCAACAACCAATAATATCAAGTTGTATTTTTCCTTGATGGTAAACAATAATAAAAATGGCCAGTTAAATTTTAGTTATAGTTTTTTCAATTTGAAACATAACATCTGCTCAAATAATTACAATAAATTAGTGGCTATATACCCAATTAAAACCGGAATGATCATTTTATCCATGCAATCATTGCAACTATTTCTTTTTCCTGTCTTGTGAACACCTGGGACAATACCATTTGCCTTTGGGTTTAGTGGTGAGCTGTACGCAGGCAAAATGAAACCACTCTATTGGACACTAAAAAGTAAAAATCAGTGAAACAACCATTTTCATTAACTAGAAAAAATCACTTACATCAGGATTGTCGCATCCTATCATTTCACCGTAAGACACTTGATGACAGAGACAGTATGTGGGTTCATTTGGATCCACTGGCATGTCTAGGACATCACTTGGATGAGCGATACCGGCCAAGCCTGGAAGTACTGCTGCGACTGCTTCAGCAACTAATAAAATGGATAATAATAATTGTAATGTTTAAAAGGTCAATTCCAACAATACGTTTTTAATAATATATTGATTATACAATATACAGGGTCTTTTTATTAACAGTGTGAAGTGGATTATGCTGGACGAACAATTTCAGTGTTGTTACACTTTGTATTTTGACATTGTGATCTTGTGATAAATTATTGTGCATTTAGATAGATTCATCCTCAACTCTTACAGGATTTCCACCAATGATTGGTTTTAATTCCTACAATGATTTCTGTAGTTGAAAATAGCCAGTACAATATTTCCAAACTAGCAAGGGAAGTTAAACTACGTTCTAAAGACCCTGAAATCAGAAATGGAACATTTGCCCCATCACCACAAAAACTAGGTACAAAGTTTTCAAAAATTCTACTAATTAGGTATAACATTTACAATCATTATACAGTATTATAAAGTCTAAATGAAAGCACCTCCATTAAACATATACACATCAAGCTACACTTATCCACAATCACAACAGAAATGATGATGAAATGATACCAACCCTCACCTGACGTCGCTTTTGCCCCACTACCTGTACTGCCCCCTTTATCCGTATTGCCTCCTTTTTGCTTTTTCTTTTTGTTGCCTCTAACAGTCCCAGAAGAGTCTTCTTCGCTTGAATTGACTGATCTTTTACTCTTGTCCCCTTTGCCATCTTTAGTCTTCTTCCTTCCTTCTGGAAAATAAAACAGATGAGCCACGTTTCACTATAAATAACATCAAAACTTACTTTTTCCAACACTTGGTTCATCAACGTTTCTAGAATTCAAAGCCTTGTCTTGTATTTCGGATTCGAACCGTGCCAAATCGTTGTCTAACCGTCTGATGTGTTTATCTACTAACTCGTAAGTCTGGATTGCTAGTTGTACTTTGTCGTCACCCAATTCTTTCGCCTTGTTGTACATGTTCTGGATTTTGTCCAGTTGCTCTTTTTGCTGATCGCCGGTCAGCGTTTTTAAATTTCTGAGATATTCGTCAGCCAGCACGTCGATATTTTTCATCATACCTTGAGCTCTTTTGTCCAGGTCGCTCATCAATGTGAAATTTCTTTGTAGTTCATTTGGAAGATGTTCCAAACCTACAAGGATTGTTAGTTGGATATAAAAAAAACAAATATGATTAAGCTGGAAGACTTGAAACTGGGTTAGTGCAACAAGAACTAGCAATTTTATTTAAAAATCGTTTCAAAACATATGTGAAATTATTCTAACTTTGACCCATATTGGGAACACTTTTACTTACTATCAAGATAGTGTTCTAGGTATAGTGCTGAAGTCATTTCGATTCAAATACACAAAATTTAGGAAATAATAGAACTATTATAAAATTTTATTCAAGAAGAATGTTTACTTTTTTCAAACTATTTTCTTGTTTAAAGGAACTAGGAACTAGGAACTAAAAATAAACAAGCAAATTAAACACTGACAGATGTCAAATTTGAAATAGGTTACATTACCGTGCGTTCGGTCTTTTGATCTGAGTTCTCCGAGCATAAATTTACCGTTCGTTTATTTAAAAAATGTACTCAGTGCAGGCTCATTCACGTTCGTTCAATAAAATTTCGAGACCTCTGATACAGCGTTCAACTGCTCTGTGCGCTCGCCGGTCACGTGATTAAGGCTCCACTCTGCACGCTCTGCTCTTTGAGCAAAATACCGAACGCAAGGTTAGTTTTAGAGTAAAAATCAAACGAGAAGAAGCCAATTGACGTCATCGCTGATAAAGAAGGAGATTTCCTTTCCTCTGGGTCCCTCCTATTTGAAGTGAGACAAACGATAACGCGTGTGGCTTCTCGTTTGATTTTTACTTTATTCCTTTCACACCTAGGAGGAGCTCCGGAACCCGAACAGCTTCGGGGCGTTACGCACTTTGTGCACAAGTGTTTGTTGCACCTGAAGTGCTCAAGCCGGAACTAAACCATTTAAATGCACGAAAGCCAGCGCATCTGTTCCTTTCAAATCGGGGTCGACTAGCACCGGGCGAGTAGCTCTAGTGTTCTTAACTCTTGAAAGGAATACAACTCTCTACTGAGCGTTCGGTATTTTGATCTGAGTTCTCCGAGCATGAATTTATCGTACGTTTATTTAAAAAGTGCGCTCGGTGCAAGCTCATTTACGTTCGTTAATTACAATTTTGGGCGCTCTGATACAGCGTTAAACTGCTCTGTGTGCTCGCTGTTCACGTGATTACCGTTCCGCTTCAGCACGCTCTGCTCTTTGAGCAAAATACCCATTGAAATACGGAACGCAAGGTAAAAATCTCCTTTTGGAGTGAGCTCCATTTACTCGATTCCGTACCTGTATTTACCCTATTTCAAAGAGCTATTTATACCCGAACACAGAGAGTACTTAGAGTACACGGAGTGAGCAAGTCAAATTCTGCCAACTACACTCCAACCTTCTACATCAAAAAATTAAAAATTGTTTTTGTTTATGTTTTGAGTTTACTTTTCGAATTTTGTATTTTGTGATGTGATTTTCGAATCATGGCTACAAACCAAAGAGCTTTTACTCAAAAGCTAACAAAGTAACAAATAAAATATTTGCCTTTATAAAATATAATGAATTTTCCATTCTAGGCATCATGCTGCTGACGTTAGAAAAACTGTTTCCAATAAAACAGGATTGATTTCTCCTTCATCCAGTTCTGTAAGTTCCTTCATTATAATGTACACAATCGTATTGTAATTTTGACTGTTCCAGAGTTGGACACACGAAATAGTAGAACCTCTAGACTTTGAAGAATTTGTAGGAGCTTATCAGCTAGTAATAGACAGAGACCCATTAAGATGCATTCTAGACGTTCCACAAGGAGACGTGCAAGTGGACATTATAGAAAGGCCTGTGAGGACTTTAAAGCACATCCTTCCAGAAGAAAAAATGTAAAAATGCACTTCAAATAACTAAATTAGCTCAAACATTATTGTTTTAGTGAAACTCTGGCTCCTCATGTACAAGCTTGTGTAGAATGCTATAAATCCGTATGGAAAGTTATCAGGTACACTCACAGGCAGTTGAGCAGCAGCACCACTAGCAGATTGAATTTATCTAAAACTTTGCCACCCAGCCCTAAGCAAGAATTTGAAGTTGATTTTCAAGCACCTTCAGAAACAACTAGTGAATTAGGCAAGAATTTTTGTTAAATTACAAGCACAACAATTTCATAATATTCTTTCGATAATCAGAAGTTTACTTTGTTTCACATACATTTTAAAAAGGCCAAGATGACGTACAAACCCCTACTGACCAATAGGATTCAAATAAAGTGGCAATGCCAGGGCCAGTATTCTGGTTCTCGGAAACGCTCACCGCTTTTAAGTTGTTCGGCACTTCTAATGTAAATTTACATTAGAAGTGCTGAGCGACTAAAAAGCAGTGAGCGTTTTTGAGAATGAGAATACCGGCCCAGATCCTTTTCTAAATTTTATATTGGTGTTGTCTTAGTACTAAAATGGTGCTTACTTAGTACTGAAATAATAAAATTTCAAATTTTTTTATGTTGAGATTTTGTGTCTAAATGATCAGATCAGAAATTGAAAAATCTGGCTCTCTTAGATTCTAGCCAGTATCCCAAAGAACAACTATTCCAAGTTTGCATACGCTTGTTGCACAGTTCGGTCGTGTTTTGAATAGCTCCGCATTTGCTGATCGATTTGTGGTGATTTATTTTGCAGTTTCAAAAATTGCAGCATGGAACTCAATAGTGATGGTGGAAAAACAGTGAAAAAGAAAGAGCAATACCAGGTATCTCTAATCCAGGCAAAAGTACTTCGTTTGATTCTTCGAATATCAGCCAAGATGAAATTAATAAAATAATTATTGGTATGGATAAAGGAATGTTCAAGGCTCAGCAACAAAAAAGGGATTATAATATAAATCCAATAGATAATTTATGCAAAGAGAGTCTTCGCACAGATAACGATAATTCAAATTTGGAATCAATTTTTAAGCCTCGAAATTCTATGGTAGGGACTCCACCAGAATCACAGGAAAACAGTGAAATTGATAGTGAAGTGTTTGCAAATGAATCTATATTCTTGGAGCACATGAATTCTCAGAAAACACCTCACTCTAGTTCAAGCCCCTCTATCCTACATAGAAACAAAATTAAGAAACATAATCCCCAGGAATCTGATGGAAAAGTAAACTCTACTACAGCTAAATCAACAGAAACAATGCTAAATGCAATTCTAGATTTGCTTGAAAGCATACAAAACTTAAGTGAACTGGAAGCGTCAGGGCACAGGCAAGATATTCAGTCTGCCCTGCTTGTGATTCACAATCATGTTACGATGTTAGCATTTAAAATTGGACAAACAGAAAAAAATAATTTAGATTTGAACTATCACATTCAACAATTAACTAACGCAACAACAGAATCGCCCTTGAGCTTAGTACAAAACCGGCCTCATGAGCCCCAGTTATCACAGAGTGCCAAACCTTCTTACAGCAACGTACTAAAATACCTATGCACCGGCTAGCAATAAGCCTGGATCTTCAACAGATACAACAAACTGGAAAACTCTTCCTCCAACAAAACCCAAGCACCAGAGCTTAATCAAAATCAAAGGGCAAATATGAAATCAGCTAACATGACTGATAGTTTTAAAAAAGTAAAGCAGTTACAGAATGGGGGTGTTATTATTGAATATCAGAATGAAGAACAACAGAAAATACTAAGCGAAAGTTTAGCCAATTCGAACAAGAAAATTGAGGTTAAAAATATGAGGAATGTTGAAAAATCATTCAAATCTATACAGTGTCATTACTTAAGTGTGCAACATATGGGATTTTTTTTTAGTAATAGCACAATCAAAATACAAACAAGGCCAAAAGTTGGTGCATGTCTGATAATCATATTAGGTGCACTCAGAATGGTTGCAAGTCAAACAGCATACAGGGTGGCTCAAAAAATATCAAAATTCTACTAATATTTACTTAAATAAAATAAAACTTTTGCACTTTAAGGAGAGTTTTTTTAATATGGCTATTATCATTAGTAATGTTTCAACTTGTTAAAAAAAAAAAATTGCGACATTTTAAAGTTGTGTTGAATATCATTGCCACAAACATGAATGTTGTGATTCCAGAAAAAATTAAAAATCCAAGTTAATTTTACAAATATGCTTGAATTTGAACAAAGTTATGTAAAATTGATTTGATTTTAATTAATTTTTGAAAGTCTCAAGGGCGGGAATAAAAAATAAAAAAAATATAGAAATTATAGATTTTTTTCGAAAAAAAATAAAAAAAATCTTAGGAGGCTATGTTTTGGTATTTAGGCATAACTTTTAATAGACCGATCTCCTATTACCTGGACTGCGCGCGTCGCTTGTAGGCTGCAGGTGAGCGTCCAATGAGAAGCAAGTTTGTGACAGGCTTGCCTCATATTCTTATTCAGGGGCCATTTCAGAATGAATTGTTCCTTCTTTCTTTGTAACGTGTAATTCGACAAAGAGCAAACTAATACTTTACATATTACTCGAACTGACCGCAGTGTCGTTTAAGGTTTTGTTAGATTATACTTGACATATTCCTTTGCAATTTCATTGAATGATGTTGCCGGATGAAACATTTATCAAAATAAAAGTCCAAACGATGTTCATCCAGTTTAAAGCTCTTCTTTTGTCTGATTTAAGGCGTTGTAAAACACTTTACACTATATCACTTCTTTAATGTTATAATTTTTGATTTATATTGTCTACATTTGTTCTACAACAATACAATCTGGCTACATTGCAGCCTACGAGTTGCGCGCGCATGTCATCTTTTATTGCTTTCTAATTTGTATTTATTATAATAAGGCTCTCTTTTTCTAATCTTGCGAGATAGGTCTATTCCAAACAACTTTTCTCTATAACATTTTGCTGAATTTTCTAAAATAAGGGTACTTTACAGTACAGCTTTGATATTGTTTGAGCTACCCTGTATGCTGTTTGACTTGCAACCATTCTAAGTGCCGGTACTTTTGCTCTCATTTGACAGCCGTTAAAAATAATCAGGGGTTAGAATGTGCTCTAACCACATCATACTTATATAGACCTTGGCCCATGCAAAACTTTGACAACGTATCAAATTCGTTAATCGAGAGCAAAAGTATCGACCCTAAGTGTACCTAATATGATTATCAGACATGGACCAACTTTTGGCCTTGTTTGTATTTGGGTTGTGCTATTTCTAAAAAAAATCCCCATATGTTGCACACTTAAAAATCACACTGTATATACAGGGTGTCCCACGGTGGATGGCGTATTAGACGTTTATGGAGAACTAAAAAGCGGATCATTTTGAAAATTTCGCAACCGGGATAAACGACCATAATCTACACTTTAAAAATATTTTTGTTTATGCGGTGTTGCCGCTTCTACTCTAAACTAGTGGCAACATCGCTATTTTAAATGGAACACCCTGTATGTGATTGCATATTTCGATTCTACGTAAAATTCTGAGCAGTTTTCATGTTATATACCCTATACCTAAGTTCAACTGTTTTGGAAAGAATGACAGTTCAAAATTGACTTTTTGCAACTTTGACAGGCTGTAAAACCTGAACGGTTAATTTTAGAGGAAAACCGATTTTACATTTCTATCTTAGATTTTTATAAACTATAATTTGACACCAACTTTATATTTAATCCATGATTAAAAATTCCAATTAAATTTAATCTCCGGTTAAATTCAGAGTTGGTGTCAAATGATAGTTTATGAAAATCTAAGATAGGAATGTTAAATCGGTGTTCCTCTAAAAATTAACCGTTTAGGTTTTACAACCTGTCAAAGTTGCAAAAACTCAATTTTCAACTGTCAATATTTCCGAAATAGTTGAACTTAGGTATAGGGTATATCACATGAAATCTGTTCAGAATTTTACGTAGAATCCAAATATGCAATCACATACAGGGTGTTCCATTTAAAATAGCGATGTTGCCATTGATTAAGAGTAGAAGCGGCAACACCGCATAAACAAAAATATTTTTAAAGTGTACAATATGGTCGTTTATCCCGGTTGCCAAATTTTCAATATGATCCGCTTTTTAGTTCTCCATAAACGTCTAATACGCCATCCACCGTGGGACACCCTGTACAATATAAAACACAGTTGGGTTGGTTCCACTACTTATAACTCGAGAACGACTGGACTGATTTTTATGATTTTTGCTTTATTGGATTTGCCTTTGTCCCGAATAATATATACAGTACAACCTCGATAATCCGAACTAATTATTACTAAGGTCAGTTCGGATTACCGATTTGTTTGGATTATAAAATATATGTGGTAAATTTAACTTAAATATGCAAATATACAAGTTATGCTTTTTTAAAGCTTACAAAAAAAAGGTTACCTTAGTACTAAAATGATCAAATTTCAATTTTTTTCATAATGAGATTTTGTATCTAAATGATCACTCGGGATCCCCCAAACTCCATGCCTGAAAATTATTTGACAATTCGAAACTTAAAATATATTCTTCCTACAAAAATAGGTATGTCACTTTCAGCCACTGTTTATAAAATTAGTCCCCCCAAATTAATTTTATAATCTAATCAAAGTGTTTACACACTCAAGACTATTCCCAAAGAATCCAGACAAAACGTGCCAATTATGTTATGCGGGTGCATCAAACAACGTTGCCAGTAGTAGCAGTATATAGCAATAATCTTATTGTTTATTTATTCATTTATTTAGGTAGGCTTTATTGTTAATAAACCTTATACTGGCAAATATTGGGAAAATAACTACATTATACTAACTCTCTTTTTATAGCGAAGATACTATTGGTTGCAGTAATTAATTTTATTTTCTTTTTGAGGAGAAACTTCTCCTAGTAAATAGATTTATTTCTTATGTAAAAATATAGTTTAGTTGGTTTTTGTATATTGTATACCTACCACCGAATGAATCTCCCTTCCCCTGCTCTGCTAATTATTGATAGAAAGTAATCACTTTCTATATTATTAGTTACTTATTAGAACCTCCTTTTTTCTTAACCATCCTACTTAGAAAAATAATCACGCCAATAAATAAATTCTAGATCTGACCTCACAAGGTACGGGCAGCAGCCGCCAAAGCATAGTCTCCATAGGTTCTCTATCTTCATGCGGAGACACTCTAACACCGAGAAACTCGTGGGCATCTCTAGATTTAAGACACTCTGCCGGAGACGCTCTGATTCCAGAAATTTTGGAACAGTCCATTCTAGAATCGCAAGATCAAGTGAACGAAAGCCAGAGGCAAATCGAACGCCAGGAAACTGTTTTCGCTCTCGTCCCTCAAGATTTTCAAACTGAAATTCAGGAACCGGTCGAGAAGAGGTTGCCTGCTAACGCTCCTAGTGAACATCTAGGGCATAGGGTTTTGGTTAAATGTCAACAACTAACGTAAGTAATTTTGTGAGGTAATTTCTGATTCTCAATAGGGCATTTTTTGCAAGGATGGATATTGAAGTGGAACCTTTATTCGCATCCATGGCTCTCTACGACTCCAAAGAAAAAAAGAAAGTTTCTGAAACCTTTTACTTTGATGTGAATCCAGAAGGTTTGAAAAGAATGCTGGGAGGTCATGTGGCCTATGCCGATCCCAGTACCTTGGCTAGAAGTTGCATTTTCAATATAACACATCCTTCACCTGATCTTTTTATTGTTGTTAGACTCGAAAAAGTACTTCAAGGCGATATAAATGAGTGCGTAGAACCATATTTAAAGGAAGAAAAGGTTAGAGATCTTCTTTGGGCAATTATTTTCAAATATATAAAAATCGCTTGTTACAGAATCGTGACAAATTAAAATCAATAGCAGTCTCTGTATGTGAAAGATTAGGTAAATATCGGCAAGCTTTTGCCTGGACAGCAATTAATTTGGTTAATATTACTAATGGAGGCAATTCTCTGGAAAGAGAATTTGATAGAGATTCTACTGGAACTGGTTCCAATACCAATAGTTTAGGTAATAATAATTATTAATCTTGAATAATTATTTTATAAACGTATATTTATTATTTTTTTATTTTCCCTTTTCAATTTGTATGACATTGAGTTAATATTCTAGATCGCAAATCTTCAAGTAGCGGTTTAGATCAACTTCGTCGTAAAGCCACAGACATGGGCACTTTAACCCGAAGAGGCTCCTTGGAAAGAAAAGACAAATGTCGTTCCTGGTCGCCTGATCACCTTGCAACAAACTTGGACACTTTTAGACCAATAACATTAACGATGTCGTCGTTTTTCAAGCAAGAAGGCGACAAATTACGCGACGACGACTTGTACAAGTGCTTACAAGAACTCAAAAGACCCACGCTTGTTTTGAAAAAGCTAAAATGCATTCCTGCAACTTTTAAGTTGGAAATTTCACCTTGCCCTCCTGAGTTGAAAAACTGTCTGACTACCGAATTGGCCAAGCTGCATCCATATCCAGATGACAAAAGCAGGCCAACTAAAGAACTTTTAGAGTTTCCGGTCAAGGAAATTCTAGTTCCGCATTATATTTATAGAAATTTGCTTTTCGTTAGTCCCAAGGACCTGAATTTTTCCAATAGAAACGGATCAGCGAGGAACTTGGCTGTGAAAATTCAACTAATGGCTGGCGAAAGCGATACTCATTGTTTGCCCAACATATTTGGAAAATCCAGCTGCCCAGAAATGGCCGCAGAAGTGTTTTCAGCTGTAACTTATCATTCCAAAAACCCAGTTTTCTATGACGAGTTCAAGATTAAATTGCCAGCTTCGTTGGCCGACAATCATCATTTATTGTTCACGTTTTATCATATTTCTTGTCAGAAAAAAGTCGAACAGAATGTTGTGGAGACTCCTGTAGGATACACTGTAGGTGGACTTTAATTTGATTTATTTTAGAATATAAATAAACTAATATTTTTCAGTGGTTACCTCTCCTCAGAGATGGTCGTCTAGTCTCAGGCGAATTTTGCCTACCAGTAATGCTAGAACCTCCACCTCGCAACTACAGCTACATTCCTCCAGACGTATTTTTACCCGGAATGAAATGGCTAGATAGTCACAAAGGCCTTTTCACTGTCATTTTAGATACAGCTTCTTCTGTGCACACCCACGATCCACCCATAGAACGCTTCTTTGCTGCTTACGATTACGTCAATACTGGTCTTATACCTACTCGCTTAGGAGAAGTTGGATCTGAGAAAGAGTTAACGTAAGAACTTGCAAATAATGGCGTGAAACGGTTTATATATATTTTTTTTCAGTACTTCAATGTTGGGCTTGGCAGGAGCTCGCCCTGAAACCATCGTTAAACATTTACCCCAAATTTTCGATAGCCTAATTGAGCTATTAGTGCAACCACCTCGTATTTCAGGTCATATGATTAATGTAGGCTCGACATGTTTTGAAACACTTTGCCTCCTGCTAGAAAACATTTCAGTAAGCAACTAATTGATAATATGCATCCAATATTAACACACATCTGTCAATAGAATCTTCAAGAATTAGCATCTGACCAGCACGGCCGCAATTCCTTATTAGCCACCTACATTCAATATCAATGCAATATCCCACATCCATCAACAGGTGGTACTCGCGGTTCTCCTTCCTGGGAAACCAGTGGGTTGGTTAGAAGCAACTCAAATCCTGACTTGGAAGTATCTCACTATCAACCTAGAGGCTTGGATAGAGCTGCCAGCATGCGAGTACCTACAAATGAACCTCCTGTTAGTCCCAGTTTCAATTCTTGTCCGAGAATCGTCCATCAAGAGTTAGCCTATCAATGGACAATAACTAGCGGCCGTAACAAGGATTTAGCCATGCAAAATGCTTGGTTCTTATTTGAGTTGATGATTAAAAGCATGGTGGAGCATTTGGCACATACTAGAAGCTTGGACGCTCCCAGGAAAATTAGATTTCCCGATCAATTTTTGGACGATATTTCTTCTTTGGTGCAATATGTCACTATGGAAATTATAGGGCACTCTGCAGGAGAAATTCGTAAAGCTCACAAGTTGAACGCCGCTTTGGCGTTTTTCTTTTTCGATTTGTTATCTATTGCTGACAGGGGATGGGTCTTGCAACTCTTAAGGAGCTACATCAAAGATATACAAACAAAAATCTCTTCAAATGCTGATGGAAGTATTTTAGTTGAGCTGAAATTGGAATTTGCTAGGATTATATGCAGTCACGAGCATTATGTTGCTTTGAATTTGCCATTTTCTTCACCGTTTATGTCGTCTGCGGCTAGTGTTTCACCTAGTCCAAGTGTTACTAGTTCGACTAGTCAAAATTCGTTTTTGTCAGGGGCCCCGCCCAGTCAGGAACGTGTTAATACTTTTGCCGAGCTATCGCCAGAATATAGGCAACATCATTATCTAGCCGGGATGATTTTAGGAGATTTGGCCACTGTCTTATTAGAAACACAGTAAGAATTTTTAGCTAAGAAGGTTTGGGATTTGAATTTGTTTTTTTCTAGTTTACCATCTCTTCACCTTAAAGCAGTGGATACTATTAAATCTTTGCTGTCCTGGCACGACAGCGACCCGCGCTACTTGTCTCCAGAAGCCCGCCATCGTGTGGCTGCCTTATATTTTCCCTTATTGTCCATTGCCATGGACGTGTTGCCATTGCTGCACAGTTTTTCTGCTGACAAAAATGACAGTAGATTCACCCACGACGATCTCGGCCCTACCAATATTAATCCTAATGTCGCTATGGTTATAGCTGGCAAATTGCCACATTCTACTTGTGATTCATTCCAAACGGTAAATATCAATTTCAGTACCATTCTAATATTCAAATGCTATTTTCTGTTTTCAGTTACAAAATCGTAAAGGTATAAGTGCAGAGGCCACCCGCAACCTCCTCACCTGCGTCCTCTGGACCCTAAAAAATGTGGAACGTGAGTCCTTGTCTCAGTGGATGAGCGAGCTGAGTTCTAGCAGACTGGCGACCCTTCTGCACCTGCTCGATGCCTGTACTAGCTGCTTTGAGTATCGTCCGAGACGTAGAGCACCACCTTCTTCAGGCTACGCCCACGCGCAAGTCACTCAAGACATGAGGTCCAGGCTCGAGGACATTATTTTGGGACAAGGCTCGGCTAGAGAGATGATGCAACGCAGAAAAGGTGGCACTCCTCAAGCTGCAACTGAGAAACTCAGATGGCGCAAAGAGCAAATGACTTATAGAGTTAGTACTGATTTACAAGAAAGGCCTAGAGATGATACTTATCACGATGCCCATTTGGATGGTCACTTTGCCACTGAGGCTTCGTTTATTATTTTGGACTCGTTGGAAAGATCTGTTTCAACTATAGCACAACTGGACACGCAACAGCATTTAGTAGGACTAGCTTTATCAGTCTTGTTGCATGCTTTAGGTAAAAACCAAAGCACCACGGTATTGCCTCACATGTTTGCCTCACAAAGGAGCTTGGTTTTTAAGTTTCACAGTGCGCTGTTTGACGAGGAAAGTTCACATTGTGCAGATTTGTGCCTATTATTGCTAAAACACTGTGGATCTCAAATAGCAGCCGTCAGATCTCAATCTGCCGCTTCATTGTACCTACTCATGAGACAAACGTTTCAAATTGGTAATAATTTTGCCAGAGTTAAAATGCAGGTTACAATGTCTTTGAGTAGCCTAGTAGGTACTTCTTCGTCGTTTAGTGATGATTCCCTGAGAAGATCCTTGAAAACCATTTTGGAATATGGCGAAAGAGACTTGGAGCTGCAAGAGACCACTTTTCCAGAGCAAGTCAGAGACTTGGTGTTCAATTTGCACATGATTTTATCTGACACAGTTAAAATGAAGGAGTTCCAAGAGGATCCGGAAATGTTGTTGGATTTAATGTACAGAATTGCGAAGGGCTATCAAAATTCACCGGATTTAAGGTTGACTTGGTTAGCGAATATGGCTCAAAAACATATGGAGAGAGGCAAGGATTTTAGTTTAGTTAGTTGTTGGGTTTATTGAATAGGTGTTTTAGGTAATCACACCGAGGCTGGTATGTGTCTGGTGCATTCTGCGGCACTGGTTGCTGAATATTTGGCTATGTTGGAATCTTTACCTTATTTACCAGCTGGAGCTGCTGCTTTAGAAAAGGTTTGTTTTTGATTATTAATTTTCTAAAGTGATGATTTTAAAGCGTCATGGGTATTTACTGCAAAAGGAGTTGTTGGATTACAGAATTAGGGTTTTTTTTATGAACAGAATATTCTTGCTCATTTAGCAGACAAATTGAAAAGTTACATTCAAATTTTTAGGTGAGTCCAAACGTTTTGGAAGAAAGCGCCGTCTCAGATGACGTCCTCAGTCCAGAGAGAGAAGGCGGATGCTTGGGATCTCATTTTACCGAGGCCGGTTTGTTAGGCTTGTTAGAACATGCAGCTAGTAGCTTTCAAGTAGCTGCTATGTACGAGCCGATGAACGATATTTACCGAGTTCTCATCCCTATAGCTGAGAATAACAGGGATTTTAAAAAACTTTCTAATATTCACGGGTAATGAAAATTGAACTAATAAAAAAATTCAAATCAAATATATGTTTTGTTTAACAGGAAACTGCACGATGCTTATACCCGGATCGATCAGTTGCAAGGCAAAAGGATGTTTGGAACCTACTTCCGAGTCGGTTTTTACGGTTCCAAATTTGGCGATTTAGATAAGGAAGAGTTTGTTTATAAAGAACCTACTTTAACCAAGCTGCCTGAAATTTTCAGCAGGCTCGAGAATTTCTATGCGGAACGGTTTGGTGCTGAAAACGTTTGCATCATCAAAGATTCGAATATTGTAGACTTAAATTCCTTAGACCCAGACAAAGCTTACATACAAATTACTTATGTTGAACCATATTTTGAGCAATTTGAGTTGAGGTATCGGCAAACGCACTTTGATAGAAATTTCAATATTAGTAAGCAACTTACATCTACTTCTACTGATATTTTTTATTTATTAATATTGTCTTTAATTATAGAGAAATTTGTTTATGCAACTCCTTTCACCATGACTGGCAAGGCTCATGGTGAACTAAAAGATCAATACAAAAGAAAAACCATTTTAACTACTTCAGTGCATTTTCCATATGTAAAAACTCGAATACAAGTTGTGGCAAGGATTCAAATAACTCTAACACCAATCGAAGTAAGTACACTAACAGTTTGCTTGTTCGAAATATTAAAAAACTAACACTTCAGGTGGCCATTGAAGATATCCAAAAGAAAACAACAGAACTAGCTATTGCAACTCAACAAGAACCGCCAGACCCAAAAATACTACAAATGGTACTTCAAGGTTGTATTGGTACCACCGTAAATCAAGGGCCTTTAGAGATGGCTCAGACTTTTTTGCCTGGCGATGGAAAACCACTCACTAAGCATCAGAACAAGCTCAGATTGTGTTTTAAAGATTTTTCAAAGAAGTACTTAGTCAATGAAATTTTGAATTATGTTAATAAATATATATTTTTAGGTGTTGTGACGCATTGAAAAAGAATAAGAACCTTATTGGGCCAGACCAAAGAGATTACCAAAGAGAATTGGATAGGAACTATAAGAAGTTTATTGAAAAATTACAGCCTTTAGTGAACCCGCAAAATATTACTATTGTCAATACTAGGTAATAAAAGGGTTTTGATTTTCATGGAAAAAGAAATAATTTAATGTTTTTTAGCCCTAATAAATTTTCCAATGCACCAGAAACTTCCCTGCTTAGGTGGTAAATGACCAGCAATATTTCATTATAAGATATTTTAGACTCTTTAGGAATAGGCTTAATTATTTATTCAAACTTTTTTATAGTATGCTTTTATATGTAAGTGCAAAATATTATATATTACCTAGCGATTGCCGAGAGAGAAATTAAATTAAATACAAAAAAAAATAACAGTATTTATTTTAAAATTTAATTTTATTCTAAAATAATATTCAGTACAGTAGGAAATACTTTTTTTCTGTGAAGGGATAAAAGTAGACAGCTCTCGCTGTGTTGACCTCGCGCTAAACGTACTTTTTTCCCTTTTATAATAAATAACTATTTTTTTATTTCTTCTTTTTCTCCTCTGCTTTTTTTTTCGACTTTTTATCTTTTTTCTTATACTTTCCAAACCCCTTTCTAACCATGGTACCTCTCCACCATGATTGGACTTTTGTAGCCGCATTGTCTTTTCTTCTTTTTTCCTGCTTCAATTTTTCCTGTTCCACTTTGTGCTCTTTGTAGGCGTCGATTTGATCTTGTCTTTGAATGTACTAAAAAAAAGGAGTTAAGATCTAATAAAAAATAGTTTTGCATTAATTTTTACCTTCTTTACCATTGCTGCAGTTTTATCTTGTTGTTCATCTTTCTTCATTTGCAGATTCATTATTTTAGCGTTCATAGTTTTCAAATCGTGCTCATATTTCAGCTTCCACGTTTTTATTTGTCTTTGATAATCCTGCAAAAGGCTTGTTAACAAAACATGCTGAAACCGTATGAGAAAACTTACTAAATCGATTTCATTAAAAATATTTCCAATTTCCAGGTGGACTCTATCTTCTTTTGTTAAATCTTGCTGAGACTCTAAAATAGTTTCACTAGTTTTTTCTTCTTTTTTATTGAGAGTGTAGTTTTCCATTTCGATTTTTCCGTTTTGCCAACTTTGAAGATACTTTAGCTTGATGTCAGCTTCTTGCTGAAAATCCTATAAACGCATTTGTAATTTCTACAGGGTGTTTTTTATATATTGACGCCCCACTTACAGCATTTACCTTTACAGGTAGATGAAACTACAAAAGTTGTACAGTATTGGCTGAATTTTTAGAATTCATGGTCAAAGACAAAAATTGAATGTCAGAAATGTGAAATGTTGCATGCTATATTTGGTTCTATAATCTTGAAGAGCACAATTTCCCGATTTCAAAACGTATAGTTTGTCTATATTTGGTTGAGCCCTCTCTCACATATTTGGTTCTAAAAATTTTAAAAATATCAGAGAAACCAAGTAGGTACCTCAAATTTTACCTGCAGCATTCATCTGTACAGGTAGAATGGTTCACAAAATCTAGGATAGTATTTTTACAATTTTTGGAGCCGAATATATGAGAGACTGCTCAATCAAATATAGACAAACTATTAATTTTTGGAATCGGGGCATTGTGCTCTTCAAGAATATAGAATAAAATACAGGGCGTCCCTTTTGAAAAAAGTTGGAAGCATGCAAAATTTCACATTTCTGACATTTAAATTTTGTTTCTGACCATGGTTTCTAAAAATTCAACCAAAACTGTAGAACTTTTGTATTTATATCGTTCTTCTACCTGTAAAGGTAAAGGCTGTAGGTGGGGTGTTAATATATAAAAAAACACCCTGTACAAATAAGTGGATTATTGCGGAACTTATGGGTAGGTGTAGTTTTTAAACTAATGGGAATAACTCACATTTGAGTGAGTCAGGTTAGTATCGTACTTAAACAACATATTGAGGAATAGATGGCTGCGGAACTTGCTGCGCTCGTCCCGCAGAAGTCCACCCATAAGTTCCGCAACAATCCACTCGTTTGTACTTGAATAACTTGTCACATTATGTTACTAGTTTGGTAAAGTAACATTACTAATTCCTGATAAAAGGCAAATTGACAAAAATTGAATAATCTTACAAATTTTGACTTTATATAATAAGTTATTGTTCAAGTACAAATAAGTGAATTATTGCGGAACTTATGGGTGAACCTCTGCGGGACGAGCGCAGCGAGTTCCGCAGCCATCTATTTACCAAAATGTGGTTCAAGTACGATACTAACCTGACTCACTCAATGTCATTTATTCTCATTAGTTCAAAGACTACACGTTTCAGGTTTCAGGTGAGTGTCTTATTTGAATAGTTCAACAATATTGGTGAGTAAATGGCTGCGGAACTCGCTGTGCTCGTCCCACAGAGGTCCACCCATAAGTTCCGCAATAATCCACTTATTTGTACTTGAACAATAACTTATTATATAACATCAAAATTTGTAAGATTATTCACTTTTTGTCAATTTTTGGAGCCAAATATATGAGACACTGTTCAATCAAATATAAACACACTATATATTTCTGGAATCGAGGCATTGTGCTCTTCAAGAATATAGAATGAGATATAGGGCATCCCATTTGGAAAAAGCGGGGAGCATTTAAAATTTCACACTTCTGAGATTCAAATTTTGTTTCTGAACATGGTTTCTAAAAATTCAGCCAAAACTGTACAACTTTTGTATTTACACCTTTCTTCTACCTGTAAAGGTAAAGGCCTGTAGGTGGGGGTGTCAATATATAAAAAAACACCCTGTACACTGGCAAGTAAAAAAACTGTGATGTATAAATTATAGACCAATTCCTTTTCCCCACTGTCCCTCAAGCTAACAACAAATCACTCAATAAAAATGAGGAAAGTTCAAATTCCTCTTACCAATCTTACCTCAATTTCATCTTTCAAATTGCCAATTTTAGTCATAACTTCATCAATTTCACGTCTAAACATTGCTCTTTCTTGGTAATAAGTCTTTTGCAATGCCATATATTCCTCCTCTTTACATCTAGTGTCTTCCAACAAATCAGCTTCTTCTTCTTGGAGTCTCTTAAAAGTATTAGTCAAATCAGACAAGATTTGATAAGTGCCCTTTTCACGAATCTCATTGAAAGTTTTCTGGATAGTTGATTCTATGAATGAACAATCCCGTCTAAAATCCAAAAGATCCACTCTGTCTTTGGTTTCACTTGGCAGCACGTCGTCATTTTTAATAGTATTGCATTGTTCCTCAATAGTTTTGTATTCTACCACTGTTTGATCATCTTCAGACCAACCGTTGATGCTTTTCAAAATTGCCAACTCGTCAAGGGTTTCACTGAGAATGCACAGAATTATTTGTTTAGCTAAATCTTCAAAAAATGTTGATTCTGCCATGATGAGAATGGTTTTGTATTGATTAAACAAGTAGGGTACATATCCATTGATCAAACAAAATACGAAAAGAGGGGCAAAAATCATTGCAATATATTATTTGAATCCATAAAACACTTTTTTTTTAATCAATAAATAGTCCTTCTTAATTAACTTCTAATTATTATTTATTGACGTATTTACAAACATAAAAATATACAGAAGGTTAACATGAAGCCCTTTGCTGAACTTCAGCAAATTTTCTCATTCTGCATTCAAGTTCCGGCCTGAAATGCCTAATTAGACCTTGTATAGGCCAAGCAGCACCATCTGCTAAAGCGCAAATAGAATGACCTTCCACTTGTTTGCTGATTTCCCATAGCATATCAATTTCTTCGATTTTTGCGTTACCATCAACAAAACGATAAATGATTTTGTTCATCCAATGAACTCCTAAAGAAAATCAGTTGAAAAAGATTGATATAAATAATTTGCCATATTTATTACCTTCTCTGCAAGGTGTGCATTGTCCACAGGATTCATGTTTGTAGAACATAAGAAGCCGAGCAATCGCTTTAACAATATCAGTTTGTTTGTTCATTACAATCACAGCAGCGGTACCTAAACTCGTTTGGGCAGCAACTAGTCCATCAAAATCCATAAGGACATCTTCACAAACCCTTAAAACAATATTTTAGAGATAAATGGTTTTGTAAATACGTGTAGCTTACTTTTTGGGAATTAATGGAGTTGAAGATCCTCCAGGAATGATGGCTAACAAATTGTCCCAACCGCCAACGATACCACCAGCATGAATTTCAATGAGTTCTTTCAGTGGTATGCTCATTTCCTCCTCAACGGTGCAAGGCCTGTTCACATGCCCCGAAATGTTGAACAGTTTAGTGCCAGAGTTTCTGGTTCTGCCAAATGATGCAAACCATGCTCCACCTCTTCTAAGAATTGTCTAAATAACAAGAAAAAAATGTGAATCAAAACAGAATACTCATAATGTCTGTACTTACAGGTGCTACAGCTACAGTTTCAACATTAGTCACAGTTGTGGGACAACCAAACACACCAACATCTGCTGGGAATGGCGGTTTTAGTCTGGGTTTACCCTGTTTGCCTTCAATGGATTCAATCAAAGCAGTTTCTTCGCCGCAAATATAAGCTCCCGCGCCGCGATGCATAAACACGTCAAAATCAAACCCAGAGTTGCAAGCATTTTTGCCCAATAATCCTGCTTGATAAGCCTAAAGAAATTTTTTTCAACTACAAACAAACATTGATAGGATTTTTACCTCTGCTATGGCCACTTGCATGTTGGAAGCCTCATTGTAAAATTCGCCTCTTATGTAAATATAAGCTGCTTTAGCTCCCATTGCTTTGCCAGCAATGAGACAACCTTCAACCAATTTATGTGGATCGTGACGCATGATTTCACGATCTTTGCAAGTGCCAGGCTCTCCTTCGTCAGCATTTACTACCAGATATTTTGGTCTGCCATCGCTGGGTTTGTTCATGAAGGACCATTTCATACCTGAAGGAAACCCTGCCCCGCCTCTACCACGTAAGCCAGATGTTTTGACTTCATCTACAAATAATGTTGTAAAAAATTGAATACAAAAAGGCAGAATGCTTACTGATAATCCAATCAGCTCCTTTCAGTAAAATTTCTTTGGTTTTGTACCAATCGCCGCGTTTGATTGCACCCTTGAGCCTCCAATCGTGTTTTCCATATAGATTGGTGAATATTCTGTCCTCGTCTGCAAGTGGACCAAATTTGATTTTGGTTTGTGGTGGTGGTGTGCCTGGAGGTGGTCCGGCCGATAGTGATCTCAGGGTGAGACTAATCGTAGGGTAACCTGAAAATCATTATGAGTGAGATATTAACCAAGAATTTAGGTAACTGCCTGATTTGGATATTTGATTCATAGATAGATGTTATTTTGTTTTTTGGTATGGAAAATGAGAAGATATTCAATCTGTAAGAAAAGAACAAGTTTGAACAGCCATTTAGTGGCCAGAAATTAACCAGTTTTATTGCAGGTCCAGTTTTTTTTGTCAGCCTTTCGATCCCATGCTCTGCACTGAAGCTCATTGTGGCTCGAAAAAAACTAGAACGACCTTCAATGTGATTTTTTGAAAATCCTATTTTTTTCCAAAATGACATGAACACTTATTTTGCCTCACAACTTTGTTAATTTTAATCCGATCTTAACTTTATTAGGCTCAATGTAAGGCCACTTAAACTATCTACAAATCTAGTTTAGTTAATAGTTTCAATGCAGCTTCAACGAACCAGCGGAAAAACAAAGAGAAAGCTAATTTTTTGAAAATTTCCATTGTTTTTCTTCTCATTCCCAATTTTTGTTGATTCCAGGTGCTTGAATTTTCTTTGTATTTTTTTTTTTTTATTTTTTTTTTAACAATCCTTTATTCAAGCTTTATTGTACATAAATTTTACAAATAAATAGCATTCCATATTTTTCTTGCTTGAGTTAAAGGTAATCTCCTAAACAGTGCAAAAAGCACTGGTATCGGAATATTAAGTACTTTAACAAGGTGTTCGTTAATCTTAAATCTTAAATAGTAATCCATCACCTACTTACATAATAATTAACAAAGCAAAATATAGTTCACTTAAAGTAATTTTTTACATTCTTTACAAACCTATTTTTTGACTTTTCGTCTTTTAACCTTGTAGGAAAGGAATTGAAAGTTCTTGATGCCTCACTAATGGGATTTCGAAGTGCAATATTTGTTCTTACATTAGCCAGGTGGATGTCATTGCTATTTCTCAAGTTATAGTTATGAATCTGATTAGAGTGAATTATGGGTGTATTACATTTTAGTTTATTAATAATAATTGTATGCATTAATTTTGACTGCTCGATACTGAGGATCTGATTTAATGATTGCAGACCTAGCATTTCATATCACTCTTTAGTATGAGTGTGATAGTCAAGACTAAACAGTGTTTTAAGTATTTTATTCTGCAGAGTCTTGGTTTTTTCGAAATATGATATGCTGCAAGTACCCCGTACTGGGATAAGGTATCTCATGACTGACAAAAAATATGCATTATAAATTTTATATTTAGCATTATTGCTTAAAGAAACCAACTTATTTTTTATATGTTGAATATGTTCTGCCCATGTGAGGTTTTCATCAAGCACTAGCCCCAAATATTTAATACTGTCAACTTTCTGTAATTCTGAGTCTTTTATACTTATAATAATTATATTATTTACATGTTTATTTTTTTGTTTAAGTACCATATATTTTGTTTTTTCTATATTTAGCATTAATTTGTTATCTAACAGCCAATTATAATATCTATCTAAATCACCATTTGCAAATTCGACTAGATTATTTTGATCACTATCCGCATTTCTTCAAGAGGCTAGAATAGACAAACATTTAGACCAAAAAATGCGAAATGGAGCACAAAATATTTTGAAAAAATGTTGCTCAGGGTCATGAATAAGATGTTGTATATTACATCTGATAACAATGGAAATATTTCTTAGGATTTTCTTAATTGAATGAAGAAATTGAGGGAAAAAAGGGCCAAAGTAAGCCAAACAAATTTTGCTTGCTAGCAAGGGGTCATAAGATTTGTACTGGGTGTTTGTTTATAACTGGAACACACAGTAACTTTCTTATTATTGAAAATAAAGGTCCGTCATAGGTATACAGGATGCGCCAGAAATGTATTGTTTTTAAAATCTATCTATCTATCTATTTAGCCTTCTTTAGTCCATCTTTGGTCGTGGGCCTCCCACAGTCTTCTCCATTCCTCTCTGTCTGTTGTTCATCCACCTGGATCCAGCGTGCTTCTTTAGGTCATCAGCGTACCTCATCTGGGGTCTTCCTCTACTTCTTTTATTCTCCCAAGGTCTCCAGCTTAAAATACATTTATTCCATCGGTCATCTTTTTGTCTGATATTGTGACTTGCGAATTTCCATTTTAATTTTGCTACCTCCTTTCTCAAGTCTCTTACTCTCGTTTTATTTCTTATCCACTCGTTCCCTCTTTTTATCTATCAGTTTCACATGTAACATTTGTCTTTAAATTGATCTTTGTGCTTTTGTTATTTTAACCATGTTTGACTTTGTAAGTGTCAATCTCGGTGTCAATGTTTGGGATCCATAGGTGAGGACAGGAAGTATACATTGATTATACACTTTGTTTTTGAGGTATTGTGGATATTTTCTATTTTTCAGGATGTAGCTTAAGTTGCTGAATCCTGCCCAAGCCAATCTAACTTGTTTCTTGATTTCTGCTGTTTGGTTTTCTTTGTTGAGTATAATAATCTGTCCTAGATATATATATATATATATATATATATATATTCGTCGACTTGTTCTATTTTTTCTTGTCCTATTCTGATTGTGATGTCATCGTTTGTATTCGTTATTGTTTTAGTTTTAGCATAGTTCATATTGAGACCTATGTTTTTAGCTGCTGTATCAAGTTCTTCCAACATTTCCGTCAGTTCTTCTTTGTTGTCAGTTATTAGGGCGATATCATCTGTGTATCGTAAGTTGCTCAAGTGTTGTCCGCATATTTTTATACCTTTTTCTTCCCAGTCTAGTTTTTAAAAAATATCTTCCAGGGCCTGGTTGAAAAGTTTAGGTGATATTGTGTCGCCCTGTCTGACACCTCTTCCTATTGGTTTTGTTCCCTCATGAATTTTAACAGTTGTTGTTGCATCTCTATATATGTATTTTTTTAAAATAGAACACCCTATATATTTTTGCTATCCAAACAATGTTCGATATTTTTGTGATGCCAATTTTCTAAAATTTAAAAAATGCAAAAATACCTATACAGGGCGTTCCATTAAAAAAAAAAATACTTTTTTGACACACGCTGTATACCTATCTATAGCGACAAAAAAATCTCGTTGCAGCGATTAAAATTGTTGCAATTTGCCAAGAAATTTTCCAATTTAAGATGCCCTTCATTTTCAATAATAAAAAAGTTATTGATTGTTCCAGTTATAAACAAACACCCTGTACATTGTCCTACAGTACCACACATATTTTCAAAGTCACAACTAGAAACAGATCCAGAGAGCCGAGCAGAAAGATTCTTTTTCTTTGCATAACAGCAGTCCTGTATGGTCCTGTTGAAGGGCCCGTATGGTACTGTTGAAGTACTGTATGGTCCTGTTGAAGTGCTGTGTGGTCCTGTTGAAGAACTGTTTCAAGTCCTGTAGGGTACTGTTGAAGTTTTGTTTGAAAATGCCTACATATAAATTTTCAACTTCAAAGCCCAAATATGAAATCCAGTATTTTAAATTCGATAAACCCGGTTACTTTTGCTCATTGCTTGCCTTTATACAAATTTTGGCTCTTTTGAATATTTGGCACAAAATGTTCACAGATTGATAGGAAATTTTGCAGGTTAGAATATCAAATATACAAAATCAAACTACTAAATTTATTTGTGGAGGATACAAAAACTACAAAAATAACACAGAAGACTTATATTACGCAAACAATGCAACGTAGAGTCGAGACAATAGTTGTTAAGTACAAAAAAAGTATGATATAATCAGTCAATAATTAGCCAAGCAAAAAAAAAAACTTACCATTTTTAGATAAAGTTATTTTGGAGAATATACGGTTTGCCATTTGGGAAATTGGATCGCTCCGAGCTAATTCGAAATCAACACAGGCACAGCACCACAATTATGTTATATTTATTATTAATTAAAGAGACTTTTTAAAGTTTTTATGGAAAATGAATGATAAAATTGTAAAATGGCAATAATGATGGTTGTTGTCCTGCAACCAAACATACACGAACCCTGCTCGTTGAAGTTTGAATTGCGTATTAAAACTACCTGCACTAGAACAATTTGAGCTGGGTTCGGCTTGCACACTCCGAGTGACTCTCTTCGCACTCCAGCTGTTGTCTGATTCGTTAAAGGGGGTGTGCGCCAAAAATTAAAGTTTTAGTGTAAAAAAATCTAAGAATAACTGTTCAAACCTCGTTATTCTACGATAAACCATCGCTGAGATATACCGCTTTAAAGTGTGGACGACGCTCTCGTGACGTCACGAAAACTTCGTCCAGCGGCGCTCTGCATTGTTAATTTGATTGTTCCCGGCACGCGTGAGTGGTTTTTGTTTAGATTATTGCAGGTAACACAGGAAAAACATTATGTTAATTTAATTAAATCCACTTTCTCGTGCGTCGCTTGAGCTTTCGTGACGTCATAGGGTGAGATGCGGTACCTTCATAGAGCCATATCTGCGGTATTATTTGTCATAGAGGGGTGCGGATTTAACTGTTATTCTTAGATTTTTTTTCTGTTTTTTTTGAGATGAAGTTGTTTCTTTGGCGCACACCCCCTTTAAAAGGCAATACCCGAACGGCTGGAGTGCGAACGGAGTCACTCGGAGTGCACAGAGTGTGCAAGCCGAATCCAGGGGCCTCATTCTGTAAAGAACGAACCGTTCGATTCGGTAGAATTTCTTGGATTGTGACGTCATTTTCGGCATTTTCGGAATAGCTTCTGTGTTAGCAAACTGATGATTCTGATGCATTTGCATAGAGTGCGTTCGAAATCCTTGGCGGTTTCGGTTCGAATCGAGAGTTCGTAATCCGCCCCAAGGCCCCAGAGGGGGCGGATTACGAACTCTCGATTCGAACCGAAACCGCCATGGATTTCGTGCAAATGCATCAGAATGCGTTCGAAATCCATGGCGGTTTCGGTTCGAATCGAGAGTTCGTAATCTGCCCCCAGCTTTGAATGTACCGAGCAACAATTTCTGTTCGGGACAAGTGTCACCTAGGCTGCGTTCAAATTGAAACGGGACAAGGTAACTTACCGGATCAATGACGTCATGGAAGAGTCATCGGGCGATCGTCAAACGAACGCATTAGTTGTATTCCTATCACACCTAGGAGGAGGTCCGGAACAGCCCCGGGGCGTTATTTGCGCTTATTCCTTTCGAAAAGTGTTTGTTGCACCTGAGGGCTCAAGCCCGACTCAAACCATTTAAGTACATGAAAGCTAGCGCATCTGTTCCTTTCAAATCGGGGTCGACTAACACCGGCGCGAGTAGCTCAAGTGTTTTCAACTCTTGAAAGGAACTATTGGGACATCTGTGAATGGGACGTTTGTTGTACGCTGCTCGGATGTTTTGGCTAGTCTTGGCAGTAGAGATATAAGAGTAACAGATCCTTTTTTGGAACGTCATAACTGCGAACGCTACGGAAAAATGCCGCCACAAAAAAGAAACTATATACTACACGTAACTGGAACGGACCTTACAGCTGCTTACGTCCATTTTTGAGGCAAATTTTATGGTAGTGAGAACGACAATAAAAGGAGATAGTTGTTTGCTCTGTCGCACACGTACAGTCGTGAGCATAAAAAGTGGCACACCCGTTTTTTCCTATTGTAAAACAAGCTCAAATTGACGTTTGATTCACGCATAAAACGTCAAATTGTCGAAGCAATGTCAAAAAAGAGCGAATTTCGCAGTTATGGGTACTAGGCTTATAAGCCTGATTTACCCAAATAGCGAAAAATGACAAGACCTGTCAGTCGGATGTCCCAATTTTTATGCTCACGACTGTAAATACATGTTTAAGGGCCGAATTTATAGTGGTTACTTGACTCTTTTTTGGAGGTCGAGAGTTTAGAATGGACACTTGCTACTATCTGACAAGTTAGTCATGTTAATTCTAAACGTTCGAGGCTTCCTTAAGGTCTGAGGAAATCTCAAGGAGCGACTATAAATTCCCCTAAGAGCAATGGTGTGGTATAATCCGTGCGTTCGGTATTTTTATCTGGGTTCTCCCAGCTTGAATTTACCGTTCGTTTATTTAAAAAGTGTACTCGGTGCAGGCTCATTCACGTTGGTTTATTAATGGCGTTTCCGATTGGTAAATTCAGTGCGCACTGAGTGTATTTCCATCCTTCAAATCGACCTGTAGAAAAAAAAGACAGAAATAGAAAAAATTGCACTAGTTCCGCACTAAATCTACCAATCGGAAACGCCATAAAATTTCTGGCACTCTGATACAGCGTTCAACTGCTTTGTTCGCTCGCTGAGCAAAATACCGAACGCAAGAAATAAATCCAAGGATGATATAAGGTCTGTTTCTGCAGAAATCGCAAACCGGACACAGTGGATTTCATTGGTTGAAAACAATCAGAAACAGTCAGAAAACTAGTTTCAACCAATGAAATTTACTCTGACTGAGGGCGTATCGATATATCATATCGATAAGTCCTGCTCTAGAGTCTAGCGACAACTCTTATGACGATTTCAATTTGACAGTCAGTGCGCACTGAGTGTATCCGCATCTTTTTCTAAAAACATGTAACATGTAAGGATAAGGATACATTTTTTTTGTACTGATTCGTCAAATGGAAATCGCTATTAGACTAGACAACGACAACTCAACTTTACATCCTAACCCGACTTTTTTTGGAAAGTTGATTCAGCAGCTGAAAAATAATAATAAATCTTAATTTTACTTTTACCCTTAAAACTTGCTATCAAACTGCCTTGTAACACCAAAATACCCTTAACATAATGGTAAGCTACTTTTATTTATTTGTTTCCCTTTGAGTAATTTCCCTATTAAAGCACGGCCGTCTGAAAGTCAAAACCACCGAAGAACAAAAAGCTGAAAAACAAAAAGAACAGCAAAAGAAATTGCAATTATATCGAGCAGGCATGAAAAAAATACTGTCGACTCGTGCCAGCGACTTGTACGATCCAGAATCTTTTGGTATTTCCACTCAGTTGCTTTGCGTTAATCCTGATATTTATACTTTGTGGAATTATAGGAAAGAAGTTTTATTGATAGAGAAAGAAGAAAGGTAAGCAATAGTTCATTTTAGCTCATAGAATACAATTTTTTTCACAGTTCTAAAGATGAAATAGAAGGCGACAACAAACTAGCAGCTTTCCTAGACAAAGAGATTTCTTTAACTGAACAGTGCCTTATAGCAAATCCAAAATCGTATGGCTCTTGGCACCACCGGTACTGGGTTCTAATGCTTCATCCCAACCCCAATTGGGATAAAGAATTTGGTTTGTGTACAAAATATTTAACTTATGATGATAGAAATTGTGAGTTTATTAACACAATTTACACAGTATTAAATTGAATTTTCCTATTTCTAGTCCATTGTTGGGATTATAGGCGTTTATTAATAAACAAAATTGGAATAACACTGCCAGCAGAAATAAAATTCTCCACTGACTGCCTTAATAATAATTTTTCAAATTACTCTTCGTGGCATTATAGAAGCACTTTGAGACAACTGGATGAAAATTGTATAGAGGATGAATTGAATTTGGTGCAGAGTGCGGTATTTACCGATCCAGCTGATAGCAGCGCTTGGTTTTATTTCAGATGGGTTTTGAGTAATCCTGCACTGAGCAAGGAGAAGCGCCAAGAATTGTTGGATAATTTGGAACAGCTGCAAGAGTTGGATCCTGATTGCAAATGTAAGAATAATTAATTGTCATGTAATGGCTATGATTTTTGATTTTAAGTATAATTACCTAATTGATTCACTAGTGAGGCAATTATACTATTACCAAGGTTTATTCTAGGGATTAACTGAAAAATCTTTGAAACCATGTGTAAGTGGGATCCTTATAGATAGTTTAAAATGGTTAAATTACTCCCATTATACAGGGTGTCCTACAACGTTTTTTTCAGGTAATAACTTCGGAACGTGTCATCCAATATAATTGAAATTTTGAGGATCTGGGTACCTAAGTTTTTGTGCCGCTTCTACCTTTCTCATCCAATTTCACCACTTTCGCTTCAATTTCGGTCAAGTGACGTTAACTTTCAAATCTTAAATGTACCCTAACTCATGGTAGGTACATTATGACATTTTTCGTTAGAAAATTAAATTACAAAATCGGCAATGCCATATTTGTTAAGGCTTTGTTAGAGAAAATGATGAAAAATTATACAGTGGAACATACAAGGGGCAAACCACCTAGGAATTCTTTGCCAAAAATGTGGGGAATTTAGAGGAATTTGTGGGAAATTTAGAGGAATTTGTGGGGAATTTGAAGGAACTTATCGGAATTTATGAGAATTTGGAGAATTTATAGGGAATTTCGAGGAATTTATGAGCAATTTGGGAGAATTAGTGAGGAATTTAAAGGAAATTGTAGGGTCATGATGTCAGGTTCACATTCTTATTTGGTATAAGAAATAGTAATAAATGGAAATTTAAAAAAAAATCTAGTGAGCTTCTCACTTTCCTCTTTATATGCAAAAAGTTTCAAAATTCTCCATTCACTAGTTTGTGTGAGACTGTATTTTCAACTAATTCAGTTTGTGTAGGTTGATTTCCAAGATTTTTCATGTTGCTGTTTTCCACTGGAAAAAATTGACATTTTGGGAAAATGAGCTTCTCACCTTCCTCTTCACATGCAAAAAGTTTCAAAATTTTCCCTTTTCTAGTTTTCCAGGAAAACTTTGAAATGTGTAAGACTGTATTTTCAACTAATACAGTTATTGTGGGTTGATTTTCAAGATTCCTCATGTTGTAATTTTCTACTAGAAAAATTTGAAATTATGGGAAAATGAGCCTTCCACCTTCCTTCTTACATGCAAAAAGTTTCAAAATTTTCCCTTCGCTAGGTTTCCAGGAAAACTTTGAAATATGTGATACTGTATTTTCAATTAATTCAGTTATTGTAGGTTGATTTCCAATATTCCTCATGTTGTTATTTTCCCCTGGAAAAATTAGAAATTTTGGGAAAATGAGCTTCTCACCTTCCTCTTTACATGCAAAAAGTTTCAAAATTCTCCCTTCTTTAGTTTTCCAGAAAAACTTTCAAAAATGGGAGACTGTATTTTCAACTAATTCAGTTTTTGTAGGTTGATTTCCAAGATTTTTCATGTTGCTGTTTTCCACTCGAAAAATTTGAAATTTTGGGAAAATGAGCTTTTCACCTTCCTTTTTACATGCAAAAAGTTTCAAAATTTTCCCTTCACTAGGTTTCCAGGAAAACTTTGAAATATGTGATACTGTATTTTCAATTAATTCAGTTATTGTAGGTTGATTTCCAATATTCCTCATGTTGTTACTTTCCCCTGGAAAAAAATTTGACATTTTGAGAAAATGAGCTTCTCAGGTTCCTCTTTACATGCAAAAAGTTTCAAAATTTTTCCTTTACTAGTTTTCCAGGAAAACTTTGAGATGTGTGAGACTGTATTTTCAATTAATTCAGTTATTGTAGGTTGATTTCCAAGATTCCTCATGTTGTAATTTTCTACTCGAAAAATTTGAAATTTCAAGAAAATGAGCTTCTCACCTTCCTCTTTACATGCAAAAAGTTTCAAATTTCTCCCTTCACTAGTTTTCCAGGAAAACTTTGAAATGTGTGAGACTGTATTTTCAACTAATTCAGTTTTTGTAGGTTGATTTCCAAGATTTTTCATGTTGCTGTTCTCCACTGGAAAAATTTGAAATTTTGAGAAAATGAGCTTCTCAGCTTCCTCCTTATATGCACAAAGATTAAAAATTTTCCCTTCAGTAGTTTTCCAGGAAAACTCTAAAATGTGTGAGACTGTATTTTCAACTAATTCAGTTTTTGTGGGTTGATTTCCAATATTCCTCATGTTGTTATTTTCCACTGGAAAAATTTGAAATTTTGGGAAAATGAGCTTCCCACCTTCTTCTTTAGATACAAAAAGTTTCAAAAATTTTTCTTTACTAGTTTTCCAAGAAAGCTTTGAAATATGTGAGACGGTATTTTCAATTAATTCAGTTATTGTGGGTTGATTTCCAAGATTTTTCATGTTGCTGTTTTCCATTGGAAAATTTTGGAAAAATGAACATTTCACCTTCCTCTTCACATGCAAAAAGTTTCAAAATTTTCCCTTCAATAGATTTCTAGGAAAACTTTGAAATATGTGAGACTGTATTTTCAACTAATTCAGTTATTGTAGGTTGATTTCCAAGATTTTTCATGTTGCTGTTTTTCACTGGAAAAATTTGAAATTTTGGGAAAATGTTCTTCTCATCATCCTTTTTACATGCAAAAAGTTTCAAAATTTTCCCTTTTTTTAGAGGAATTTGTGGGGTATTTGGAAAAGTTCGTGGTGGGGTATTTGGAGGAATTTGTGATGGGCTCTTTGGAGGAATTTGGAGGAATTTGCAGGAATTTTGAGGAATTATGCGTGGGAAATTCCCCTTTGAGGATTTGTTTACACCAATTCTTGGGAACATAGGATGATGTGTTCCAAAGTTATCATTTGGGAAAAACCTCGTGGGACACCCTGTATAGCATAAAACTTAATAAAGAGGTTTTCTCCAATTTTTTTATCTTCCATAAGTCTCATATAATGTTTCACCCAGGTCAATGTTTCACCCCCAAATGGCAGTCAACTCAACATATGAGATAAAAAAATTACCCAAGAAATCTGCTGTATTTTTTTAGTTTCTTCAAACTACATATTTTTAAAACATCCTCCAGCTCCACACTTTGAGGTAAAGTCCTAGTTACCACGTTACCACACTGAAAATGAAGATAATCTGCAAAACCTTGATCACTATACACAATTGTAGATAAAAATACAAAACTGGATTATTGACAATGCTAAATTTTTTTTATAATACAAATGTTTTATCACGTAAGTATTTTATAAAATGGTTTTTTTTAGGGGTGGTTTTAGCCAAATGCTGGCTAACAGGAAGTCTAGTTTTAAGTGACAGTGAATTTGTGGATAAGAGAGTCCAGTTTTATAAGGAATTGATTGAACTGGATCCTACAAGAAAAGGCCAATATGAGCATTATTTGAAAATAGCTGAAGAAAAATTAGCTAATAACTAGTCACTAGGAAGTAAGATTTAAAACACATTCCTATTCTTTATACATATTTGATTTAATATATTATGCAACAACAATTTAATGACTAAGTTTCCTTTTTTGTTCAGCAGCAATTTTTTGTTCAATTTTTTCAGGATCTATTGTCGTTGTTTCACGTAAGCTAATGTACTTATTGTTATTTTCAGGCTTTCCCAAAGTTTCCAAATATTTTTCTCTCAGGTACAAAACAGTGTCAACATGAGCTTTGTGTTTGAGTGCAAGATCCAGAGCTCTAAAAATATGAATCAATAATAAATTGAAAAACAATAATCATAAATTTACCTTGTCCAATTATGCATATTTATGTTTATATAAATTGCTTGAAACACCATTCCATTGTGTAGCAAAATTGACTCGGCTTCATCAGTTTTGCCTCCTAGTAGTGCCATATGGGCTTTTTGCTCAGGTTTTGATGGCAAACTCTAAAACAAAAATCATCAATAATTGCATAAACCAATTCTCTCAAACTTTACCTTTATGTATTGAATATAATAAACTTTTTCATAATGATTTATATTAGCAAAAGCCTCCTCGGCTATGTCAACAGTTTCAGAATTCGATTGTGTAGCCAACACGGCCAAACAAGCCCAAACCATTTCAATATTAACACTTCTGCACAAATCCAAAGCCTCTGTCCATTTATTATCGTGAATTTTCCTGCAACAAATTGCAAATAAAAATGTAATTATACTATAATCTGATTACTTATGAATCAATTGGGGAAACGGAGATACAGGCACGTTAATTAAAGACCCATCAGCTCTACGAATCGACACCGAACTACCCACGAAATCACTAATTCTAGGATTCTTCCCTAATTCATTCGACTCATATTGCATCGAGCACAAATGTAGCAGCTTGGAATTAAAAGCGGCAGTCGGACAATACCAGACAATCAGTTGCGCGTCTTGGATCGCAGCTAGAATATTTATCGTGGCGTTCCATTTAAATGAATCAACTTTTCGACCGAGTTTCATGAAAGTTTTATTGGAACTTTTCACTGGGACAATGAACAAGTCTCTTGATTTGTCTAATAAGGCCAACAGTCTATTCAAAACAGGTCCGTGTTGGTCCAAGGATAATTGCAGGATCGGTAATGTGTGTTGGATTGTGGTTTGGTCGTTTGCGTTGCGATTACCAGTCAGATCTACTAGGTGGATGGCTGGAAGAATAATGGAATAATAATGTGTGTATAAGAGTTAGAAATATTACATTTTTGGTCGTTAGCATCTCTTACAGCCAACAAATCGTTGGATAAAGATATAAGTGGTGCTTTAATTGAATCCAGTCTCATGTTTGGCCATTTTGGTTGACTTATCATTTTCCCTTGGTAATTGTATAGTCCTACAGTGTTTTTTTCGATTAAAAGCATGTGCCTATAAAATCATGGATTCACAAACAAGAATCTATACATATAAAAGATGACATTATCTCTAAAGCATTAATGCATACTTCTCTGCTAATTCCAAATGGATAACAGCGCCATCTTTCAAATCAAATATAAATGGAGTGTTCCAATTGCTACTGCTATAAATGTAGCACTGACCAGGAGTTGTTATTACCAGATTATTGTATCGAATTATCATTTGAATCACCCGCTCTGGTAGCTCTAAATACTCAGAAGTGTCGTCTAAGATGTTTTTCACAGTTACCATTTTACGTTCACTGACCGTAGCACTGCAATAAATGTGTGTATTCAGAATGCTTTAGAATGAAAATATTACCTGAAGTTCAAATAATGCGAATGTCTTTCTATGATGTGAGCAAAAAACACGTTTCCATTGGCACATGCGCCAGCTAGCTGGCTACCATCATTTGACCAAGCCAGTTTATAAACACTTCCTGATTGTGGTTTTTCCAAAGCCCTAGACCACTGAGTTAGTGAATTAAAATCAAGCCCTTTTAAATTGATTTGATCTTACTCCAGAATAATCACACAATCTTAAAGTATTGAAAGATCCAACAGCAAAAAGGTCCCCAGTAGGAGCCCACGCAATAGAAGTGATTGGATGACTATGGTGTACACTGGAAAAAACTGGCCTTCCTTGAAAGTCCCACACTCTGTATTTACAGTCCTCGCCACCTGAAACTATAACGTTTGAGGCGACACTCCAAGCGAGGCAGAGAACTAAACCATCGTGAGCTTTCCACTGAAATAAGCATAACTTTATGGAAAAGCAGGAATCAATATGAAAGTTACTTTTAACGGTTTAGTGTTGGGTGCCAGCTGTTTGATAACCACACAAGTTCCATTGGTATAAGCAATGCTTTGGCTGTCTGGAGACCAGCAAGCTCCATAAACTGAACTGTCGCTGTTCACTACTGTTGACCGAAGCATTCCGCTTTTTGACCAGATCTTTATTAAACCATCTTCACCAGCTGAAATGGAAAAGGAACTGTAGATTTTAGGCTGAGTGACTTTGCAAACCAAATTATTTATTCCTTTCCCTAAAACCTAACAACAATTTGCTCATTTAAGGCCCACGTACACGGGTATTAAAAAAAATTCATGCATAAAATATAAATTTCAAGCAGCACCCTCTCGAACTCTCATCTCCTCTCGTAATTGATTTCATTAGTTGAGCATCTTATTTAGCATGCTCTAATGAATGCCATTGTAACGGAGGCCCAGCTTTTCCGGCGCATTTAAACATGACAGGAAATTGCTTTTAGAAAAGCGGAGTTATATAAACCAAAATCTTGTGTCTGGAGACGTTATGACATAATCTTAAACAAAACATCGAATCTGCATTTACCTGTAAGTAAGCCTGTACCGTCGTTACCCCATTGTCCGACCAAAATTGCGCCTTTGTGGGCTTCGATGCTTCTTTCGATTCTTCCAGAACGATTGATTATGTGAAACCTACATTAATAGTTAGTGGAGAAGTGTTTTAGAAAACGATAATAATATTACTTTCCATCAGCAGAAGTTACTAAAAATAAATCTCCATGCTTTCCAAGGCTTCCACCGACTCTTGGCAGAAATTGCATGTCGGTGGCAAATACTTCTTTGTCCATTTGGGCGATTTTTGTTGGTTGATTAGTGGACACTGACCATGACAGGATTTGATTATCGTCACTATAAGATAAAATATTGTTGATAATTTAATCGAGACAAAGTACAGACAAGTCTTTCAATGATTAACCAATATTATGGGCCTAAACATGGTCATATAGAAGCAGTAGAGTCAGTGGTGGGGTGGCAATATGCATAGGCGGATAGGGTCTCCTTTAATTACAGATATATATATTTTTTTTAAATAGAAATGCTTTTAAAAAAATTGAGAAATATAATGACTAATATACAATGCTAATATCAATCGATATACATAACTGGTACATTCCTTCCAGTTGCCACCGCTGAAAGGTCATTTAGTAAATTAAAAATATTGAAAAATTACTTGAGAAATTCTATAAGTCAGAATAGACTACATGATTGCTTGTCTATCAGACATAGCACAGCATCCAATATGGATAATCGGTATTTAGTTGCTCTAACAAAACACAATTTTGTTTGGCGCCCAACGTGGGGCCAAATGTAAAGGAATGAAGGTTAAGGCCAACAAAACACAATTTGTTGAAGGGCAAACGTCTTTTATTAATACCAATTAAACTGAAATAAACATAGAAATCATTTTTCGTAGAACCATTTGTAAGAAGATGAATAAATTCTTGGCATAATTATTAATCTTATACAATATTGAAAGATTAATAATTATGCCAAGAATTTATTCATCTTCTTACAAATGGTTCTACGAAAAATGATTTCTATATTTATTTCAGTTTAATTGGTGTTAATAAAAGACGTTTGCCCTTCAACAAATTGTGTTTTGTTGGCCTTAACCTTCCTTCCTTTACACTGGCTTAGCACGCAAAAATATGAAGAATTGGACAAGATGACTTTTGACATGGACACCCAAACTAGCCCCAAAACTAAAACACGACCGGAAAATAGACAAATATGCTGCTCGTTGTGTAAAGCCAAAATAGCAGAAGAAGCGGAGGCACGAACACACTAACTAAAAAACAAGAAACTCCAGAAGAAAAGTAAACCGTCAACCGGGAACTGCCACTCGCTGGACCAAATCCAATGCTATGAGGAATGGGCTGATTTGGCAGCTATGACGTGGGATGATGACCTCCACACAAACACGGAGATTAAGGTTGGAAACCCGCTTAAAACTATAGAACATCTACCGTGAAAGTAGTACTCGTAGAACCGGATGATCTAGCAATGGAAAAGAGCATACAAACTATGTACAGGAACATATTATACCCAGAATTGGTGGAGACTGATGAACATTTCGCCATCCTCGCACAACGCTGTCTACGGAAAACTAAAAACGAATCCGAAGGCTATCAGAAGATCATCAAAATAACGCAAGAAGTCTCTGAGGCGGATCTATGGGATAAATTGGAAAAATTATATCCCGAGACAAAAGAAGACAGCTGGGTCGCGCTGCATCATATTATTATAAATTCATGTAGTATAGAAAGGTTCCAGAAAATGGTCGAGGCTATCTTCCATAGTGCCGACACACAAGTCATAATATACACAAACCGTAGACAAGAGCCGACGAAACGCACAGGTCGGAAGTACAGGGATAAGTCTTTTGCCCTCATTGTTGGGCAAGACGGCAAAGAATATGATGAGATCGTACGAGACATTAAAAAGAAACTAAAGACATCAAAGGCTAGCTTGGCAATTACCTCAATCAAAATGACTAAGGACAAAAAAGTATTAATAATAACTGATAAAGACGTAGACGCCATCACAACACTTAAAGGAGAGATAGAAGACTCAGGAACAGACATCAGGGTACGCATGGGTGAAGACCAAATGGTAGGAATCCACATAAGAGGCCTAGATGCAACGACAACCAGAGAAGAAGTCATCAATGACATAGAACAGCTTGTAACTTAAGGCCGAACGCGGGTAACACACAAGCAGTAACCTTAACGCTTAAAAACGACGGGGCCGAGACCTTTTGAAGCATACCTTCATCCGCATAGGACTATCTAGATGCGGCTTGGAAAGAAAGATTTTCGTACTACGCTGCGGCAAATGCTGGGAATATAACCACTACAGCAATGTGTTACCACCGCCACCTGGTTGCGACGGTTGGGTAAGGGAAACTTTGTTTTAGCACTGGTAAAGGCCTTTTTGTACTGCGGTAGCGTGCCACCAGGGACTTTGCTTAAAGTCCCACTGAAAATCTAGGTAACTTTGAGCGGATACTTTTTAGTAATCTGATTAGATCGCCTCTTCCAGTGCGGGTTCTTGCTACCTGAGCTGTACGCAGTTAGTTGGAATCAGGGATGTGCCGTAGACTATGAAATCTACTTTACGCAGTTTGTCTACTCGTTGTCTACGTATTGTTTACATCCACTTTTTTCCATGTAGACTATGTAAACTATGTAGACAATGTAGACAACAGAAAATTTGAAAATTTGAGTAATTTTGTCGAAAGTTTGCAGAAACATAACCTTAAAGGCCTGCCAACTGTCAAAAATTGTATACTTTACGCGTTGTCTAGATATTTTACACGTTGTCTACATAGATTACATAGTTTATATTGTCTACGCGTTGTTTACACCAGACGTAGACAATCTTTGTTTACGCGTAGATGCCCATCTCTGATTGGAATGCTAGCTCAGGGGTTTCCAAAGGAAATAAAAGAATCAGTTTTTTCTTACTGAACTCTAACAATAGTTTATTGAACAAATGGTAAGTCTTGATAAGGAAATGGAAGAAAAGCAAAGAATATACAGTAGGTTATTAACAATGATTACTGAAATGAAATGAAAGAAAATGACACACAGAGCTTTGGAATGATAGGGAGTGAAATTAATGATCGTCCTGTATAGGGCGTTCCTGGATGGTACAAGTTACATGAGAAAATAAAGAATAAAAGGTACAGAAAATAAAGACTAGGTTATGATTCTTAGTGGGTAAAAGTTACGGGCGTCCTCGACAAGGGAATGACAAAACGGCCTTGTTAATCAGGGTAAGATAAATGTTGAAAGAGAGATTTGAGTTGAGAACCTGACCCAATGGTTTTGTTCTTTACACAGGGGAGAAAATAAATAATAGACAGAAAACAACAATCATGATGAATAAATTAAAATACTTAAAATTGAAACATTACCTAAGGTCTCGGAAAGAGAGTCAGCAGTAAACACCAGAACTTTGTTACAGAACTGAATCAATCTAGGAGATTCACAGGCTTATTTATATTTGCAGCTTGATGACGCTTTTGGGATTCTTATCGGTCGCAAAACATGCGGTTTGTTCATGGAACCAGGAGTCGAGAGTCGTATTTTAAGACACAATCAGGACACTGTTTCGGGATCCGAATGATAACCCTTGACACGGTTTCGTCAGAAATTTAGCGACCTAATCTCGCTGGGAAAAACCAATTGTATTGCGAAGCAAAAAAAAAAGGATTTCTAGGGCCGTTTTGTTACAAATGAATGCACTGGTCCAGATGGGAGAAACCTGTACTTCAGGTGCGGAAATACCGAGCATTTGGCGAAAGACTGCAATGATGAGGAAATGCGTTATCTGCAAGGAAAACGGCCACCAAGCGGGAGCTGGAAAATGTCAGGTTTTTAGAAGGGCGTTGTCCACAGCCCAAAAGGCAGCAAGGGGCAGTAATACAGACACAAAATGGACTCGATAAATACCAAGCTCATCAAGATCATCCAAGAGAATCTTAACCGCTGTCATGCTGCCCATGACCTGCTAGCAGCCACCATCATAGAACTATGTAGATATAGACATAGTTGTAGCCTCTGAACCAAACCAAAATGAAATTAAAAAAACAAACTGGAACTTCGACTTAAATAATGACGCCGCTTTCAAAGTACGCAACCGCAACATTCCCTCTGTGAACACTCTGTCTGGACCGGTGTTCGCATGCATTGAACTCAAAGACTACATAATTTACAGCTGCTATTATCCCCCAAACGCAAGCATGGAAGACTTTGAACGGAACTGGACGCACTGGGAAAAGACCTCGACAAAAGCAACAAGGATGCCTTAATTATGGAAGAATTTAAAGCCGCTTCACCAGACTGGGACCAAGAACCGAAGAGGCGTGGTACTCTCGAAGTTCATGGCCTCAAAGGATCTAGTTATACAAAACAGAGGGCAAGAAGCTACTTTCCAGAGAGGTGAGGCTAGTTCCATAGTAGATCTCACCATGACCAGAGGTAGAATTGGCTCCAGAAAAGATAACTGGAGAGTTCTCAATCAGGAGACAATGAGTGACCACCAATACATCTACTTCGAGGTAACCAGTGAAACTGGAAGCAAGCCATCAAACATAATGCAGAAGTACTGGAACCCCAAAAAGATGGATGAATTCATCACGGGTGCATTAAATAGCTATCTGCCGAACAACGCAGAACAACTAAATCTAGCCTTTCACAAGATCTGCGATGCGTCAATGCCTCTATTTAACAAAAACCCTAATAGAAGCCCAGTTTATTGGTGGTCACAAGACATTGCTAATTTGAGAAAGACCTGCCTTAAATCTAAAAGAAACATGACCAGAAGCAATCGCAGGCGAGGTAGAGAAAAGAACTAAACCTAGCCTTGAAAGCCAAAAGAAACTGCTGGACGAAGTTATGTGAGGAAATAAATGAAAACTGCTGGGGCGAAGGCTACAAGATTGCTACTAGAAGGTTAAGAATAATTCTGAGAAGTCGCGCTCTGACTATGGAACGTGCGATAGGAACGGCAAAGGAGCTCTTTCCAACAAGACCCCAAACGTCATGGGCACAATCAAACCCCATAGTACAAGATATTCCAGATCTCACAAACGAGGAAATTGTAAAAGCCAGTTTTAAACTAAAACCGCACAGAACTCCCGGACTAGATGGCGTGCCAGTAAATATCTTGAAAGCGGCTTCAACCAAGTTTCCAAATTTGTTCCTTGGGGCATCTGACTCCATCCTAAAAAGTGGAGAATTTCCTACGGCCAAATTGGTCCTCATCGAAAAGCCCAAGAAATTCCCGCAGGAAAAACAAAAATTCAGACCGCCGTGCCTCTTGGATACATCTAGTAAGCTCCTAGAGCACATATTACTCTCCAGACTATCAGAAGATCTGAACATCGCAGACTCCCTCTCAGACAGGCAATTTGGCTTCAGACATGGGACACGGCAAGTCAACGTCCATGGCAATTCGAAGCACATTAGACATAATAAACAACGGCATCTACAAGCGGAGCCACAGGCACAGAAAAATAGGAACTATCAAAACTTTAGACATTAAAAACGCCTTCAACTCCGCTCCATGGATGGAAATTGTAGTGGAAATTAAAAAAAGGGGAGCAGCCCCATACTTGGTCAAGTTCATCGAAGCAGAAAACAGAAGAGAGAGTATACAAATGACATGTGGCGTGCCACAAGGGTCGATCCTGGGCCCGACATTATGGAATATACTGTATGACGGCCTACTTAACCTAAAGCAGCCAGAGGGTGCCACTTTAACGGGTTATGCCGATGACGTTGCGGTAGTGGTGCTGGGTCAGGACTTGGAAGTAATTATGCTTAAACTGGACAGGGCAATGCATAAGATCGAAGGTTGGCTACGTAGCAAACATATTCTACGGGCAGTGGAAAAAACTGAAGCAGTTAAAATCACCTCTAAACCACAGGTTCCCCAGACGTCCATCAACATCATGGGCATGGATATTATCCCAAAGCCAGAAATTAAATACCTGGGTGTATGGATAGACTCAAAAATGAAATTTCGGTCTCACCTTCGGAAAATGGCCACACGAGTTAGCAACGCGCAATGACCGCACTGGGAAGATTAATGCCCAATTTCGGAGGGCCGCGTGCCAGTAAACGGAAACTGATGCGCTCTGTGGGTAGATCTATCCTCCTCTACGCGGCCCCGGTCTGGGGTAATTCAATGTCTCAGAAAAATAACCGACAGATATACGAAAGGGTTCAAAGACAGGCCGCAATACGGATTACTAGCAGTTTTCGTTAATTATCGTTGAATTGCCACCGATAGACCTCCTAGTCGAAGAAGCAATTAAGGTTGCGGAGGCTGATGCGTTGGAAAGGAACAACGTCCGCAGCAATGCTAGGCAAACTCTTGTCCAAAAATGGCAAGAAAAATGGCGCACTAGCAAAAAGGGATGATGGACGGCTAGGCTAATCCCAGATATTGGATACATGGATCAATAGAAACCATGGACAGCCGGACTTCTATCTGACACAATTATTAACTGGTCATGGAAGCTTCAGGAATTACACCCTGGACATAAATAAAACAGAAGACAACGAGTGCGTGTATTGCGGCGAGCGAGATACTGCAGAGCATACCTTCTTTATGTGCAGACAATGGAAGGCTCAGAGAGAAACCTGCTGGAAGCAACATCGGAAAAACACACGCGGGAAACCCTCATACCAGAAATGTTGAAAAACCAGCCGCAATGGGAAGAAATTCGTAAGATGGTAGAGACGATCCTAAAACTGAATAGGATGGATCAAGAGTCACAGATAATCCAAATTTGAACTATTTTCGGACCCGGGGGTTATGTGGCGAGTGAGAATCAAAACTAGAGCCAAGTACAAGAATAGGAAAGTGTATTAAAATAAAGCTTACCACAAATACCTACATGTCAGTTATGGGCATGGGCACTAATAATTATCACAGGACTAAGAGGCACTATTACTACCAACTAACTTACGCGAATAATTCTCCGTCTGTAGACTACCCCATCATCTTCCAAAAACCATTATTTTATATTAATCAAGCGACCATGGTGCGATTACAATAATTACCAGTGAATTGTTGACATTGACCTTCCATGGGTTTAAGTTCCTTGTACGTACGAATTAATAATTCAATAATTCGTTCAACTTGCAACGGAATGTTATTTAAATGTAACGTGATCAATGATTTTCCTGAAGCCCATGAACCTCTTTTGGAAGACGATTGGGTTTAATTAACCGAAAGGAGATGCCCTATTATCCTAGATACGCCATTATTATCGGCTCTTGATTCTTTGGAAAACCTTCCTAGAGCCAATCAAGAGCCGGTAATAGTCAAACTTTGAACTTTTATCAACTCTGGATTCGCAAGAGAATTTTCCTAGGGGCATTCAAAGCTCGAGAGCTGATAATAATCAAAATTTCGAATGACCATTAGCAGCTCTCTAGTTGATATTAATAAAAATTTCTTCTTTTGCAGCTTCTAATTGGCCCAAGAAAAATTATCCAATAGATTAAGAGCCACAGATAATCAAAATTTGAACTATTACCGGCTCTTGATTCTTTGGAAAACTTTCCTAGAGCCAATCAAGAGCCGGTAATAGTCAAAATTTAGACTTTATCAACTCTGAATTTCCTAGAGAATTGTTCTAAGCGCAGTCAAGACTCAAGAGCCGATAATAATCAAAATTTCGATTACTCATTAGCAGCTCTTGAGTTGATAATAATCAAAATTTCTCCTTCCGCAACTTCTAATTGGCTCTTAGTTGAACAATTTGCCATTAATGAAACCCAGGGAGGCCTAACTGTGAGTTGATGATCTTTCATAAGCCTTAAAACCAAAATTTCTCTAATAATATCAATAAAACTTCGTTTACCTGATTGAATAAACTTCCTCAGTGTTACTCCATCCGACGCAAGTAACTGGAACGCTTTGCTGGTCCAATTTCTGGCCGAGGGTCACTTTAAACCTCATGTTGCAAGGAAATACAAGCTTATATTTTCCCTTTTAAGATGTACAACAAATATTTGTGTCCTCGCTTTACTAAATAGCAAGAAACATGTTTGTTTTTGTTTGAATTGGCAGTCGGCATGGAGACAAGACACGCGCTCCACTGAATTTGTACGAGAACATATAGGGGGTCTTTGTAAATAGGTTTATTAAAGAAAAATTATGTTTGAGGTCTCTAATTTTGACTTCAAATTTTACACAGCGAAGGTTTTCCATTATCCTCTCCATCGTATTATTAATGATATTTACTCAAACCCTATTCTACATTACATAACACAGACTCCTGACTTCTATGTTGATTAATAGTCCCCTGTAAACCAGCAGATCAAATATAATATAGAGATTGTTATTATTGTAGGTCGGGCCTGGGGGGCCTTCCCTTAAAAGATGGCCAGCAGCTATAAATAAGATGACACAGCTGCGTTTTGTCCCCCCTATTAGGGTTATAAGAGATAATAATAATTGTGGAAGTTGTGCTTCTGGTGCTGATGATGTTTATTCCAGGATTTAACTTTTGAGAAAACCTCAAGGGAATTTTTGTTCGTTTGAGGTGTAGTTTCAAAGTGAAAACAAGAAAAAATGCGCCATAAAATTTCCTTCTATCGGTACCTAACAAAAAAACCTACATTCTCCTATAACAAATCGTTCCGATGTGGTTTTCAATTCCGGGCTCCAATCCAATTACTAAACAATCCATTAGGACAAAGGTCCAAGGTATTATATCCAGGGAAAATATTCCGTTCCATCGTCCCCCGGTTTCTGGATGATGCCTTTAAGCCCGTTCCAACAATTGTTCTCGCCGACAGTTATAAGGGGTTGATATTAGTTTCCGAACTATAGTTCTTGTACTTTGGAGTGTAATAAATACTTTGTGGAGAGAGAATTTGGAGGCAGATGTGGATAAACAGGATATCATAAAAATATCATCGGAATTGATTTGATTAGGGGATCTGCTTTTTATGATCATTTTTTGATTATTCCCGGCTCTTGATTCGAATCAAGAGCCTGGAATAATAACTGAATTAATCAGTTTTGCAATGAAGCAACTTTTTGAAAAAGTTGCTTCTAGAAATCCGCCATTTTCTTCTAATTTCATAGCAATGGATAAAGATATAGCATGAGAAATTTGATTGGGCTTGAAACACCCTGTACAAATAATTTTTTGATCAAAACAATTGACAACATACCTATGGATTGATTTTAAGTTGAAAAACTCACACTGTATATAAAGTCTGAATATAGGAAACTGTATGATTATATAAAAACTGTATGTACATAGGATTGAATTCATAATAACAAGGAAAGGTTGAGGGGGTAGTCATAAAGAAGAAAATACCACTCGATCGACCTACAAATGGAGAACCATACGAAAATATACAAAGCTGTATGATTATTCAAAAACTGTACATTTGAAAAAAGCTGGAAGCATGCAAATTTTCACATTTCTAACATTCAAATTTTGTTTCTGACCGAGGTTTCTAAAAATTCAGCCAAAACTGTACAACTTTTGTATTTACACCTTTTTTCTACCTGTAAAGGTAAAGGCTGTAGGTGAGGTGTCAATATATAAAAAAATACCCTGTACAAATAAATAAATTATTGCGGAACTTATGGGTGGACCTCTGCGGGACGAGCGCAGCGAGTTCCGCAGCCATCTACTCATCAATATACTGTTGAACTGTTCAAATAAGACACTCACCTGACACTCAGCGGAACTCGCTGCGTTCGTCCCGCAGAAGTCCACCCATCAGTTCCGCAACAATCCACTCGTTTGTACTTGAATAACTTATCCAATTATGTTACTAGTTTGGTAAAGTAACATTACTAATTCCTGTTAAAAGGCAAATTGACAAAAAGTGGATAATCTTACAAATTCTGACTTTATATAATGAGTTATTGTTCAACTACAAATAAGTGGATTGTTGCGGTTCTTATCGGTGGAGCTCTGCGGGACGAGCGCAGAGCGAGTTCCGCAGCCATCTACTCATCAATATACTGTTGCACTGTTCAAGTAAGAACGTGAAACGTGTAGTTTTTGAACTACTGAGAATAACTCACATTTGAGTGAGTCAGGTTAGTATCGTATTTGAACAATATATTGATAAATAGATGGCTGCGGGACGAGCGCAGCGAGTAACATCACTATTTCCTGTAGAAAGGCAAATTACCAAAAAGTGAATAATCTTACAAATTTTCACTTTATATAATAAGTTATTGTTCAAAAACAAATAAGTGGATTATTGCGGAACTTATGGGTGGACCTCTGTGGAACGAGCACAGCGACTTCCGTAGCCATCTACTCACCAATATTGTTGAACTATTCAAATAAGACACTCACCTGAAACCTGAAACGTGTAGTCTTTGAACTAATCAGAATAACTGACATTGAGTGAGTCAGGTTAGTATCGAAATTAAACAACATTTTGATAAATAGATGGCTGCGGAACTAGCTACGCTCGTCCCGCAGAGGTCCACTCATAAGTTCCGCAACAATCCACTCGTTTGTACTCGAATAACTTGTCACATTATGTTACTAGTTTGGTAAAGTAACGCGTTGATTGTCAGGTAAAAGTATTAGGTATTCCTGAAACATCGAGTGGTATTCAAAAGGTTATACAACGAACTAAACTTCAAAAATGTATTAATTTTTATTATTATTAATAGCAAATGAACAATATTGCCACCAAGCGCGATAATCCCAAAAGGCTTATCACTTGTTAAGCCTCCCGTGTCATATGGAAATAATGTACAGTGAGTTGTATAATCGAATGTAATACCACAAGAGGTTTCAGGATTACCGGATAATACTTTTACCTGTCACGAAACGCGTTACGCAGCAACACCACGACTCCGAAGAAGGAGTGGTGTTGCTGGTAACGCGTTGAGTGTCAGGTAAAAGTATTAGGTAATCCTAAAACATCGAGTGGTATTCAAAAGGTTATACAACGAACTAAACTTTAATACTTTAAAATTTAAAAAAATTGCTATAAATGCCACCAAGCGCGATAATCCCAAAAGGCTTATCACTTTTTAAGCCTCTCGTGTCATATGGGAATAATGTACAGTGAGTTGTATAACCGGTGTAATACACTCTAGTGAAATAGTCAGAGAAACCAAGTACCTACCTCAAATTTTACCTGCAACTTTCACTTGTACAGGTAGAATGGTTCACAAAAGTACAGGTAGAATGGTTCACAAAAGTACAGGTAGAATGATTCACAAAATTTCCTTAGATTTCAAACTAGTTGCCACTGCATAGAGTTCGAATCTTTGTCTGAACCTGTTCCATTGCTCTGTTAAATTTCTACCAGTTACAATCAACTGTTCTGGAGGTTTGAATGCCGCTTCCATCACAAATTTATTATAGACTCAACTTGCCTATAAAAACTGCTCATACAGACCATACAGTGCCAACCTGACACCATGTATTATGCTTAGGTTTTCAATAATTAAAATACTCCGTATCAAAAATATACATTATATTCCAATAGACTACGAGACAAGACTTGACAAGATGACAAGACCGGACAAGACCAAAAGCTATTGCCACGTATTGACGACATAATAAGCCAAACATTTTTAATACACAGGGACCTCTTAGATTAAGGGGTAAAAATATACAGATTTCAAGCGACGTCAAGTACTTGGGGATAACACTGGACTCAACACTTACCTGGAATCAACAAATCTGGAAAATACCACCAAAAAAGCGGTAACATGACTCATGATAGCCAGGCGCTTGCATAGAAAATTATGGGGCTTAAGACGATACTGCCTGAACAGAGCATCCGAGGTGAGCTTCCCAAGCAGAACTGAATGGGAACATGGCATACCAGAGAACAAAAAACAAGACCAGACCTGTTACACAGATGGGTCGAAGACCGGGTCTGGTACCGGAACAGGCGTATACTCCGCCAACTATAGTGATCACTATGCACTGGGAAGACATGCCTCTGTTTTTTAAACAGAGGTATACGCTATACACCAATGAACAGCGGAGAACAACAGGAGAGCCACAGCCAACAGGCAGATCCTTATAATGTCTGATAGTCAAGCGGCACTGAAGGCCCTTCCGAGCCAGACAGTGTCATCAAGACTAGTATGGGAATGCTAGGAAGAACTCAGGGCCCTGGCGGGTCAGAATAAGGTAAAACTTATCTGGGTGTCAGGACACAGAGGAATCAAAGGCAATGAAAAAGCTGATGAACTCGCAAAGAGAGGGTCAGAGACAAAACTTATCGGGTCAGAACCGGCTCTAGGGAGACCAAGTATAACCAGAAGCCACATCAAAAATTGGATTCGTAAAGAACATCGGCGACACTGGACAACTTCCAGGCAGAATCATGGGTAGGGAATTCATCGACCAACCATGAGGCAAAAGGGCCGCAGACCTGCTAAAAATTAGCAGGATCCGACTGAGAACCATAACATAACGGGACTCTTGACTGGCTACACACCAGTAAAGGTCTACCTGAACAGGATGAACCTGTACGACGGGACCTTAATTGCAGACTCTGCAATAAGGAACCCCAGACAGCCAGACACACCCTGGTGAACTGTGAGGCACTGAATCGCAGAAGACACGTCATTTTCGGGCTACCAAACGTAAACCCGGAAACAATAATTAAACCACACAGGCTTCTTGAAAGAGAGTTTTACAATTCTCTTTTGACCTAGTACTACTACCTACTCCCTCCATTAGCTATTGGTCTTGTTGCTGTTTTAACAAGCTTAGAGTCCTTCGACATTGAAATCTTAGTAAATAATCTTGTGTTCAATTCAATTCATAAACCTCGGTCAAAACTAATACTGACGCAGATCTTACTGATAGTTCTAGTAGAAGCCAGTAAATAACTGAGGTTTTGACTATTTTTAATCAAATTCTATACTTCAAACCTAATCATATCCAGTCAACTCTTCCCAAAAGATAAAATCCTGCATAAATTTTGAGTAGGTATATTCTTTACACGGGGGCCGAGGTTAAACTAGTAGCCCGCTATAACCAGAGAGCAGGGATGTAATTCAATCATAAATAGAGGGTAGATGAGGCAGGCGGACTGTT